GAACCAACAGAAGACGAAGAATTGTTGGAACTTTGGGAGGATTTAAATCAAAGTATTTCATTCCGCGAAATGGATTACTCTGGAGTTTTGGGTTTCTCTTTTTGAATTTCCCGAGTACAAAAATCTGGCAGAAAAGGCCGTTGCTCTCCTGGTACAGATGCCTACGACTTATTTGTGTGAAAAAGGGGTTTCCATTCTTGTTGAAATCAAGTCGAAAAAGCGAAACTCATTAGTTGATATTGATTCACTAATGCGGGGAGCAATTGAAAAGGAACTAAAACCCTGTTATGGACGAATTGCCAAAACTATACAAGAACAAAGGAGCCACTGAAACTAGATTAACATTGTCTTTACATTTTTCACACATTTGGGTGTTAAATTAATTGCATCTGTGAGTAAAAATTAAAGCAGCATTTATAATGACTCGCCCCGCCACCTAGATTTTAGTTTTTTTCAATATGTGCCTAACATTTAATGTTCATTTTAGCTTGAAATAAACATTGGTATTTGTAAGGTATACGAAGTTCTCGAAAAATTGTAAAAGGTATACCACGGTAGAAAAGGTTGAAGAACACTGACCTAGAATACTCAAAATGTATACATATCTTCAACATCTCAAAAGAAAATCTGCACCCTAACAACCCTGACCGAATGCTCCGTCGATATGAAAGACTCTCGCCTGTATGCAGATTGAATCGCTGAGTCATTTTGACTGTTCAGTAATTCTCTCACATGTTTTGAATTTATTGTAAATATTAATACATTACTCTTCTTCCCGTTTGTAAAATTTGGTTTTCTCGTGATAAAATGACATAATATCATTATGATTTGATGTATTCGTTTAGAGGCCGTCTCTTCAAAATATCTCACGAATATTTGAAATTTAATTTCGAAATATAAAGCTATGAGGAAAGGCTTGAATCATTTTCCTTTTTCAAATAATTCACATGAGCTCGTAAAGATTTATCGGCCATTTACTATTATATAAAAATGACATAATCATCCTAAGATATTATATACTTTCACCTTATATTTAACCTTGCGTTAAGCCAATTTCGTCGACAGTATTTTTTTCTGGTATAAAATGGGGAAGACACTCCTAGTTATCCACCTTATAGTGCGAAGACTTCACTACAATCGTTTATGAATATCAATTATCTCTATACATTTAATAAAGACAACCCTACTTTAAGGGGGCGCGTTAGAACTCGCGGTGAACCTGGTTACGCAGCATATAGTGGTTGACCTCGCGCTATGGTAGCGCCGCATAAGTAGTGCTATGACGACTATCAACTAGGTCACAACATTTCTCGATACATTCACCTAATCAGTTTCATTTGCCGTTCGTTTCACCATCCCTATGACGTAACTTTCGACTCTTTCGACAAATACAGACGAGTAGCTTAGTTTAATCATGAGGTAAAAATACAGAAATTGTAGTTTAAGTGCTCGTATCATATACACTACTTTAAACGAAATGATGTTTCAGAATCCAGTCATCTCACATTTAAAGTCATAATTATGTTTATTAACATAAATTTGATTGACTTTTAAATATCGTGTTCATTAGAACAACTCAAAAAATGTGTAGTAAATAGGTCATCCGCCCATAAATACCATTTGAAATTTTTTTTTTTTATATGCACTCCGACTCAACAACATTCTAAGATAAACTTGCGCCTACAGGAAGTTGAAATAGGTAAAATTAATGGAGCATCAATCGCCTATCTATAGTATTACGAATATACTATAGAAATATACTATAGAAACTTTTCTCTGATCTACATATCACTGCATGGTTAACCAAGTATTATGCGACGATATTTATAGCTTTCTAGAATATAAACTGAGCTGGCAAACAAACGATTGTTATCTTATTATGTTTGTCAAATAGAAGAATAAATATGCCCAAGTAGATGTCATGACTTATATCCTGGCAACAGACCAGACCGCCTTGGCTTCATAAGATGGAAGTTTCATAGAACTGAATCAATTAACTACAAATGAAATTAAAAATGTTTAACTGTAAAATATGAGATGAAATATTGTGGTGCAGTCAGTAATATAATATATTAGGTTCGGGTTTTTTACTAGTTCTAATTCAAATTTAATGAGATGTCAAAATTTCACTGAACGCTCAACATAAATAAAAGTTTGTTACTTATTTTGATGAATTTAACACCAAATTGCATCTGAAAAATTGTACCTGTCAAAATTTTACAATTATATTTAATTACGGTCTGGGACACGCCGCACAAATTAATGAAATTCATTTTTATACAGTAAAGCGTCACTGATTATTATGATCTATCTACCCTTGGAAGCAAAGCTTAACAATCCTCATTTCTGATATGAATTAAATTGACATCACAACAAATGGTTTTACAGTTTAGTTACATTTTATCTGAAATTCAAAATTCTCATCAAAAAGTCGATTTAATTTTTAGATACTGGAAGTTCAATACGCCCAAATTTAGATCTTGTCCCAAAAGAACAAACTGATCAAAGTCGTGCCTATTTGTTCAGCTACAATTACAATACATTGAAATAAGCATGACTGATAGCGCATTTGACGTGATTATATTGGTGGTGCAAGTATTAACCACTTTGCACGGGATGTTACAAATCGTGACAGATATCAAAAAGCAGTAATATATATATAGTGTTTTTTCTGAAAACGTAGATAAAGGTGACCAATTTTTCTCTATTCTCATTTATCGATTATTCGCTGAATTCTCTCAAACGTTTTCCCAATTTTCAACTTCAACTCCATTTTAGGTCCGAACTTTGAAACTATTGAAAAGAACAGAAAGCCTCAGTGATTTTCCCTGTAAATGATAACATTCTGCATATTCTATATCAGGGTGGTCCAAGGTTGTCGGCCTCGCGGGCCACACTATAATTTTTGTATTGTTCGCGAGCCACAATAGGGCTAAGAATAGGTAAACAGTGCAATACAAAACAAACACTTTTATTGTCCAAATACATTGGTCATTATTTGTCATTTCTCAAGCTAAAACATGCACAAAACGCTAAAAAACTCACCTAAATGTGCAAAAGTTTTACTATATCTACATTTAGTGTAAGACTTCAAAATCTTCATAACGGAAAAATGCCATACGGAGAAAATGCCGTTTTTATATTTTTCCCTCCCATATCTAGTCAAAAGTCTGTTTGAATTGGTCAGCTTTTATTTCAAACTCATGTTTGCAAAATAATTTACAAATAACTGCAGATTGATTAATTACCGAACACAATTGAGATACAGAAGGGTGATTACTAAATTTTCTGACATATATATAGGCAGCATTTTTTGTAGTACCGTTTAGGCTGGTTGCAAACAAACACCCGGCAGGAATTATATTGGTCGGCCACTACATTAATATTTAGTTATCAGGCATAGCCAACCTCGGCTGATAGATTTCTCATTCGACATTTAGTTTTCTATGAAGCAGATTATGTTAGCAGATATATTCCCGACCGAAAATATAGAAACCAGTTAACAATTTAGACTAGCCAATGACATTATTCAACTTCGCTAGTTGCCTCAGCTAGCCAAAACACCAGTCAATTCAATGACATTAGTGATGTAACAATATGTCAGAAGATTTTTCTGGTTATTTTTATGACGAAACAACACCAAATGCGATTTTTTGTTTACCTTGCGCAAATACGACGCGGGCCACGAAAAATGAAGCGGCGGCATGTGGCCCGCGGGCCTGGGTTTGGACCACCCTGTTCTATATGAACACATAATATTAAGTTTAAATTTTTTGAAACCAAAAAATCAGGTATATATCAATACCAAGTCATTAAATCAATACCAGGTCAAATTAGGCTGGGTATCCTATATTTAACACCTTGGCACAAATCCAAAATGACTGCTTATCTACAAGATTGCCACCCAACTTAACTGCCAGGTGTGGATTTCGAACATAATTCTCAAATCTATCAATCATTCAATTAACACTCATATATTTGATTTCCAAAATGAATTTAAAAGGAACAAAACAAAGACCAAAAGCACTCTCACTTGAAGCAGGAATGTGTGAGTTCGGTCAGGACTGCTTAAATAACCATGTGTAAACTACATCTTTCAAGTTGTTTTTGGTAATAATGTCCTTCAAAAACTATACCAAATACAAGACCGAAGCTGGTATCCTTAAGCTTCAAGATATAACAAAATCATGGCCAAGTCCATTGCCACCAGCGCCGGACCATGGCCTTTAGAGGCCCTGAGCACCAAGACTTTGGTGCCCTATTAATAAAAAAGAATAATAATATGAATGTAACTAGTGTTTCGTGTTATCTGGAAGAGTTCTCACGCCCACAAACATTCATGAAGGTTTAGAATGATACTTCAGAATAAAAATTAGGCATTTCTTCGGGACAATATTGAAGTATATTAATCGTCTGACCAATCAATTCATTGGAACGTAAGCCACTGCACAAAACTCGGCTATGAAAATTTCTGTGGTGCCCCGTGGTTCTTCTGCTTGATGGTTGATTCAGCCTTGGCTACAGCTGCCTTGCATTCTTATACGCCTAGAAATCCGTCAGCATAACAGAGCAAGACTAAATACAGTTAGTCTGATTATAATACCTTCAGTGAAATTGAATATTAACAGTATCAAGGTTAAATGCAATTTGAACATTTAACAACTGACGCTTTTTAACAGTATCGGAGTTACTGTGGAATGTTATTTAAATAAACGTTTAAGAACTGAAGATTTTTAACAGTATTGAAGTTACAGAGAAATGCTATTTAAACGACTGGCGCTTTTTACCAGTACCTCATTACTACCTACATTACTGTTACTGAATTGGGAGATGGGCAAGTTTTCATTGGATCCAAAATTTCGAATTCAAAGGAATCAGAAATCGGATTTACAAGATTTTCAATGTTGATAAAGGTAGAAAAATTACTAAAATGTATTAATCGAAAAACTATTAATTCCACACGTGTTCGGCCTCAGACCGACAAAAAAAAACCAAACAGATTCTTGAAAATAATTTATTTCAGATTCACTACTAACTCCATATTATATTTTCACACTTTTTCATGACAAAAACAAACACCCAGATAACCTTTGAAATAAGAAGAATTCATAGATTTACACTCCTGGATCTCAATAATTACATCTTTGATCAATTGAGAAACACAGATAAGTTCAAAAGGAAAAAGGCACGAAGGACATTTACATACAAGCACTTAATGCCTCAAATCAGGAAATATTTGTCAGTTCTTGAGGAAACGATTCTAGGACTGGTTCGAACCATACCAGGGGGTGTAGCCAGGAATTTCCCAAGGGGGGACTAGTCTTGAGGGTCTAAAATGAAAATTGTGTTGGGGTTGGTCTAGAGTCGGATGTTACACCCCTGAACCATACTATACCTTCGTTATACAAAAAAGATTCCCAAATTTTATAAACAATCTCCTCAATTTAATAACGAGTCATTTAGAAGAGAAGCAACTATTAGTAATACCAAGTGGTTTGAATAATTCAAGTTCGACAAATTTTGAAAGTACTGTCAAGGATTCACAAATTATAATTATCACAACTGGTTGTTTTAGCTCATACTGAGCAAACTGAGTATTCATTCTGTATGATGGCGACTGTGTATGAACCGAAAACACACCCAAGATAGAAAAGTGATCAAAGACCTGAATGCTTGTTTTATCTGATGTATAGGAGTTAATGAAACATGGAATTGTCATCTATTTCAGATAAACTTTACATGATTCAATGGTGATAAAATACACATTCTTCCATGATAAAATTGTTTCGAAAAATACATTTATATTCTAAAACGACACAAGAAGAGATTCATTTCTGGGCATTGACACACGCTACAAACCTCAATAACGAGAAAAAATTCAGGTAAAAAATTCATTGATATGCGATATTACGGAGAGAAAATGGCTGGCAACCTAGAGTAAAGTTTGGCAAAACACTGATGAAGACAAAATTAAGATATGAATTCAAATATGCCTACTTTGTTTTGTATATATCATCTCTGGATTACATCTTATCATATTATACTAACCATGATAAAGGGATAAATTAGGCACAATTTGTTTGGTACCAAAGTTGAAATTCAACATGATTTTAAGAATAGCATTCAAACATTTCATTCAAGCCAGAGAAATAAATAGGTTTGTAAAATATGGTCCTAAAAGAGAGAAAAGAGATAAAAGAATGTGTGTCATTTTACTTTATTACTTATATCAGTTCAGACAGCCGATTCACTGATAGATGCTTGCAACAAGTCCATCGTCTTTTTCGCGTCTCCGAGAAGCATGGATGTGTTTTCTTTGTAAAAGATTGGGTTGTCAACAGCTGCATAACCAACACCAAGAGTTCTCTTCATGACAATAACCTTTAAAGATGGAAAGTGATTGGTAAGTGTTAGGTGAAAGTCCCAAAACCCTGAGTCACGAGTCAATTTGCAAGTTATCCGCCCCTCAAGTCGAGTCTGAGTCATTTCAGTTGGACGCCGGTTCAGAGTCACAAAAACTCTGATAATCAGTGACTCGAGTCCAACTCAAGCCTACCCAATATTCGTTGACGTACAATTGAATATTGATTACTTATCGATCTTAAGATCGGTAAGTATATTGATAGGTATTTGTCTGTATGTCTGGGTGTCTGTTAGATGCACGCGATATCTCACGAAAGCGAGGTTGAATCTGCTCCAAATTTTGCATGTGCATTCATCTTATCTCGGACCAGAAACCTATTGATTTTGGGCGAATTATGTCGTATAATTAGCGAGTTATCAATCAATTATAGATATAGTGATCTAGATTTTTGTAAAGCGAGAGAATTTTGAAACCCGCCGAGTGTGTGTGTGCGATGCGCAGTGCGCAAGTTACAAGAGCGGATGAATCGAAACTGCAGTTTCTGTTTTGGGGGATCCCCTAACTATCGATCGATAAGTCTTCGGTTTCCAACCGATATTCTCGTTAAATAGTTGAAACATTGTCAACAACAACAACTGACAAATTTTCAATTTTAATTTTGAATAACAATTCACATGATACATACATTACAATCACCTAGACCAGGAGTTGGTAACATTTTGTCGCTCGCTGGCCAAAATTAAGGGTTGCAAAGCTTGATGGGCCGCACATTATTTTAGAAAGTTAAAAACCGAATGGATGACCGATGAATCACAATTTTTTTCACACAGATCAGAAGTTGAAATTTTAACCAGCACGCGAAGACTGCGACAAATCGTGAACTCAACTTAGAGAAATATTACAAATGACATTAAATGTGACACTTTTTGTTGCATCACGATTGATACGTTTTCGACAACACTAAACGACAAACATTTTTTAAATGGGCAACTGAATGAAGACAAGAATTTGAATAGAGTTTTTCTTCAAGAAGATACATTTTATAAAAATCAAGCAGTGATACATTTCTCGAATAGAATATAGATTTCTTTCCTCATTGCATTGCATCTCAAAAAATTCCATTTAAATATATTCTACGCCACTTGAGAATTATATACTTGTTAGGTGATAATATAATTTAGTTTACACGTGTCTCACAATGAATTCTGTTACGTAAGTAAAGAATATAATCGTTGGGAAAGCTGTTTTGTTACTATAATCCAGTGAAGCGTTGCGGGCCGTAGGTTGCCGTACCCTGACCTACCTTAATGATAAAACCTTAGTTCTCAATAAGAAAAGTTTCCAAATAAATGTATTCAAAATAATTCCCAAAATCAAGAATTCAGAATATGGAATTTCCCCAGGCAATATATATTTTTATTCATTTTTGAACATTCTAGAAGAAATTTAGGATATGTGTCACGAAACTATTGAATTCAAGGTATGTGTCACGAAAAACTACCTGTTTAGACTTCCATACTTCAAGTACAGGCATTCCAGCAATAATAGAATTTGGATCTTCTTGAGCTGCTGAATTGACTGTGTCATTTGCTCCAACAACAAGAACAAGATCGGTGTCTGAAATGAGAAAAATGATTTTTGAGAAAATATAAATTTCATGAAGCATAGTCAGATTTTCCATTCAATACAAATTTTTTAAAAATTAAAGGAAGTCAACTTCCAACTCAATGTGACTCGTTAAAATATCTAAAGCTACAGAGCAGATATTTGCTGTTCTACTTTATGTGTCAGAAAAAATAGTTTTGCGAAAACTAATCTATGTAATTCCAGACTGGCTGAAACTGGTTTCCTTGACTTTGGTAATAGGCTATAGACAAATGAAATCATTTAAATAATAAGTCTTCCACCATATTTACGCGGCTATACATGCCTTGAGTGGTTGCAGGCCATTCAAATTATGATTAGGATGACCATATATCCCTATTCTCAACTATTACCTATGGCCAAAAACAAAACTTTACAATACTGAATACATTCTGAAGTGATATATTTGAATTAGAAATGTCAAATATATTCTAAACCGGGTCCTGTTCAGAGAAATCCATAAAAATTGTAGAAAATAAATTAAATAATGCAAAAAAATCGAGATGAACAACGCTCTGATTGATTTTCTGTTTTTATACTGTCTAAGTTAAGTGAAATTTGTGAATTTACGTTTTTTCAGGTAAATTTGCTCAAAGCAAGTCGCGTGCACTCGCTCAGAAATGAAGAAAATTAATCTCAGATATCTGAAGTTACGGCCGACCACAAAAGTGTCAAGAGCGATCATTATAGTCTTATACGTACGTTTGAATTGTATGTTAGTAAATACAAATTGATGCAAGATTAAATCGAGACCGATTCACAGTTCATTTGAATATATTCAATTATTAGATTCATTTTTGACAGCAGTGACAATAAAATCAGGAAAACATACCTGGGAAATCGTCATTAATTTCCTCCATCTCCAAAACAACATCATAAGGAACTCCAGCTTCGGCAAGCAATACGTTTAATTGACCTGGCATTCTGCCTGCTACTGGGTGAATTCCAAACCTTTAAAATTTATTAAAAATATATGAAAAATGGAATATTAAATTACACAGTTAATATTAAAAAAAAATTTCTTATTTATAGCAGTCTTTTCCAAATCAAAAAACTTTGGCAAAAAATTATTATATTTTCTAAGGTCTTTTTAAAGCATATTCAAACATAAATATCAAATAATGAATAAAAGCTCAAATTTAAACGAAATTTCTAAGTAAATCCTACAATGGTAAAGTCCCACTCAGAAAACGTCACATCAATGTTTGCAAGTCAAGAGGAGAAATTTTTGAGAATCAGAGTAAAAATTATTGATAATAAATCACAAAGCAAATACAGTAATTAACTAAGAATTCTCAAGCATATCATGATGGGTAAAACCATTGAAGCATTGCTTTCTCAATATAACTACTGGCATGTTGGTCCCTTGAAGTCATTCAGTACTTTGTTATGTGAGAGGCAACATGTGTCTTATGCCTGGCTTTATATTTTTCCTTATTCGTGGCGACAAATTGACTAATAAACTGTTTATGTTGAGTGTTGCTTGTGTTCGTTCAATAAAACATTAATTTGTAACAATGAGCTTTCTTAACAGTCATAAAAATAAGCTTTGTTACCAAAATTTTGAATTTTCCAGGAGTTTAAGCCAGAGTGAAAGTTTTGGTCAACCCAGAGTAGTGTAGTTGGAGTCATTTAGTAAAATGGCTTAAAGTTTGGGGTTGGGTGTAAAGTTTAGCCATAATTAATATGGCTCAAGTAAAAACATGAAGTCTACCTGACGTTCTTTCCAGCTTCTGTCAACTTTGCAACCATATCTGCAACTGGATATTGCGCTTTTGCAACACACAATCCATACCCTGAGTTAAAGTTGAAAAATATAAAATTGACTAGTTTGCAAACAAAATAAATACAAAGAAAAAATAAATATAAAAAATGTGTTTATTCACAATTCGAATGAATTCTGTCTGCATGATTTTAGCTTATATTATTTTATCATGATCAACTGGACAATAAGGTGCTAAAGTCTAGCCTTTGAGAAAATTGAAAATCTGTATTGATTTAATGCTCCAGACAAAGCTTGGTAAAATTTGTATGATATAATTTGCTTTTTTGCTGCTTAAGAAACTGTTTCAAATTAGTCAACAAAAGTGATTCAACAGATCTTGTCATTTTAGCAGTCGTCCATTAATTAGCTCTGAGAAAAGACTCCTTTACTTCTAAGTAAGTGCATGTGATCTTGCTTCTCTTAAGTAAATTCTCTTAGAAAAAAATTCTTCCACATTCACCTGGCACGATAATAATATTCTGGGCGTCTCTGATTAACTGAACAGTGTCATCAGGAGTTACTTCTGTGTGTGTTCCGGTAATTTCCATTGGTTTACCTTTTCCTGTACTTGATGTTCCATATCCTCCAAGGATAACATTAGCAAGTGATCTATTCATAGCCTGAAATAAGTATCGAGTAGAATAAAAATTTTGGAAAACAAATTGACAGTCAGGTGGGTAATACTTTGCTAATATTAGCCATATGGCCGCGCATTGAACCAGGGTTTTTCAAACTGGACACTCGAAACCCTAGGTGGCCCTGGTGTAGTTCTCCGAGGGCCCCGATAAAGGACTCGAGGTAACATTTGAGGCAACTACATATATTTGAAATAAATACCGGAGTTGTATATTTTTTTACAACGATATAGACTAATCTTTTAAAATTATCTGTCTTTTTAATGGCATTTGCTCTATTTTGAGACAAAATGTTAAAAACAGTTTGGTCATGCTAACTCACGAAAATACATTCAAAGTGAGAGTTTAAAAATTCAATGACTGAAAAGTGATGGAGGAATTTTTTAAGGCTTTAAAAATCGGGGGAACATCCAATAATGATGACACATCAGCCACATCATGAGTACAAGACATAATTCTAAAACCTAGCAAATAGAAATCCACTCACCACACACATAATGTATGATAGAATTGCTCCAGAAGATCCAATGAGAGCTCCGACGATTGTTAACAAGTTATTGTCGAGTAAGAATCCTTCTGCACACAGAGCCCATCCTGAATAACTGTTAAGCACTGTGATAACCACAGGCATGTCTGCACCACCAATAGCCATTGTCAGCGTTACACCCTGATATATAAGAGTACAATAATAAAACACGGATATAGTATGTATAATTTCACTGGGTAAATGGTAATTATTGGACACAAAGTGGACCTATGTATCATTTTATCATTATGTTGTTGTTGTTCTTCTTAGCGGACAGGAAAAATTTGCTTTTTTTACTTTCGAAATTTTCAGTGGTTAAAGATTGTATTCTTCATTAGAAGGCTATTACTTTTATTTGTTTTCAATGATCTTTCCTCTGAAATGCGCTGAATAGTTTTTTAATTATGGAAACACGTGACGCTGACAATGGTATTCTACTGCGACAGATTACATACTCATACTACGGCAGTTAAGACTTTGTGTCCATATATTTGAGCATCACTTTCATGTTAACTATAATAGTTCTGTTTAGAATCTATTCATTTATTTTACTCCCTGATGTTGGAGTCGTATTTCCAAACTTCCACATCACAATTCAGAATTCCAAACGTCTACTGGTGGAAATTAAGGTAAAAATTTCTAACAGAAACTAAAAATGCACATTGAGTTGACTGAGTAGATGTTCAAAAACACCTGCATACGCCAAAGTTTTCATGGTCAAAATTTAGTTTTCTCAGAGTTGGGAGCTAGAATCAGAGTTATAAGTTCTAATTTTTGCTGTTTTTGAGTGACCTCTGACCCCAGAGATGCCAGATCCAAGTCAAGGGTCATTCAAGTCTTAAGTTCAAAGTTGAATGTTTAACTGACAGTTGAGTAGGATGGCATCTCGAGTAACTTCAAGTCTTTGATAAATAGTAATCTGAGATGTACTCAACTCGAGTCTAGATGTCATTTCCGCCCTCCATTAATATTAGGGTCCAAAATACTATTTTTGATCTTACCATAACAGTGGAAAGTGTTGCAGTGGTGCCGAGAGCCATTAAACCAGTGGTCATAGATGGATCCATCATGTATGGTATGATAGGCAGAAAACTACCAGCAAGAAGTCCGATGTTTATGAGATTTCTACCGGGCAAAAGAAGAGCAGCGGAATCCAGAAGACCTTAAAAAATAATGTCTGGGATAGGGAATCCTCAGAGTCGGTTTCGGAATTTCAAATTCATAGTAGTGATAAACAAGTCAAAATTTTCGACAGAAACTCCAAAACCATTAAATAGACTGAGTACCAAACAAATGCATAAGGCTTGCATACGGCAGCAACCAATATTATAGTTTGGTTTTCGGAGTTTGGAGATGAAGTTAAAAGTCAAAATTTACCCCAATCTGGAATCTGACTAAAAATTTTTGTCAATCCGGAATTAGGCGTCTGAGTTGTTTTTTTAAATGGTTTGGAATTTGTAGTCGAATGTTAAATTTCTTCGATTGTACATGTCTCATAAAAGCGATGTACAAAAACTTGATCATATTATTCAATCAGTGAAACTGCATATCGCAACACAATTTTTTGCCAAATCAGCAAAATTTGGGGTGAAACAAGGGGGCCGAAGGAGGCCGAAAAAATATGGGGAATATATGAAATTAACAGCTTTCTGGAAACACTTCCATCTTGCATCGATACAAACTTCAAAAGCGATCCAAACAAAATCAGTTAATATAAAATGAAGAATTTTCCCGACCTTGTAGTTTTCCATAAGCGATCAGGGATCCGCTGAATGTCACACCTCCAATGTAGGTTCCTAAGTACGCAACAACTTTGATCATATTTGCCATTGGATTGTCAGCAAGATGTGGTTGCTCGATCATAAATTCAGCGATGCATGTCATGACGGCAGCAAGGCCTACGAGACTGTGGAATGCTGCAACTAGCTGTGGCAAATCAGTGATTTGAATCTTCTTCGCGACAGTTGCACCTGGAGATATGGTAATGGACAAATTGGGGATTTTTGGATTAAATAGAAACCTTCGTAGTGTTATCGAAGGACTAGTTATCATTTTCTCGTAATTTGTGCTAGAGTGATTTTTTTTTACTGGTTGGAAAAAATAAACTTGACTTACCTTACCACTATTTTACAAAGAAAATTTCAAATATTTTTAATATCTTACCAAGAACACCTCCGACAGACATAGCTCCGAGCATTTGGCCGAGCAACGCACTATTGGGGTTTAGATGACCAAGTGTAGCTAAGATACCACCTGACACACCAATCATACCAAGGGCATTACCCAAACGAGCAGTAGATTGTTGAGATAACCCAGATAAAGCCCCAATGCAACACAGACCAGAAGCAAAATACATCATCTGCAATGAATACATGGAATAAGGGTTAGACAAAAAACAAATGCGTGCGCATAAACTGCATAATACCAAAAAGGCCAGAATTGGCCTTAAAATTTAGGCTTGGCTTTCAAATATTAAATGTTCAAGAAAATTTTTTTAAATCATTCCAAATCAAGAACTAACTATATCAAATATGTACAATTTCAAATGTATTTGAACGAATATTTTAACAAAAAATATTTTCCAAAATTTCCAAATATTGAATCTTTTTTTTTTTAAATGCCATATTTCATATTATAAGAACGATTTGTCAACTATATTCGTGTAGATTGGCATATATTGGATTTCGCTGAAAAAAACACCATCGAAAAATTTGAAAAAATTCAATCAAGTCATAGGTAAACTTCTATATTAAAACAAGACACCCATTGCCACGATAAAACATCCAAGTTTTACTTTCCCACTAACCTGATGAAGGTCTGTATATCCCTGCATGTATCCCGCACCATAAGCAGCCAAGTATGCACCACCAGCAATGCCGTAAAGATAATTATATTCAGGTGGATCAGTTGGTCTTTTGAACATGTCCAACATACGCTGGGTCACAATGAAACCTCCAATAATATTGATGGTAGAAATGAAAGCTGATGCTGCTGCCAGGGCCTAGAAATATGATACAGGACTTATTTTGTTTATGCTGTAAGAGTAGGAAGTTGATAAGATGGCGAAATAATATAGCGAACCATGTCGTCTCGTCAGGTTACCAGTACAGTATAGAGAACAGGTTAATTACTGGCAGTAAATGCAAAATTCAGATGGCAGGCCATGGCCTATTAACCGGTAACCAATCCAGGTTTAAGTATACATATTTTTTACCCAGCAAATTGTTGTATATTCATAGAATTGTATTAACCGGTTACCAATCCAGGTTTAAGTATACATATTTTTTACCCAGCAAATTGTTGTATATTCACAGAATTGTATGATGGTGGGGAAGGAGTAGTAATCAATCAGCGATAGGCAAACTGTGGCGACTTTTCCACACAAAATTCGGACGATATCAAGTCTCGTCCCAGGGCTTCAAGCCAAGGTTCCGAGCACATTGTATAACCAATACTTGAAATAAAAAAGGGATAATGCTGCGAAAAATATAATCTAGACATAGCCAAGTTGAATTTAATGAGCAATACATATTGTTAATTGTTTTTTTATTATATTTCTGACAAATGAACGCATACAAATCAATTGAAATTGTTTGTTTATCATTATGACATAATAATTTTTTATTTTTTATCTTTATTTGATCAAGAATGTATCTAACTTTTTTCTCACAGTATGAAGTAAACCAGGGGTGGGCAACCGAAATGTTTCACCTGACCCCCTTGTGTCAACTGAATTTACGACTATAGTTTTTATGGATATAAATTTTTGTTGAAAATATTGTCATTACGACCCCCGATTGTCACATTGTGCTTCTTATTATATGTTAACCTAGCCCAGTGGTTCTTAAAGTATGGGTCGCGACCCAAACATGGGTCGCGGAAGGTTTAAAAATGGGTCGCGACAAGGTCGTCAATGCAAGGGCAACCTAAGTGGAGAATGAAGAATTTTCAGCTTTCCCAATGTTTCAATTTAGCTTCTAAACTCTGGTATTTAAAAATAATGAAATATAAAATTTCATTCACGGAAAGAACTGTCTTGAGCTCATTGTTACATCACAATTCTGATATGCCAGTCACGTGTATTATTTTTATGGTATCGGTAACCAGGCACGTCGCTAGTCGTTGTGTTGACCGCGTGGAATGTCGTCTTAGTGGATTAAAATAACCAAAAATGGGTGTCTTTTTGGTAATGTAAATTGTAATAGACGACGCAATGAAAAATCTCGACATTAGATTATTCAATATCTAGAGAAAATGTGACTTCATCTCGAGGCACCATTTACCGCGAAGCAGTGTGTGTACATTTGATGAGTAAAAAGTTGTATATTGCGAGAGATACCAAAGGCCAGCTAGGATGTCGTGTTTGCGACGGACAGCGGACGCCTTTTCTGCTACAATTCGCGACAAGGCACTTGTGCGAGCGAGGATATTTGGCACTGACGGTTATCAAAACTAAGCTCGCAATCGCCTCGATACCCGTGACAACTTGCGTATTGCGTTAAGTAAAATAGAGCTGTGTATTGAAGATATAATGAAAAGGAAATTTCAGTTTCATCAATCTCACTGAGTCAATGGACTGTTTCTAATAAATAGTTGTCTGTATTTGAGTCAAACTGTACTAACATTAAAAACACATTTTGCGTTATTTAGGATTGTGTCGCGAATATTCATAAAACTCAGATTTGGGTCGCGCTCGAAAAAGTTTAAGAACCACTGACCTAGCTGTTGCAAATAAACAATTTTTATTCATAGTTTTTCATATTGAGTTTTGAAGCTCCGGCCCAGTCTATTATCTGTAACTGGCCACTCAGAAAAGTAATTGTCCATTCCTGAAGTAAATAAACAATACGGGTCAACTTACATATGGTGTCCCAGAAACCCCTTCTTGTCCCATTAGTGCAAGTCCTCCTACTGCAGTCAGACCAGAAATAGCGTTAGTGACGGACATCAGTGGTGAATGAAGAGCTGGAGAAACGCCCCAGACAGTGTGATAACCCACAATCACACTAACCCCAAAAGTTGTCACCATTTGAGTAAAAGCGGGAGTGGGAGATAGAACTCCTAAACCGACGATTCCAGCAAGACCTAAAAAGGAATGGATTTAATTGAGTAAGAGTTGTAAGACTAAACGTAATTGCCTTCTCATTGAGTAGAAACTCTGTGGCCAAACTGAGAATTTCCTTAGGCTCACAAGTTTGAGAGCCACCGGGTAAGAGCTTCAATCCTTACATCAATAAGCATTTACTAGAAACATACTGCACCAAGGCAATTCTTTATAGTTGAGTAGCAAAAGCATTTTCGTGGTCACCGTAACCTTGCTCATGGTTGAGTTTCCTTTACTTCTGAGTGAGTGAGACCTTGCTTTGCGCACATTTCTTGCAAGATAGACAATTCGGCGCTCCAGAAGTATGTGTACCAAAATGGAGGGAAATTAATTTTGTTCACCTACTTTACATCAAGTTTTGTCAAGCCTACTTTACATCAAGCCTATGGGCAGGAGGTATACTCACTTGGCTGATACAGACAGTACCCAAACTCATAATACAGGGTGTCCAAAAAGTTTCGCCCGATTATAAAGTCTTTTATATTTAAATGCTATTTTTTTTTAATTGTAAAAAAGATTTATAGTCAACCTGTTTCTAATTGGATGTTATAGATGTGGAATGTTGCAGTCCCCATTTATCATACAACAAAAATTATTCAAATTTGCAATTGGTAATGCTATGAAATCGAGCGGAACTTTTTGGACACCCTGTTGAACTAAAATGAGGAAAATCGGAATAAAATTACGGCCTAACCCTAATCTGGTACACATACTACTCGGAAGTGCCAACATTTAAACTTTGAATTACTGTTAAGTCTAATGTAAATTTTTTTCTAACATCGAAGATTTAACATACAATTATATACCGAAACCTAAAAAAACATCCATCCATCAGTGGTAATCTATCAAAATTGAACTGAGATAATCATAGGCCTACCTGATGTAATGAGGGCATTATTTTTCATTGTGATTTGGAAATTACTCGGTGGTTCCACAACGGCAACTTCTGGTTTGGGTGCAGGAGGTTTTGGGGGTTCAGGCATAGTTTGAGGAGGTGGTGGAGGGAATGAGATTTCACCGTTGTTGACGACGCAAGAACCTCTCACCTGTAGAAAGAAAAATGGGGTCAAGTAAGTATCAAATTTGATTAATTCCTTTGTTACTTAATTAATTTGTTGAGAATACAAAAATTGTAAAAATGCTAATATATACCTAAATTCCAGTTTTGACTTGAAAATTAGTGTGGTTTAACTCAAGATGAGTCTTTGTAGCAGATTACCTCATATTTAACAATCATACTGTTAAGGAATCTGCTGTCACTCTGACCGAACTTGAGACTAAGAAATGGAGCAGAATAGAGAGCAGTAAAAGTAGCAGCTATACACAACTGGGTTCCTTTCCAATTTGCTGGGAGTCTAATGGTTTTAATAATTTGATTGCTTTACACTGGTACTGCCTATTATTAGTATGTTACTATGACACACTTACATGGCAATAACTAGTTGATTACTTTATTATTTCTTGCTATAGTTATTAACTGTCTTGTACTCCAGTATTTAGCTCTGTTAATGGTGCTATGCTCGTTTTGTTTCTCAAGTAATTTGCTAATTTTAGGATTACCTATTCTGACAAAGCCTCATCTAAATGAAAGTGAACTGGTATATATATTTTCTGCGTATTATGCTTGATTGTAGTACTTATTTGAACGTTTTATCTCTTACCATATGTCATTGTGTCTGACTGATATCTGGATTAAATCAATTCAGAAAATCTGTTAGTTCCATTTCCGGATATTAGTTAAAGAGACATAGTAGGCAAGGGTGATATACTAATTTGCCAATAGGCAGAAATTCAAACTACAGGGATATAAATTACTACAAGAGAGCGATGCTCAAATATTTGGACACAAAGGCCAAAACAAAGTAGTACGGGTATGCAATCTGTCACAGTAGACTACCGGCACCGTATCTTCACCACTTCGCCCAACGTTGAAGTGCACAAAAAAAAAGAACCCCTTTAAGCCCACATAAATTTCTGAAATAAATAAAATAGCCTTCTAGCAAAATATACCTTTCACCACTGAAAATTTCAAAGCAATTGAACCAGTAGTTTTTGATGAAAGCGATTTTTCGTAACAACCAGTGTTGTTGTTGAATTCTGAATTCAACAACAACACAATCCATATGTATATTTGATGTCCAACAATATACCTACCACATGATCAATATTTCCATGGTCATATTCATTCTTGTATTGATAGTCAAATATTTCTTTATCAGGACTCATTCCTTTGATTAGTCTGACCATGTTATTGGAGAAAAGAGTTGATGACTGAGTGGGAAGTTGACTTGGTAGATCTGTGTATCCAATAATCTTTACACCCTGTCAAAAGAAAACAAAAAAATATTTTCAAATTCTTAAAATATGATGTCGAAAACAAATTAAATATTCTAATACATGATATTCAATTTGGTAATTATGTGAATTTATACACAAGTCAAAATCTTTTCAGTTTCAAGCGGTTTAAGTCTTACATAACACATAAGTCTCACATAACAACTGAAAAGAGCGCTTTTTAAATCCTGAAATCAATAAAATGTAGAGAATCAATCTGATCACGATAAACCTTGGGTTTTCTAAATTCAAACTTATTGAATATCCATTTGATTTCTATATGTTCTTGTTTACTATATTTCAATTTAGAAAATATTCGAGAACATTAATTTGAAATGTATTCAGACTTGGTTTTGGAAACTAATAATCAAGAATAAGCCAAACATGAACTGCAGTCAAATGGCTACGATACTACGGGTAATTCAGAATAGTGAATTATTTGATTTCTAGTCAATGCTAATTGGAAATGAGTTCAAACTGGTTGGTAATAAGTCTATTCCGAACTGCAGTAAAATGGCTATGATATTAAATTGGAATGCATTCAGAATAGTGAATTAATCATGTTTAGCCACCCCTGGTTGGGAATGAGCCAAATCTGAAAATTTGGTTGAGAATAAGCCAATTCTGAACTGCAGTAAAATGGCTATGATATAAATCTAAAATGTATTTAGAATAGTGAATTATTCGTGGTTAACCACTCCTGGCTAAGAATAAGCCAATTTTTGGACTGCAGCAAAATGGCTATGCCTTAAATTGTCTTTTAGGACGACTCAGAACATAAATCTTAAAGAATAATAATACATTCATTATAACAATAGACATACCGGCATTGAATACTGTAACAAAAGAGACATGTGAAACTTGAGAATGCTTGATAACAATACCGGTACATAATATCAAAACTGAACTCGTTAATGGGAACTTACTCCTTGTTCGAATAATTGTCCAGGTTTCGTGTATTCGCAATTTCCGCCAGCCTCTGCCGCTAAATCAACGATGACTGAACCGTCCTTCATAGAATCCACCATGGCTTTTGTAATTAGTTTCGGTGCTGGCTTGCCTAAAAGAGAAAAGATTGTATGAAAAGAACAGAAATTATTCATGGGTTGGATCCCGGGGAAGAGAGGAAAGTCAATAAGATGGCTTAATTTTATAAAACTTGTTTTCTAACTAACAAAATCTCACCAGGTATAAGTGCAGTGGTTATAATAATGTCCACATCTTTGGCTTGTTGAGCGAATAAAGCCATTTCAGCTTCGATAAATTCCTTTGACATTTCTTTGGCATAACCCCCTGTACCTTCACCTGACTCTTCAAAATCAACCTGAATAATTGTTTTGAGGTAAATGAGACAAAAATGGTAATGAGAGAGAGACTTAATTAGATTCTGCAAAAAAATATGGCGGACAATTTAAATGGAGCCTGTGTTTAGTAAGATTATTGGATGTCAAATTGTCAAAATAAGAATTTTTTACATGCAAATATCCCTGAAATCAGGAATTCACTATATCAAATATAAACGATTGCAATGTACTCAAATTTTCTATTTGCTTCGAACTTCCCACCGTAGTACAATTTTTTTCCGGGGTCAGCCAAAGTTGTGATGAAGTGAAAATGGCAAATTTATCTATGAAAGTTGTAAAAGAAAACAATCAATCAAATCACTCGACTACTGTGTATTTTATTAAGTGTTGTGCTAAAAGAGACACAATTTAGATCCAGATTTGGGCAAACCTGCTAGCATGCTCAACTATCAAAATTTCAGTATGATTTCTCAAGTAGACGTTTTCCAATAACACAATTTTAATACCACAACTAGGGGTAACAATTTACCACGATCAACTCCTTATATAAAATAAAGGGAGCTTAGTTTACCCATTTGCATACTCAAAGTGACATTGTTTAATCCAGTGATGACCACCAACTTTGCCAAGAAATGAGTTTCCCTTACTTCCGATTGAGTGTAACCCACTAATAATAAAGTGCCACTATTGTTGTTCTTTAGGGAAAACAGTGCCAAAATATCAATGATAGTTTCTTACTTTCAATGGTTCAGCTCCGAGAGATTTGAACTGTTCCAAAGCTTCCTCTCTTGTATCAAAACCTCGAACGATAGCCCCCATGGATTTTGCTGTACCAGCAGCAGCAAGACCAGCAACACCTCCTCCAATGATAAGTATCTGTATAAATAAAAATTTGATAAGTACATGTAAACCTACAGGGTGATCAGGGTTTTTGTTGTGAGAAAAGCCCTAGCCTGTAACTAATGGGTAAGATAGAAGAAATGGCTGAAAATTTTTTTTTAAATTTCTCTTGAGTCCACCGAGGCTGACATCTCACACTCAATTCAGCTTTTCATTTGTAATTAACGAGCTACTGTTATGATACTTTTGTAGCTGGAATTTCATTCATATTGTATTATTAATTTGACCAACATATTTGGGAATTGCTCACCTAATTATTGACCTAATTGGATAAAATGAGTTGAAACGAAAATGAAAATTTATTAAACAATCGAATCTGTTTTAGGTCTGATTGAGCCCAAAGGTTCAGCAATCTAGGACACTATACGCACAAAAGTTATGTTCTCTTCTGGAGTATATTTCAGGTGAGCTGGTTTCTGCTTTTTTGGGGTCACCGACTTACCGTATAACAGAATATTTTAATTCAAATAATTCAATCAATATACTGACTGACCTTCGCTGGTGGTACTTTTCCTGCTGCTGTAATTTGACCTGTGAAGAAACGTCCAAAATGATTTGCTGCCAAAATAACTGATTTGTATCCTGAAATGTTTGCCATAGAACTCAGGACATCATAACTCTGTAAAACAATATCAATTTTTAATAATACATTCCCTAGAATTTTTTAGTTTATTATCAATAGCAGAAAGATTATTACGAAATAATAAATATTAATTTAAAAAGAGCAAAATCTCATTCTTCAAGCAGTGCGAAGAGGTGGGGGACTAAGACGTGGTTACTAAAACAGGGCTCTCGGCCTTGTTGGGGGTCACAGAAGGGTTCAACGTGGGCCACAAGTATTTGACTTCATTATTAAGCTTTAAAAGGACCTTCACTAGCGCTGCAAAACCCTATAAGTCAGTGGTTCCAAAACTTTATAACATCGTTGCCCCTAAATCGAATTACCAAAAGCTCCAACTAAGTGGACGGCAAACAGCGTCTCATATCATCGTCAATCACAAGAAAAGATATTGATAACACAGTGAACGTCTGAATTACCCCCAAAAAATTTTCAAATTACCCCTTTAGGAACAATTAAAGCCAGTTTGGGAGCCACTGATAATTTAAATTTATTAGCACTATTATACAAAAAAGTTATTAACCTGGGCTATTGTAACTCTTGGTACTTGATCCATTGCAAATACAGTCGACTTCTTTTCACTGAGTTTTTTCAATAAATCTGGATTTTGTGCCGGATAAATATTACTGAATAATGTACTGTCTTCTTTCAACAGTGAAATTTCTTCAGCCGAAGGTGCACGAACCTGAACAGTATTTTGATGGAATTTTTATGACATTATCTATATAAGCATGTACAAAAAAGTACGTAACATTAAACAATTACTAATACAATATACTTATATGTAGTCAAGGTCTGTGTAGTAAGAGTCAGGATCTGGAGGCGAAATTAAAATTTGGCATGGCACTATTGAAAGTGGAGTATAGTTGGACTGACTTCATATGGGGGGGGGGGGGATTTTGAATCCATATGACTTGAAAAGTCAGAATTCTAATATTTTCGAGGTGATAAAAGTGTATATTAAAAAAAAAACTTGGCTAAACATTTTAAGCCAATATTTTTGCTGTGCAGTCAAATTTGTTTTTAGTAGCTTGGGAGTTAAGTGTGAATTTTCCATGAATCCACAGCCTTGTTTCCAACTTATTCTGACTTTGAATAATCCAAAAGATTTCTTGGGTAGGAATGGATCACCAAAGGACGTAGTTAGTCAAATATCTAATTATTGAATTACATATTTCATATGAAATGTCCACCATATTATATGAAATATATACTTTCAGAGTAATATCTAGGAATAGTATTTGGAAAATGAAATGAAAAAAAAATCACAATATAATAAAAGTTAAGGAAACAAGAAAATTACCTTGAGAACTATATCGGATGCAAATGCACTCTTTTTATCTGTTAATTTTGCTCCTGCATTTGTGTAATCTGAATTGGAGAATTTAGCCGTATCTCCTGCACCAGACTCTATTTGCACACCAAATCCCATTTTTATCAAGGTTTGAACACCAGCAGGCGATAAAGCAACTCTCTTCTCATTCATAAAAGTTTCTTTAGGAACTCCGACAACAACATCTCCGTATGGTTTACCTAGGATTGTAATAAAAATATTTATATATTGAAAATTAGTTGCTACTATAATTTGCGGTCCACCACACTATACTATGATGTCTACTGCCCCATCCATCACATGCACCAGATATTCCTCTAACTTTAATATAGCAAAATTAATATATATCATAGTTCCACGCAAAATGAGTGTTTTTGAAATTAGAATGATTTTTATTTATAGAAAAGGTGTCTAAGTAAAGTCAAGTAAGTTTTACCAAAGAAGTAGAAAATAAGTAGTACTCTAAGTAGAAATCCTACACTAAATTAGTTGTTTTCTTTTGTAATAAAAAAAAAATAAAAATAAGATTACTGTTTCTCAAGTAAATAATATTGCTATCTTGCAGGGCGGCACTATGCTATGGAAAGCTATACAATGTGATGGGGATCAGGAATAACATATGCAAATATGGTTATGCTACGCCTACTAGAAATACTTGGCAATATACTAAGCTTAAAAACTTTATCCCTCTGAATAGTTTGCAATTGTGACCACAAGTACAACCATGGCACAAAATCTAATATATCTTACCCTTCTGTGCATGACGGGTTGCCGCACTGAATTTTCTCGACCAATAATATTTCAAATTTCTTGACAGAACTTTGGACGATTGTTGGAGTGGTGTTCTATTGGCAGCAAATTTTATTAAACCCGACATGATAGTAGGTATTACATTAACTAGCAGACTGGCACCTAAACATTATGGAAAACATAAAAAATTCAGAACTTAGGCTATAAATTAGTGAAAAAGCAGATAATATATACCCCTGGAATTAAATGAACACAAAATTATAGAACATGTATCGAAATGAAGAATAGCCTAGCCATGTTTCGATCTTTTCACTGACAGGAACATGTGGCACTTATCGGCGAGCAAAGTCTGCATATTAAAAAGTAAACAATGCTAAATAAATAGTACTTCCAAGTCAATGCGTGTGAACTGGCTGACTGGGGTAACTTGGGTTCAAATTTTGTCTCAGAATAATTTTGTAAATATTAATCTGTAATTGATTTAGTATTTGCGGTACTGAATTCTGGGCATCACATGGCTTATCGTACAGTGCAGCAGTTTTAAATCAATAAACCAGAACAAGGTTTTCAGATTTTATTAGTTTTTGCATTTCAGCATTTACTGAATGCAGAACAGACAGATCAGCAGATTGTGTACACAGCCTAACTTGCACCTTTACATAATGCTGTAATGACATGTTGCAGACATGGCATTCTGACATTTGCCAGCTGCATGGCAGCATTCAATCATCATTCCATAGTATAAGTATCAGTTTATTTTGATTTCTCGGATACACAACATACATAAAAAACATCAAAAACTAGAAAACATCGGAAAATCAGGAAAACTGGCAAACCTCTATAAATGTTTAAATCATGTGGAAATACATGTGTCAGTTCCCTGTGATACACAAACAAACATATAAAAATAAAAGATAGAAACATAAAAGTGCATCGTTCAGGCAAAACCTTCCATCTCAGAGTCTTATGGCTCAGCGGTGTGGCGCATCGTGCTAAGCGTTAGGAATATGCTCGCCACCGCATCTGTGATTACCCTTCGTCGGTTCGCATTCCATGCGGGGATGATCATGTGCGAGAGGATTGCTGGACTCCTTGCTGCCGTAGGGTGGTTCTCGTAACCGCTGGTCGGTCACGGCTTCTTCCACCATCAGGTCCATGCTTCCGAAAACAAATAACTGGCTAACTAACCCCATACCCGACCTGGACCGGTAACCGGAGGAGAGGCCTTGGTTCGCCATATGAATAAGCCGTCTTATCGCCTTTCCTCTCCCCAGGATAAATATGTAAACCTTTCCTTCCTTATATATTCCTGTATTCTGTATGTTTTAAACTTTACCCGATATCTAAGATTTTGTTTTCTCTCGTGATTTTATAATCAGTTTTTACTTAACTTTACTTGTTTTTATCAATCATTTTATTGATTGTTATGCCTGTACTGTACAGCTGTATGCTAATTAGACTACAGGATTATGGAGTCGAAATAAACTTATACCGGTATTGATACTCATAAAACTAGGCTACGGTATACGGTATCTGTATATTGAAACGTTGTGTGACTGGATATAGGTCCGCAAAGGTTTGCTTGTGCTCTTGCACATAGCACAATTCTACTCCAACAAACAGACAAAGCCTCATTCGAAGCAATTCAGCAATTGCTGAATTGTACAAAAACAGATCATAAAAAGTTACCGCATTTAACATCAATCCCTCTTCCACCTAAAAATCATTTCAAAACACACACCCACACAAGCAGACAAGCTTTGCCTGTCTACTAAATTACTGCAAACCAATGAAAAATGCAAATTATATCTAGGTTTACCATAAGAAAGTTAAACTACAAATTTAACTCCAAGACGTTCTGTCTAATCGGAAAAGTTCGGAATGACCTTACCAGTTTACGTCTGTACGTGAACGCACAAACATGCAACGTCGACCGGCAAAATAAACCGGTGGATATGAAAGCGTGCGTCCACGATGACGTAAAAGACGCAGAAACGCTACAGCGTTATAAACAGAATGGTGAAAACGTAACCAGCAGCATCTCTGCTTACCTAATTTGCGGTATCGATAATTATTATTTACGCATATGAAAAGAGCAGTGTCCTTTCGAAATGCCTTAAACACAAGGTATATTCATCTTCATGCCCCGAGGTGATACTAGACAAAATATATGCCCGGTAGCCCGTGCTTGGCAAAGTTTATGTAAACCTTCTACATTTACGCTTGCCGCCATATTCGTAAAGATAACAGCTTCCGTGTGCTTTTATGGCGTATCTTCGTGTTAACTATACAGCAAAACAATCTTTATAACTTCTTGAGTGATGAAGATCGGAAAACGGGCGATTTTCAGCTATCTTGGACACAACTCCAAACTTATAAACTGCATTGCATTTGGTAGACCTTCTGAAGTATGTTCACCAAGATGGCGCACAACCTGAACTCATGTTGTGTACCAGGTTAGGGTTCAGGTTGTGCGACATCTTGGTGCGCATATTTCAGGAGTACCCATTTGGTAATTTTGCAACTTATGTACCGTGTTTCCCCGAAAATAGGACCTACCCTGAAAATAAAACCTAGTCAATAACGCGAAATTTTTTTTGACCTAGTCGATAGCAAGAATTCTCTCCTGCTCGTTTTAAATGATTGATAATCGGTCTTTCGCAGTTACTTTAAATTAAAACAAAAAACGTGTTATTTATAAGTAAATGGATATCGGTTTTCATATTTTACATATTTAAAAATCTCGTGATTCTCTATTTTGTAATCTTGTTTTTGATGAATGAGAAAATAAGAGATCCCCGAAACAAAGACCCAGTCCTATTTTCGGGGAAACACGGCATTTGTTTTACTTACCTATAGTTATTATTTTTCTAATCGAGTCTCGAGCACCTGAAAGATATGTAGTTGTATGTTTTTTTTGTGATGGGGTCTTTCAGGCACATAAATTACTGAAAACATGGAATCCACCGCTCAGTCAGTTCGCAGAGAGTTCACACACAATCAGAAACAAGTTTGAAATCTGAACCAATTCGTATAATTTACTATTCAATTCGAACAGCCCATTCCTTACTTATATATAAATTGCTTTGAGTCTTTCATCATTTACGAAACAAATAAATTCTTTCTCTTTTATCATTTTATGAGGAGTTTTACACCACCATAATGAACAAATCTCAAAATTGGCAGACTCTGATAAGAAGTGAGTTACATCTTTTCAGAAGAATCAAGGCATGCATAATACCCAACTTATCACGTATAGGGCGAAGCGATCCAATCCTGGTACAAAATTTAAAGCAAAAAAATACTCAAGATTTACAATTCATTATATTTACTGTGAAGTGCATTCAGAATTAAGACAGAGTTATTAACAGTTAGCTGCTACTCAGACGTAAAGCTATTCTAGCTACAAAATAGCAACTCGTCTAAATGCTGCTTGAAAGGCATTTGATGCAATATACTATTGATCATAAGAAATGATAAAGATCAATGATGCTTTCCACGATTAATACAGTTAAAGCAATATGAAAATTATAAAATAACGAAACAATTACCCTAAATATTTTTTTGATATGTTGAAAGAGGTAGTATATGATACAATAATGTAAAACTTGAAACGAGTTTTGAAGACATTTTGTGCTGCATATAGTTGCATTCAGAACGAAAAATGAAATTCAATTAATGTAAAACAAATAAAACTCCCTTTCAATATAAAATATTCAAATTAAGGGTTTTAAATTTTTAATATATGTATTAGGGTTGAAAATGTCGGATATATGTATCAAGTTTTTTAGAAAAAAAAAGTATTATACAAGCACAAACAATTTGGCTTAATTCTCTTTGAAACAAGTTTTTATACCTATTTGGCCATAGCAAGCTTAATTAAATGCGGAAAAAGTTACAAATACAAAAGTTGCAGAGAACGATTTCAATGCAATTCAGTATAACCATTTTCTTAAACAGTATTTCATTATAATTCATTGTAAGTGCACAGGGTGATGTACAAAGCTCATGTAGCCATATACAGAATGCTACAGTCCATCAAAAATTCAAAGAAGATATGAATATATATTGAATGATAGTTTGCTGTAATTTTTAAACTTGATTTGATATTAAAATTCTATATTCGGAAACGGAAAATAAAAATAAGAAAAACATTTTAAGGTCATTTTAACTAGTAAGAATTCACATGAGATGAGAAATTTTTTGTTATTTCAATATTGGAACATCTAGCTGAATGTCTAACATTTAAATCGACATTTGTGAAAGGCACGCTTGGATGACAACATAGTCACAGTATGTGATCGTAGTGTCATGAATACTATACAAATAAAGCTCCATTTGTAGGTATTACTGTTCAAAATATGCATACAAAACTTTGCTAATCTCAGAATGTTACAGTAACAATATACTATCGTAAAACTAATAATGAATAATAGTCAGTACTGTACACAAACGAGATGCTTTCTAAAATTAGAAAACTCTGAATAAAAAGGGAACATTAGGTACGGTATATATATTGACATAAAAATTAATTACAAAGTTATATGATAGCTATTGGTTATCGACAGTCTAGTAATAATTCGTCAACCACTCTTGAAGGCAGGTTGTTTTCCATGTCACATGACTCGATATGTGCATGACATGGCATGATGATTATGACACCTCTATTGGCTTTTTGTGTACGGATGTCGATCTGACACTAATTACTTGGATCCATTTCAACTTTTCCAATTTATTCTTTTGGTATTTATTTGACACAACAGGTTGTAGTCATTTTTTCGACTTGACGAAATTTTAATCCTGGTCATCCTGTTCGTCACTCCAATTAATTTTCAAGTGTTCGATCACTGCTTTGAGCATTGATTCCACATTTTGTGTACGTTGGTTGACGCCTCGCATTTTATCTCGAACCTTTCGGATTTGACCTTGAATGTTGTCAACTTTGTCTTCAATGTCGTCAAGCTCACTCTAAAAATATTACAAACCATGCAGTTTTAAAAACAGATATTTGAACAGGTAAAACCAGGGAGTCCTCGAACTGGGCTTACAGTCCCTCTGTGGGGCAGTTGTCTGGAGTGCACAAAGAAGGGCTTTACTTAGTACAATTCAAGATGACTATATTAACCTGAGTTAATAGGCAGGGATCCATTCACTTCTGATGCTGACGATGGAGTGTCCAGCATTAGTCGTGGGATGAAATTATCCTTAGTGAATCGGATTCAAACCAGCAATCACTTCAAAAGGTAAACAGTAGTTACACAAGGCACTTTGAGTTGACTGGGTTCAGACCCAGGGATGATTGCGACACAATTAGGCCCCATGGGGCTTCAACCCATGCCTGCTAAACTAAAAAAAATGGGACCTCCTGAAGTATGAGCACCAAGATGGCGCACAACCTGAATTCAGGTTGTGTACCAGGTCAGGGTTCAGGTTGTGCGACATCTTGGTGTGCATACTTCAGGAGTACCAAAAATTGTATATACTACACATATCAGAAAACTAGTGGAAAAGTTATCACAAACTTGAAACATACTTTTTCTGGTTCCAAAGCTGTGTTAATATTTTCAGCACTGAAGCTTGAGTCCTCTAAAAACCATCTAAGAATTCGGTTTTTCATTTGGTAATGATTCGGCCAGAAATCGTAGGTTTTTTGCAAAAATCTTCTCCGTATAGGTTGTGGCATGGTGTATTCAACATCTAAAACTAATTTGACCTGTAAAATAAATTGCAAATCCAAATTAATCTTTACTCCAAGTTACTGAGAAAACCTTCATTTATGTATTTCAACATAGTCCGTAATATACTGTAAAATGTAAATAATAACAATTTAGGTAAAGAAAGACGAATTGAAATATCTTTATATACTGAAAATTGTTTTTACCATGTAAAGTAAACATTCATACAAAGACAAGAGTCCAATATACCAAGGAAGCTTGTAATATGTAGCCTATCTACTACAATAAGTATTGGGAACCTATAATCATAATTAAGCATTCCGTACTGCAATATATGCAGTTTATTTTCAATTTCTAATTGGAAATTACTATATCCCTCTTCATTCAACACAAACATGTACTGGTGGATTTGTGAAACAAGCGGGAATACTTCACCTGCATTGCGAGTCTTTCCAATTTAGCATGATCTTGTACTTCTTTGATATCATCAACAGCCAACCCAACCTACGGTAGTTGAGAAATGAAGGATAAAACTTGGTAAGCAGTGATGTTATATACAAAGTGTAATTACTTTGGTATTGCTGGCTTTACTGCATCAATATACATCTTGGTTGATAAAATAAGAAAAAATAAGAAACTTAACTGTGCTCAGCGGTGTAGCGCTCACCACCTCTGATTACTCTGCGTGGGTCCGCAGGTTCAGATCCCATGCGGGAATAGTTACGTGCGAGAAGATTGCTGGATTCTTCGCCGCCGTAACCGCTGGTTGGTTGCACCATCAAGTCCATGCTTCCGAAAACAAATAATTGACTAACTAATCCATACCAGACATGGACTGGTAACCGGTCGAGAGGCCATGGTTCGCCATATGATTAAGTCGTCTTGTCGGATTTCCTCCCCCTCCGGGTAAATATATTAATCCTACCCCATAATATTTGTTTCGATTGGTAAATGTATAACAGACTCACCAAGAGATTCATGATGATAATGCTCATGATAACCATAAATATAAAGAAGATAGCATATGATATTCCGTCGTACTCAACCTGAAGAAAAGCAGATAATAATGGCAATTTGCAAATGCTATAATCAATTATGCAAAAGTATGGCTATTTTGTTCAACTAATGGAATTAGAAAATTAAACAAATAGTACTTTATCCAAAATTATATCTCGCAAGTGATAATCCCAGTTCCAAGCTTATCACCAAATATCTTCAGATAAACAGACATCTACTGATCTACAATGGCTAATGAAATTTGTATCCTCTCGTCCAGCGGAGCCTATACAATTAACCCTCAACAGAAGTTACCAACATTAAATTTTCTCCACTTCAAAATTCAGATAAAAAATATTGACTTACCTGATCATTATAATCAGTACTTGTAAATTGTGTGTTGAATAATCCATCATATTCAAATTCTCCAATCATCATAACAATTGTTTTTATTATAGAATTCCACCAATAAACAAATGCAAACTGAAAAAAATACAAAATATAATGAATATGAAAGCTGACAGTTGGCAATTTGTGCTATGTATTGAGAATGTTCTCTGATTATTCTGCAGGTTTGAATGCTGAGGAAGAGAAGTATGTATGTGCGAGAGGATTACTGGACTCCTCAGCATCATACGGGTGGTTCGGTTAACTGATGGTCGCTTACGGCTTCGTCCACCATCAAATCTGACACATCTGACACAAACAACTGGTTAACTTTTCCCATATCCGAAATGGACTGGTAATAAGGCAGGAGGCCGTCGTTCGCAAGATAATTACCGTAAATCTTATCCCATTTCATCTCTCCTGGGATAAATTATGAAAATCCTATCCTATCCTAAAAATGCTTATGCAACAACCCGGATATTTAACAGCAAAGTAAATGGTGATGATTCACAGTTGAGTAATAAAGGGTCAGTATACGTATGGGGCTACTTCTTTGAATGAAGTCCAATTTTATTGGGTTCAGCATCACCTATTTATTTCACCCTGGGTAAAGTGGGGGTATATGATTGGAATATACTGCATAATACTCTTACCTGATTTTGAAAAAGTGCATGAAAACTGAAGGCGAAAGCAAATATAAAGAGTAAGAAAACAGCGAAAAATGAAAAGAATGTTTCCAACACATCGGTAAACATCAGAACATAGATTCCAAATCTCGGAAAATTTTGTATGAAGAGTAGAAGACCAATCCATGATAAGAAAACTGCTACTGCACCACATTGCCACTGCCAAGGCTGAAAATAAATAATTTCACATTTTACAATTTAGAAATTGTAGAGATGAGAGTATATTCAACCAATATCAAATAGATGAACAAAATACCACACTGTCGTATAGTGGTTCATAGCAACTGTGCCAATGGCTATAGCTTATACTGCCAACCAAGTATATGCATCAGAAACATGGAGAATTTTGCCAACTTTTTTATGAAATAGAACATGGATACACAGAAAATCGTTTAATAAAATGTTCACCAATTACAGTTTCAACATTTTATCTCTGGCAGTGTTGGGTAGTCCCTAAAAGTCTCTAAACCCAGAGTTGTGGATCAACTCAAGTCAATGGTCATCAGAGTCTCGAGTCAAGTCGATCATTGAGTTAACTCTGATTGGAAGCTAGATGAGGATGTTCATGAGTCACTCCATTGAGGTGATTCAAGTCATTTCGAGTCTTTGACAATTAGTCCGTCAAGTTTGAGTCGAGTCGAAGACTTGGGCCTCCCAACTCTGGCGATCAAACATTGGCCCACCATCCTACTTCAAACTAATCTTAGTAATATTCATAAATTCTCCAACATCATTGCTAGGAGTTAGTGTCATGTTCACATAGAAATTGAAAACAAAAAAAAACATAAAAATAAAAGATATAAAATTTTCAATTACATCAATAAATCTACCAAATATCATCTAGGAAACAAAAAAGAAAACGAACCTCACGAATACCAGTATTTCTTGAATAATCAGAGACATCGATGACAGTGACGATACATAGAATATAGAGACAGAGTTCTAATAAATTTGTGACGCTGAAGAAATAATGATGTTTTCTGCTGAACACTTGGAATATCTGTTAACATAAGAAATTGCACTCTGATATGGTTATAATACCTGTTGAAGGAGCAAGATTTCCAATTAGTTTAACTCAACGGGAGCAATGCATTACATTAATAAAACATAAAAAGATGGTCAGATTGTTATGAGACATGCAAGCATGCCTGAAAAAATAGCCTCACAACTTGACCATATTTTTTGTGCTCATTGCAAGATCACTCACACTCACTCAGAAATTAAGGAGATTGATCTCAAAGCAAAGAGCTGCTGAGACTATAACAAATTAGAAGAGTTTTAAAACAAAATGAACGAGGGGAAGTAGTCTTGCAAATAACATTTGGCGATCATCCATAATATTAGTAACATGGTATACCCAAGCAGGTAGGGTTAAATATGGGTGCTCCAGAAGTATCGGTACCAATATGGAGGTAACTAATTTTGTTCGTCTACTTTACATCAAGTTGTGTAAAGGGACTGAAACCTATGGGCAGGGGGATATTCACTTGGGTAACACAGACAGTCCTTAAACTTGTGATGGAACTAAAATAAGGAAAATCAGAATAAAATCATGGCCTAACCCTAACATGGTACACACACTAAATATGTGCCAAACAACCCAACTAAAAAAAATATTTAATTGGTCATTTGGCATATCATAACTATGCTATCTTATCAATTCTTGCAGCTTTTTCTAAATTTCATTGGCCAGTTTCAATTCGGATACTACAATATGCTTAACTAGAACTATAATCACATCAAAAATAAGCAATAACCTCTTTGAGTAAGCTCAATGCAGCAAGGCCAATCACTGTCCACTGAGCAATAGGCCTCCAAAAAGAATGGTTTAAGGTGCAGTCCGTACCCCAAGTGCCTTGAGATGTTTCAACGACTTTGACGCAAGATCCATCGATATTGGTTGCAGTGGCATCTGGAAGAACACAAGCAAAATAAGAGTAATTTTAAATGGCAAATGGCAGCAAAACAGTCCGCAATAGAACGGAAGCGAAAATTATGGTGCATGAAATTAACTCATCGATTGCAAGCATATACAAGTATTGAACAAATGGGACGAGAAAGCCAGGTACGCAAAAAAAAATTTATTATCGACTCCGACTTTAGGTTAGGAAAATTATTGTAAAAAGTTTTGACGCTGACTCTAGATTCGAACTCTGGAAAAATCAAATTTGCTGTATGCAAGACTTCTTTGATAGACTCTCAATAAAACAGAATAAAATTAATAAACTAATAAGGTTAATAAAATTAACTCACTGATTGCATACGGCGGTGGAACAGTGAGCATATAAGAGTTGAAAACCGCCATGAACAATGTGTATAGTAACAGGTTAATATAGTATACTACTCGTCCATACGATTTCCATTTGTATTCAAGAAGACTGTGAACGAGGGGATGCCGAAGTAAGTTTTCTCGTTTCGATTTGACCTGTAAGAAAACAAAAAAAAATTACACTGAGATAGACACAGTATTATAAGTAATCTCAAGCACCAAAGCAAAAAAATATATAAATTGAACTTTTGAAATTTTTTTTTCTTAAAATTCAATACATAAAATTTTATCATAAAATGGTTTTTTTAAAAAAAAGACTATGTTAGTAAGTATTTGTGGTAACGGTGGCCCAATGGTTAAAGTGTTGGATTTAACTATATTGACATTGTATGTTAGAAATCGTGGGTTCAAATCTCATGTCTAGCACCTTTCCGCATCATGTTAAGTGTCAATAATACACTAGCCACCACACTTCTGATTACCCCGCATGGGTATGCAGGTGGGATAGTTATGTGCGGGAGGCTTGCTGAACTCTTTGTCATCGTAGGGTGGTTCACGTATCCCCTGGTCAGCTATGGACCCCTCCACCATCGAGTCCATGCTTCAGAAAACAATTAACTGGCTAACTAATCCCATACTCAACATGGACTGATACCCGAACGAGAGGCCGTGGTTCTCCATTTGATGACACGGGATAAATAAGTAAATCCCATCCTACCAGTGGTTGCTCGTATAGAACTTCGTTCAAAGTGAAAAGAGCATAACAAATGTTTAAAAAAATTGAGTGTGCAAAAAAAGCTTACCATGATCATAAGACAATGATTTTTCATCAGGATATCAGAATCATGAGAATAAGGCTCAGCATTTTTGTTTATTTTTCCATAATCGTCATATACCTATAATGTAGTATAGTGTTAAACGAAGGAATCTTCTTGTAAAATAATTTGCCACATTAGGTGCAAGTCACTAAATACCCTAGTCGCTGGTGAAGTCTGGGTCCCAGTATATCTAAAAATTTTAGTGGAAATAGAGTCGATTTACAACAGTCCCGAGAACCAAGTACTGTTTTGCATCATAAATCGAGACAGAGTTATCGTCATCAACACAATCGTCATCAACACAAGTGTTTAACGCACCAATGGCTAGTTACAGATTCGGAAACTGCTAAAATCTATGATATTAGAATCATAAACTGACAAGCTTTCCTCTCCTCGAGATAACAAAAAAATCTCATCTCAACACACAAAATACAGAGAAGGAGATGAAGAAACACACTCACCTCGTAACTAGCATCAGATGATATAGCAATGCTCGCTTCTGATGTTACGTCACTCTGTTCCTTCCATTCAGCACAAGCATATTCATCATCGAGAAATTCAAAGTCAAAAGTAACCTGTAAAATAAGAGAGCAGAGTTAAAAAACATATAGAACATAATTTTTGAGGAAATTTACAGTTTAATAAGTACCTTATAGTTTTTGTGTTCAATCTGTTTGTTTCCTCGTGCAACACAATTTCTGAAAGCCACTTCTGCAACTTCGGGCATTTTTTTAATCAGTTTTCTCATTGGAGTTTGAGTTTCCTCACCTGGAAGTAATAAAATATAATTTAGCATAAAACTATCACACTCTAGACCTGCTAAACACAAAGAAGATAAGACGATAAGTCCTGTTATCAGTCTAATATTGGATATGGTAATAAGTCATTGTTATTAACAGGGGGGGCACGAGCAAAGGCCAGGCCTGCACTAGTACCATTTGCCACATTACCATCACGTATATCTAATGATTTATTTTATTCTTTGACTGTAATGCATTTATTCTTTTACTTTGGTATGTATTAATAAACATGGAGGAAAGACAAGTCCCTCAATCAAACTAACCAGTGGCGATGTCCTTAGTTCTATTCTGCAATGCTTCTCTCCATTGTGTACTTTCCATGATAGCCATGGCAGATTCTTCTTTTCCATAATCGATTGCATAATCAAGAGCATTGCGTCCATCACTTGTTCTCAAGGATACATCTGCTTTCCACCTAAAGTAAAATCAAAATATTGAAAATGATTTGACAATTTTAGGCCTACGAATTAACTTTTAATGGCACTTTATAAGTCATAGGTTACAAAAAAATTAATTGAAATACTACCTAACTAACTGGAAAATACCAATGTCGAAAAACTTGGTTTATTAAGGTGAATAAAAATTTTGCATCGTTCGGAAGATCTTTTTTTCAAAATTAAAATATGATTGATAATGTAAAGCGCCAGAAGATTTGAGCATTTTTCATGCTGTATTATAAATCAAAATCTCGTACTGGTAAAAAACCAACCAAAATGTTCACGAATATTGAAACATTTGTAGCGAATGTCATAGGATTTGTCCAAAGATTAAAACACCAGTAAAATTTGGGATAAGATATCGGACTCGTAATACTTTGAAAAATTGTATAAAAATAAAACCTCTCACCTTCAAATAAAAATTCAAGTGTAATAATTACTTACTTTAAAAGGAGTTTGACCATATCAACATGGCCTTCCTTGCAAGCAAGATGTAGAGGGGTGGTGCTTCGTTTATCTTTAGGATCAACAGGTGAGTCCGATTCGAGCAAAACAGCAGCACAGTTAACATGTCCTGTTGATGCACAACAATCAAGTGGTGTCCATTGTTTCACGTTTCTTAAAAATAAAAGTTAGAATCTATTATTTTTATATGTTTACCAATGCCACTAATCAAGTGTGAAAATTATGACATCTATGCAAATTAAAAAAAAAAAAGATGCTCTTCCGAAACATGGTAGCTTCGTTTGTACGTGGCTTCTTGCCCACAGTCTACAACTATGAAGACAAAGTTTTTCTTGGATTTATATCCAGGAATTTCCACATGTTTATTTGGTTAGCGTGATAGATAGGATAGGAGGATGCTTTTTAAATATTTATCCTGAAGAAGAGGAAAGTCGATAAGACGGCTTAATCGTGTGACGATCACAGCCTCCTTTCTGGTCTGGGATTAGTTCGCCAGCTATTATTTTGTTTTTTTCAGATGCATGGACATGAACCACCCTACAGTGCGAACCAGCAATCCTCTCGCAGATAATTATCCCTCACAGCATTCAAACCTGCGAACCAGGCAGGGTAATCAGAGGTGCGATTGCAATCATATTCCTAACGCTCAGCACAATGCGCCATGCTTGAAGACAAGGGGCAGTGTTTCTTGGAGGGCCATGCGTAAAGACCCCCACTCGGTACAAATGGCCATGACTTCATTAATTTATAGTAAATTGATTAAGAATCGTTTAAATCTTCGACTGTAATGCTTTTGTTCTTTTGTTTTAAATTGCTTTTTTTAAACTCGATGGATAAAACTCATGGAAACACATTGTAAGCAAAACGAGGTATTTCTATAAAAAAGCACAAGTGTTGAAAGTCATGATCCTGGAAGTAAAAGAATCACTGATTTAATCAATGATAAAATACCATCACCCCGTACCTGGCATCAATACTGGCTCCAGCCTCCACCAATTCTTTAACACATTGAACTCTTCCTTCAAGTGCCGCTAGATGAAGACCAGTGTTAGCGTCTTCATCATCATCTCTTATCACACTCTTATCTTTCCTTATGAGTTCTTTTATCACTCGAACTCTTCCTTCTTTTGCAGCAAGATGTAATGGAGTTTGTTCATCGTCGTTTTTCAAATCCATGGCAGCATTTTGTTCTAATAAAACCTGGATAATTAACATTGAAAAATCATACTATATGAGAAAATAATTAAACAAAAAATAAACATGCAAATACCTTGTGAATAATACAATTTTTAATGTACCGATGGCGTATTATACTATGAAGCTACTAAAATTGGGTATTATGACGTACCACTTTCTGGTAATATGACGTTTTATCAATGCTTTAAATTTCTTAATATGTTTTTATATTCAATTTATTCGCTGAGGCAGATTTTCACGAAAAGTATTTGTGATGTTTCAACTGAAGGTATATTTATCATGTTCCAATATAACGCGACACTATCCCACCATCAATTAAACGCAAATTTTAATTTAATTCAATTTATTTCAATAGTAATAAATGCACATACGTCGCTTACATCACTGCACATGGCTAAAAGGTTGAGTCAACTGAAAGATTTTTTCATTCATTAGTCTGTCTTATCCTATCCTATAAAAGTAGCATTTCGAAGAAAAATACCCTATATCTGTTGTATTTTATCACAAGTTATATTTAGGAAAAGTAATAAGAAGAAATAGGAATTACCTTGAGTATAGTAAAATGACCTTTGGAGGCAGAAGTATGAAGGGGAGTGTCGCCGTATTTATCAGGAGCATTCATCAGTTCTCGAATCTTTTTGTGATCTTGTAATATTTTCTAAATCAAAAATATGATATTTAAAAAAAACAGAATGAAAACAACAAAGTATGTTGAGATAACTTTTAACATCGAATTTTTTAAAAACGAAAAGCTAGATTAAAATAGTGTTTTTTTGATGATAAAAAACAGTTTTAAAATTTTCGCAGTTTAATAGTTCATGGAAGAATTATAAAATATTAAATCATTACTTATCGATTTTAATCGGTAAGTATGTTGATGGTATTTGTAGGTAGGTATTTGTCTGTCTGTCGGTGTGTCTGTCTGTATGTCGGTATGTCTGTCTGTATGTCTGTTAAATGCACGCGATATCTAATGAAAGCGGGAGTGAATCTGCTCCAGATTTTGGATGTGCATTCATCTTATCTCGTACCAGAAGCCTATTGATTTTGGGCAAATTATGTCGTATAATTAGCGAGTTATCATTTAATTAGTGATGGGACACAAGGTGCCACAATGGAGTAAGAGCGCTGTTTTCGGGGATCCCCTAACTTTCGATCGATTTTTCTATAAAATTAAATTCACCTGTAAAACATCAGCTCTATCTTCTTCAGCACATTGATGCAAAACGTTTCGTTCTTGTTTGTCGACAGCTGTTATATCTGCGCCATGATCGATCAGTAATTGAATCGTTTCCAGTTGTCCATAATTTGCAGCAATCAACAGCGAAGTGAAGTCGTCATTATCTTTAGCATTGATTGTTGCACCACTGTAAAATACATGATAAGTTTTTTATTCATATTTTAAGTAAGTACTTACGTCGTATAGTGAACATGTGCCTAATTTTGGTGATCAAAACTTAGTTTTGAGAATTTTTATCAACCCTTTATTTTCATATATCCTGAATCTTCTCCCACAACAAAATCAAATTTTAGAAGTACTCACCAATCCAACAAGTATTTAACAATTTGAAAGTGGTTAAATTTGGATGCCAAAATTAGTGGAGTGGAACCAGTGTCATCTGCTAAATTTACACGAGCTCCGTGAATGGCGAGTAGTTTCACAATTTGCAAATGTCCGTTGTTTGCGGCAAGATGCAATGGGGTTTCTCTATTCCTTCTTTTCGAATTGAGCAAACTTTTTTCTGGTAGAAAGAAAATTTTTTTTGGCTAAAGTTGATTTTGACATCAAAATCTGTATAGACTACTATTAGAAATTTCAATTTCAACTTGAGAAGGCAATCAATTCAAATTTTTAAGTATCTAAAAAAAGGTTTTTTATAGCCCTCAAACTTTTCATTTTATATCATGACATCTGTATTTTTACCATAATTTATATTAATGAATTAATCCCACAAATTAAGAAATTTGGAAATTTTTTAATGCGACAATCGTTTAAGCCTCTTGGACCGAATAAGCTTACACTGATAACTAACAATATGTAAGGAAATAGTATTTTTGTAAGACAGAAATTTTTCTGGTTCGGCATTACCTACCCATTTTATTACCCTATGGGTGATGAGGTCATCTCCTCAACACCACTATATAGACTAGCTAATTCAGAGGTAGGTAAGATTTTTAGACCAGGGGCCAAATATTTCACCCACCCAGACTGACGAGCCATGTACGTGTGGCATGAACAATATTTAAAGTATTACAAAAGCAAAAGTGGAAAACCTTAGGCTTCATGCCAAAATTGAAATTCCTTGAGCTATTTTTTAGCTAAAATATCAAAATTTGGTTTTAGTCTGATTGTGTCAGCATTTCAGATTGAATTATCCAACAGGCCGGATTTGGCCGGCGAGTCATAGTTTGCCCATGTTAGAATCTAACTATTACCTAAACTTTTTGCCTTTTCAACCATATATCTTGTGATGTCAAGATGACCACTGTCCACAGCAAGATGCAATGCTGTGTTCCCATCATTATCTTTATCTTTCAGCATAGTGATAACAAATTTATCACCAAAATCTTGTTGTGCTTTTGAGATAAGAAGCTCAACGATCTAAAAAGATAATAGCAATACAAGGTTTGAGTTATGTAGTTTCAGTACCTCTTGGCAATTCAGCAGTTGCAGTAATTTTGCTTAGAGATGAGTTTTTTAGAATGGCTTGGTGGATATCATAACATGCTAAATGGTGAGAAAAAGTTTGCCAACATAACTCTGATTATTCTACCAGAGTTAGCAAGTTAAAATTCCCTGTTGGATAATTATGTACAAGAGAATTGCTGGACTCATCGCCATCACAGAGTGGTTCTGAAAACCGCTGATCAGTTAACAGACCATCAGAGTCTTCAGTCGAGTTATTCACACAGTTAAATCTCACTGTATATTAGTTGCTGACTAGTTTTAAGTGATTCCATTCTGTGAACTTGAGTAACTTTGAATCTCAGAGAAATGGTGACTCGAGTGGTCAGTTAATGCCTGTTAGTGACAGAGTCTCAAGTCGAGTAAATCTCACAGTCTTGAGTCATTCTATTTAGAGGACTCGAGTAACTTTGAATCTCAAAAAAATGGTGACTTGAGTGTTTAATTGATACCAGTGAGTCACAGACCATCGGAGTTATAAGTGGAGACAATCACAGAATTAAGTATCACTACATTTTAGTTGCTGATGTGCCTTTAGTCATTCCAGTCCTTGAGGACTCGAGTCCAACTCAAGATGAGTCAATGACTCAATACTGTCTCAAATACTGTCATCAAATCCATGAATCTTAAACAAATAGCTGGTTGACTATTACAATACCAGACATGGACCGGTAACCGTGATTTGACATATGGTAACACCATTTTATCACCAATTTTTTCGATATTTCACACTTCAAAAAAATAAAAACAGCATAAATTTCAATTCTAACCTCCAGGTGTCCCTCTCCTGATGCGAGATGTAATGGAGTTCCATTTTCTTCATCTTTGCATCTAATGTTGGCTCCCATATGCATCAGTAATTCTGCAATGTCATTGTGACCATACACAGCTGCTATATGTAATGGTGTCATCTGCTGTTTATCCATTGCCTGAAATTATAGTAAGGTATGAGCTAATAAAGCCGGAATTCAGGATTTATTAAGGCATAAGGATCAATATTTGTGACATACTACACCCTCACACACTTCAATGTAAAAAAGACATAAATAACCACCAAGGTCCCCAAGTTAGATTACAGTTAGTCAAAAGAATTTGCACTCAATCGTCCCACTGATTACCCAGCTGAGGATTCTGAGGTTGAAATCAAGTGGTAAATAAATGTAAGCTAGAGCAGAGTTTCCCAAATTTTTTGGGCCACAGACCCTTATTTGTGAATCTTAGTTTTATTAACGGACACCCATCATATGTCGTATCAATTTCTGTGCCTAACTAACATGGAAGGATAATGTTTCATTTATACTAAAAACGACATTAATGTGATTCTCGGAGCAATTTGTGGCTAGAAAACTTGCAGGTCCGACTCTCGGTACGTCTCGAGCTCTATTCCGTCATCCTATTGGTAAGAGCTGTAAATTATGCATCACACATGTAAGTAGTTACACATGTAAATTGTTACAAAAGGCAACAAAATTTGGATTGCCTTTTCTGACAGAAATGCATATTTTTCTGAAACGCTCAACCGAAAAGATTGGACTCCTTATATCGTTGCGGACCCCCTGTGAGACTCCAGTTTGGTACTAGAGGATTAGAGGATTGGACTGGAAATCATCTTTTCCAACTTTGCGTGAAAATATTTTAATAATTTTACCTCAACCAAAATGCCTGGGCGTTCCAACAAAACTCGTACAACTAAAGTATTTCCCCTCAGACAAGCTTGATGTAGTGGTGTGAGTCCATAAAAATCTTTTTCATTTACAGACGCTCCTTCGCTGAGCAAAAACTTGAGAATATTAATATTGTCTATTTCTGCTTTTGTTGGACTTCCGTCATCTTGCTCATCGTCCTAAATCATATGAATAAGAAGTTAGAAAAATTATGTCAAATAGATTTTTTATTGGAGGATATGCATGACACAAAATATCCAAAAATATTGGAGAATAGGAAAAATTATTCTTATGAAATAAATGAATGGACTCAAATGGTGTGTTATATTTCGACTCATTTTTTTAGATATATACACATAATTTTAGATAAAAAAAATGGCTGATCGTCAACAAAAATGGAACAAAAAACAAAAATGGCAAAATTTTAATCACAAATGTTGGTTAGTTTACAATCCTGACAATAAAACCCATCAAAAAAAAAATCAACAATAGTTTTAGTTGATGAAGAAAATTCGAATTGAAGCATTTTGTAACAAAACTCAAAATGCTAAATATCCCAATCTTCTGAACAAGTGACATAACAACAAAATATCGAAAATAAATTTATAAATAAAATTTTAGGATGCCAAAAAATATCAACAAAACATGCAAAGCAGATAAAAATAAAATAACGCATACCGAAAAATAAAAATATTTAAACATGAAATTTGCAATGTCTTACCGACGCGTAATTTGAATCACAACTACTGTACTAAAGATACAAAAATATCTATCGTTAAAAAAACAAACAACTACTGAAAATAATTAAGTAAAAGTAATTCTTAAAAAATAGGTGAAGTGATTAAATTATTCCCATTATTAGGTTCAACTATATAAGGGGTCTAGAGTTGGAGTCAGAAATCAGAGTTAGACTAAGTTTGAATCGAAATTTGGATCAAGCCAGGGAGTCAGGGCCAAATTTCAAGCCAGGGAGTCAGAGTCAAATTTCAAGCCAGGGAGTCAGAGTAAAATTTTAAGCCAGGGAGTCAGAGTCAAATTTCAAGCCAGGGAGTCAGAGCCAAATTTTAAGCCAGGGAGTCTGAGCCAAATTTCAAGCCAGGGAGTCAGAGCCAAATTTCAAGCCAGGGAGTCAGAGCCAAATTTCAAGCCAGGGAGTCAGAGTCAAATTTCAAGCCAGGGAGTCAGAGTCAAATTTCAAGCTAGGGAGTCAGAGTCAAATTTCAAGCCAGGGAGTCAGAGTCAAATTTCAAGCCAGGGAGTCAGAGCCAAATTTCAAGCCAGAGAGTCGGAGCCAAACTCCAAGCCGGGGAGTCAGAGCCAAATTTCAAGTCAGCGAGTCAGAGTCAAATTTCAAGCTAGGGAGTCAGAGCCAAATTTTAAGCCAGAGTTATAGACAATGGTAAATTTTCCCAACTTCGTGGCACTGAACTGTATGGATTTTATATTATTAGTTTATATAAGAATATAAATTAACCTGATCTGATAAAGCAACAGACTTTGTTCTTCTTTTATACTTTGCAACAAGATGTAACGGTGTCATATCATCCTCTCCTTTCACATGAATATCTATAAAAATAATTTTCCAATATCTCTATCTCACTTTAATACTTATTGATTGGGAGCTCAAAGTTGATGATTGGCACATTATGCATTAGTAACCGTAGTGCCACAAAGCCGCAGATTTGAACCTTGTGTCCGATAATTATGCACACAAAGATTGCTGAACTCAATACTGATGTTGAGTCGTTCACATAACCACTAGTCCAGTGGTTCTTAAACTTTTTGAGCCGCGCCCCCCTTTGAAAAATTTTACACACTTCGCGCCCCCCTCTTTTTGCTTTGAAAAAATGCTTTTGTGATGGACAAGTTGTTATATATTAAGATGGCGCTATAACTGAGTGTTGGTCTCATAGCGTCATTGCTCAGATTGTTTAGGCATAAAACGCTTCGGAGTACATCTTCGCCATTCACTGTCGTATGTATAAAGCCAAATAGTGGTTGGTCATCATGCATTCTCGTTTTTCCGCTCAGTTTTCAATGCTTGGCAAAGTCAATCTAATTATTAAGTAAAACTAAACAAGCAATAAACCTATGCTAATATATATTTTCTGCTTAAACGTTTACATAAGACACGTAAAATTTCAATCAATCGTTGTCGCTAAGGCGTTTGCGATTGCATTTTGTTCAGATCTCCATTGTTTACGTCAGCGTGGCGTGTTATTTAAGCCCTAAAAATCTTGATTTCGGTGTTTATTCTTCCTAAATCCGAAATTTCCCTCGACATATTCTTGAGCCGCGAAGACGATTATAATTACTTTTTTTGTTCTCGAATGGAACCATGACACCTCTGAGGAAAACGAGTTTATTATTAAAACGAGTTTTTATTATAATCATCAACGACGAGATGCTAACGATAGAATAAAAAAGTGAATCCGTAACTTAAAATTTCTTTATTGTAAAAGTGGCATAATAAAATACTAAAAATAAAACGGAAAACGCCATGAGTTTTGTTTTGGGGTGGACCGCGACAGATTAAAAACACTTTCTTGGACATTGAAAATCTCCTAAATTCCTTGTGCGTGCGGCACACCAGTAGTTTTCTAAAACCACAGACTTGATATAAATTTTTCTCCGTGGGATCGCAGACTCTGGAATATCTGTAACTGTGATATCTTGAAATTAATCGAGTGACGGCATTGCGATAGAGCGAAGTAAGAGTTGCAAGGACAGCTCATATTGGTGAAATTGGCAAGAATAAAAATCAAAACAAATAAAGCAACCATTTTAAATAAGTATATCAATCATGGATTGAATATTTTATTCAACAGAAAAACCATTACATATCCGTTGAAAAAGTCGGCTCTTTTAACGACTGGCGTAATCTCGAGGACTGACTCAAAAGCCGTACAGCGGGGGTTTCGTTTCGATGAATATGTATTTTTCATCTACTAATATATATACTTTACATGTATTTTAATTGTACTAAATTAAATATACTTTCTGGAATATTATACCAGATCTTTCTAATGACGACAACGAATTCGCATGAGTGCAATATATATATATAAAAACTAAATATAATCGGGCAGTTGATCACACTTTATTATGTCCGCGGATTGGCGTGGTATTTTAGATAGGTAATGAGTTTATTTTGTCGTAAGTCGCCGCAACCGCGAGTTACCTTGAACACAAATGACTTAAAATAGAGAGACATCTTGAATTATTGTAGTTATTACGAGACAGAAAAATTTATTATAACACGAAAAAGCCGGTATTTTTAACGAACGCGGAGACCGTTTCAGGAGCCGTTACATGTAAATTTCCGATTCCATCTTGTGACCTCTCGCGCCCCCCTAGGGGGGCGCGCCCCCCAGTTTAAGAACCACTGCACTAGTCAGTTACAGCGACCTCCACCATCAAGTCCATGCATGCGAAACAAATACCGGGTCAACTATTCCCATACTCAACATGGACTGGTAACTGTTTAAAAGGCCTTAGTACAGAATATGGTTGAGTCGTCTCATCAACTTTTCTTTCCTATCCTAATCTAACTCTATGTAAGAATTTAAATATTTTCAGACTTCAATGTTATTTTATTCAAAATGAAGAATGTCAAATTGTGCAAAGGGGGAATGTATCAAAGTGGGGGTGGCGTAATGGCCCAGCGATAAATGCATCAGGCATAACTGTGTTGGCACTAAAGATCAAAACCGCAGGTTTCATCCCCAAGCCCCCCCATCTTACCTCGCGCCTCGCGGCCCTAAAAAATAAAAGTAACTTATTACATATTGTGAGATACCAGTGGCTACTTGCATAGAGCCTTGTTGAGTGAACGTGTGAATGAGAGAATATAAAAATTATTTAGAACCCACTGATATATATTACCTGCACCATATTCCACTAATAGTTTGCACATATCCAGGTGATTATATTTGGCTGCATAATGAAGTGGAGTCAGTTTTTCTGCATCTTTTCGAGCCAACTTTTTTCTCAACTGTGTCACGTTAAATTTCTTTAGTTTGTTCTGCATGATTTCAATGTCTCCATCTCTGGCAAGCTAGAATCGTTAGAATAATATAGAATCAGGAATTTATTGTCTATGTTTCTATTAATTAACACACTTTTACCAAAATAGTGATGTATAAATTGCCATTAAGTTCATGTGTGAAATCAAAATTACTGGTTTAGGCTACTATTTCCATAACCAACATAGACTGGTAACTGGACGATCGGCTGTAGTTCGCCAGACAATTACGACGTTTTATGTCTTTCCTCTCTTACAAGATAAATATGAAAATCCTATTTTAGTCTGTTTCATAAATATTTAGCCACGAAAGTAGATAGCGCAGTGAATATATGCCATTCATTGCGCACCAGTTCGTCAAAACATTGAAGTAATTGGCTCCCTCAATTACTCGCATTGTCAAAGTTTGCAATAAACAAAATGAGCCACCTGCTTTATTGACTCAGATCAATGAAACAGCAACGTATTTGCCAAATTGTTTTTAAATAACAAACTGGCAATATTTTATTCCGCTAAAGTTTTGTTGATATTATACTGGCTTTATCCCATCAGATTTTTATCTTATCCTTCTGGCTCAGGTCACATACAGTCCAGCAGTAAGAAAAATATGGAACTAGGTACAGGCAGTTCATAACACAAGATTTCAACTAAACATCACTTTATTGTGGCCTAAAGCAGAAAATTTTTTTCTTTTTTCCTCATTGGTATAAGGTGTTAAACAAAACATATGTCATCTTATCATAATTTCTTTCCCTCCAGTAAAAATATTAAAATTCGTTTTCTAACTCATTAAAATCAGGTAGTATGAGAGAATTCTTCATACCTGATGAAAAGTAGCTTGATCGATTTCCTCTTGGTCTATTCTTCCCTGAGCTGTTTCTCTATTAATGATCGAGTCATTATTAGGGGAGATGTACGAGGCAGGGCTGTTAAAAAAGTCAGTGAAATGTATTGCTTTGTCAGATAATTGCTCCAAATGAAGCTTTAAACAAGCAGATAAACAGATGAGTCAACAATGAAACAACAAAATGTTATCAGTAGATTTAGATAATATATAATTTATTTTGATCTCCGCCATGGCAAAAAATAGTTACAATACACAAAATAAACATACATGCCGGAATTTCAATAGTTACCAAAAATAAGGTTTAAAACTGAAACATAAATAAGCTGCATGGGCAATCTCGTGACACAAAAAATAAGTATAAAAACACGATGATATACTCTCTAATCAACCATTTATCTTGTGAGATTTTTAGAGGATATGTGGAAAAAATTATTAATTATAAAAAGTTGATTTGAATTGGTATGAATCTAGTACTGCTTGAAATCGGTACCAAACCAGGAACCAGAACATTTTGACTATTAATTTGTCATTTATGTGAAGAAACTACTACTGAAATCAATATAGTCATTTGTTATAAATGTTTGGATTGGGGAATACTCTCGCACTAAAATAATTTATTAATCAATTCAAATTGATTTATTTTACACACTTACTAAAAAAAGAAGGGAATGCAGAAATTTCCAAAAAATTCTAATAGAAATAATTACATCTAAATAGCTGCTTTATGGGATGGTTTTTTAATCATGTTTGAACCATATTCACCTATTTATTTCAATAAAAAGTTAAAGATTATACAAGTCAAAAATATATTTTCTCCTCATTATATCTAGAGTTTTTCAAGTTTCTTCCCTTCGGGTTAAAGGTCACAATATGCGAAATTTGAAAGATTCAAACGCCATATGTCTAATCGAGTGGCTTCGTAAATCTAAATATCTACATGTCAACAATCTTCTCCAAAAGATAAAATAAAACATCTTGAAAAGATGATATGTATACTTTACCTGTTATTAGCAGAAGTTGTTGTTGCCATGACGATAAAATATCCAAAACTACTTTCTTTTTAAATTTCAAAATTGTGCAAATTTGCTATTTAAGACATATTCTGATTTACTTTTATGTAAAACTCAGTCAATAAATAAATTGAAAAAATCAATATTTTGTTGTTGTAATAGACACTGACACACAAGTCTTCCAGAGATAGCCAAATTCACATAATACATCCTTCCATTTTAAAATAATATTCTTGAACATAAAATATCAATGTATTATAAATTAAGTCGGGTAGTGAATCGTTACAAATTTATAGACACTAATATGCTAATGCAAAACAACAAGTTCAGGGGTAGGAAGATTAGGATCCAGCTCACCGAAGTATTTAATTGAGCCCACAGAAGTGATTCATCTGGCCCACTTGTACCTGCAGAAATTAGGACTATAGTTTTTTCGGTAATATAAATTTTCATCGAAAATATTGACGAAAATAACGTCATAATGAACCCGATTGTTACAGTGTGCTTCTTATTATTATTTAAACATTAGACTAGCTGTTGTAAATAAATCGTTTTTTTTTTCTTTCAGTTTTTCGTATTGAGTCTCTGGCCCAGTAACCAAGTCTATTATGTGTAACTGGACCACCCTACAGAGGAATTGCCCGACTCTGAACAAGATTTACGAAATCAATCTCAAATCAGTTGTATATAGAATAATCAAAATATATTTTGATAAATCTATTTACGGTAATATATCAAATATCACCAATTCAGAATGTATTCAAAAAATCAACCCGTGTCGGACCACTCAACTCAAATCTCAAATTAAACTTTTTAATGATCTATGATTTTACTTATACAAGCACAACACATCCTGTGTCTATACTAAAAGGTCTGTATAAGAACTGATTCCTTGTTCCTAGTTTACTATTGATAAAAAGCAAGATAATATATCACTATTATTCTAAGATCAAGTTTCAGAGAAAAGAAAGCAACACAATGGGTGATTGAATATTGGCATAGATACCATAGAATTCAGGAAGTCAGTGACTATGTATATCTATTCTTCATTCTATTGTTTTTAGAGGAAGTTTCTTAATTATGATAGAGTAAGAAACAATGACTTGCTTTTCTGCATTTAACATACGGCATCTTGTATGAAATTATTACTTGGATGAGAATAGGATTTTTGATATTTACCAATGAAGAGAGGAAAGCTGAATAGACAGCTTAAGCATATGGCAAACAATACTTTTAGACATATGGACTTGATGGTGGAGAAAGTCGTAACCGACCGTACTAGTGATTATGTGAACCAGACAATGACTACAAATCCTGACACAAATAATTATCCTTAATCAAATTCAAATCTACATTAAATACAAGAAGTTATGTGAAGCACCCTAAGATTGCGAATCTCGCACATAATTATTCTTCATTAAACTCATATCTGAGGACAAACGAAGGTAATCAGAGAATGATGCTAACCCTCCGCCAAATGCTTTTTAAACTGAACTTGCATACCTAGATTATTCAAAATTATGAAATATTAATAATATCACAAAACAGACTGCAGAAAGAAAACATAACTACATGACGTTCATAAAGTCTCGTTACAATTCCAAAATATAATGTAAACAGATTAATAACAAAAAACTATGAAAATATAGTGATATACACATTTCCATTCTCATTCTTACCAGTTCAACATCACAAATCTTTTTTAGTTCAATGCTGTGGCACATCTACGTAAAATGGAGCCCATGGCAAAGTTTGAAAATGGTCCCCTTGATTAATGACCGACAATTATTAATAACGACAGTTGTTAAATTGAAATGCTTGTAAGTTGTTATCCAAGTAAAAATTATTCAATTATTTTATTGAAACATTATAAGATTATTAAATCACCCTTCTTGCGTCCGATCCAAACATGCCATGGCACCATGACTATCCTGTACTCTATATATACCACTGGTTTAATGCTACTTCAGTATACAACATCTTTCTACAACCTAATCAACCCTTAATAATACTGATTCAACAAGAAGATAATCCCTAGCAGAGAAGGAGTAATCCTATTACAAGGTAAACATGACCTACATTGTCAGTTTTGAGCACCCATCCTTGCTATCTGGCAATAAATCCTTGCTAAGAATGTAATACCCTGGGGGCTGTGAGAAGTGGATTTCATAGTAAATATACGTACAATAGTACTACCATATATCAGTCAAATATCTAAAATAGTAAAACTAGATTGTTCAATTATTAATTACATAGTACTAGTGACAATTTTTTTCGAAATGAAAAAATATTCTGGTGTATTATAATCAGTAACAAGCAGGGAAAGTCTAAACCGAGTAATCTACTCCACCAAAATCATTATAAAATAATATTTTTGAATATGGAATATCTAAATTGGGATATGCTCAACAAAGAACACATAAAAGCCAATGTATATTTAATGAATTTGTATTGAAAATACGAATAAATTGCAGATAAACAATTTTTGACACTTGACAGGTTTTCCATTTACTAAAGTTTTTAGAAATAAAATGGACTTTTTGGTCATATTGTCTGACTGTTGTTTAAATGCATAATATGATAAATGTCCAAATGAAACTATTCTAAATCTAAAACTGAAAAATTAGAATTTAAAAATGATTAATTTTAAATCAATTACAATAACCATATTTATTTTGGATATACCTGATATGAATTAATCTTACATAACGTTTTATAATTAAGCTTTGATTTTCAGTAAAAAAATGAGTAAAATTGACTATGCCAACTGTGATATGACACTTTTGAAGCATTTAACGTAGTCATTTTAGCTTTTGCTATAAAACCCTTGCAAAAATTGCGTAAGGATCCCCTAACGTAAAACATAAAAGCAAAGAGAAAGGAATAGTAATTAGTACACACTAGTTTCATCCACCATAAGATAACTCATGAAAAAGTTTTATTTTACAGAATTTTAAAGTAATGAAAACTGATTATATGATCAAAATATTATGAAATCAATTAAAAAATTAACCAACTCGTCAAAATGTCTTAATTAACAAGAGCTCAAATCTTACCCCTCAACATTCATTGCAGGATTTGAAAATGACGTTGTGTCCATATTTAAATTGTTCTGTAAAAACCAAAATCAAAATCGTTCTTAGTTGTTACTGATTAATAACAGAGAAAAAAATTGGATTGAAAGAGATAATCATATGGTGAACTTATGCCCCTGAAGGCCCTGATATACTGTATTTGGAAGTTTAGGATAGTGAAGTGGTATATTACCATAGGTTAAATTGAACACATATATGGTGACTAGAAGAATATAATCATTCAATGGGATTTAAAATTGTCCACATCCAGGGTGTCGTTACGATATGACGTAATATTACTCTATAGCGCCACATGTGTTAATGTTCTTGTAAAACATACTAGTCATTTTGTAACCGTTCTATTGTGCGCTTCATGTTTTTTGGTAACATGGTGATGTCCAACCCGTAAGACTAGACAGAAAACGAAGCATAGTGTCAAAAGTGGGATTCCAACCCACACCTCTATTCGGAAATCAGAAATTGAATAGGCAAAGCGAAACCGAAACGATTCTAATTCATTTAAAATCTGTGTTCAATCTGACTTCTTTGACATACAATGTTTCTTTACCTGTGCTAAATTGTCTTGTGAGGTATCTGATTGGTTGTCTCTACCTGACGCCGACTCAACTCTAATTGGGACCAATTCGTGATTTATTGTCGATGTAGAACTGGTACCATCTATCAAATAAAAGCATCTTATAAAAAAAATTAAACAGTAAAATACACAAAATACTGATAACACAAACTATTATATCATAAATATAAGTGTGTTTCTTATGAGCGACATTCTTTCGGCAAATGACCCATGCACCATGAGAAAAATTCAATAAGAATTATTTACATATTGTCATGTGTTAAGTACAGAAAAACGACATAAAAATGAACAAAATCATATATTAATTATTTAACAATTTAATCCATTTTCTTCAGATAGTATTCAATTCGATTTCAGAGAAAAAAAATATTTAAAGTGTGCCTTGTGATAATAGGCCTATAATATATAATTATATTTATATCAGAGTATCCACTTTCTAAATCAAATGTATGCCTACGAATATGAAGAGCAGATCGACCTTAAGATTCAGTTAGATCGGAAATAGAATTAGGAGGCTTGAAATTATTCTTCACAGATTATTACTGCTAATCTACACTTATTTATCATATATATTATTAATTTATAAGTATTATCCTTATTTTGCAGCTCATTAATAAACAAGAGGTTATATAACAATCATTTCGACACTCAAATACCCCTCAAAATTCTAAATAAGCCCTGATTATGTCACATAGTAGAACAATATTTAATAACACACAAGCATGTAAATCACTGTTCCAAATAATTTCCGAAATAATAATTTCAAATATGGAATATCAAATATATATACAAATCTGAAATGGTTATTACATAATAATTAATAAAATGATAAGGTGTAAACAATGTTTCATGTTCTCTTTCAAACAAGAACATACGTTTGATTCAAACTTCATTTTTTGTCTTAAATGCTCAAGATGACAAATTTTTTAATGTATAATCTAGGATCATTTTAAAATCAGGAATTAATCAAAATTTTCAATACACTTGAATATCATCTCTTATTTTCAGACTTCCATGATTAAGATTCTACTTTAAAATTCATCAGAACAGTTTAAATAACAAGCCTATTTGAAAAAAAATTACATACCGGACGCAGTAGTTTCAACAGGTGTTAGTGATGATGTTCCTGTCGTATTTTCTAATAAATGCAAGCTATCTTCATTCGTGCCTGCCGTAACACCTTCCCCATTGTTTGCCATCCTATTTGAAGTGAATACGGCAACTCTCTATTATTTAAAGATCGTTTTATTTGTCCGCACGAGAGATAGATGACATAAAAATTTGACGTACCTAGCAAACAAAAGCAGGTAAGGTTATTTGTAATAATCGTATTGAAATAGTGAGATTCTCTATAAAGAGTAAACTTCTCTAAATAAACAAGAAGTCACGTTGAGTCAATGGGGAATACATTTTACACTATTATGAGTGTCATGGGACAATGTTATGTTTCCACGACAATAAGCTTATTTAGAAAATTACAGGCTTCAAAATATGAAAATACAGACTTATTAAAAATTTATGACTCTTGAATAAATCGTGTTATTATCTTAGTACACATACATAAATTCACTAGTTTTTCTAAACTGTTATATTTTCAAAGAATATACATGTGAGACCTGTCTTATAACCTCTTATTTATTCATTTTGATATCTAATGAGACAATTAAACACACAATGATGTTAACTAAAATGCTTAAATGTCCATTATTACACGAAAGACATAACTTTGCTCAGTGATAAATCTTATTTATTTCTGATCGCTCATGAGATTACTTTGTGCAAATGACCAATAAAAAATCGATTTAATATAACCTCAATAATTGAGGCATAATCAGATTTATAAGTTTAGTTATTATACTGCATTTCTAGCAAGTAGACATAACAATTTTGGAAAATCATTCTATAAAATCTTCTAGCGACTATCCCAATCCATCTGAAGTCTACTGACCTTCATAGCGCAATATAACGATCTAACTGTTCCACAGAGAATACTGGTATGTACGATCAATATCACCAAACCTTCAATCATTGATTTAATATAAATACACGGATGGATACCCTTTCTTTTTATCTTTTTTTATTTTTGTGGAATCAAGTTTAAGGAGTCTCTCATTTGTAAAGTACTATAGTAAACCTGAAGTTTAACAAATAAAAACATTATCATTATCAAACCTAGTTAAAATATTTGTTTTGTATATTATTAGTATGATCCATGCATGATCAGACTATAATTTATTGAAGCAAAAATAAAAAAAAAGCAAACAATAGGTCAAGTCACACGTGAAACTATAATTAATATTCGCAAGTTTGAGCCATCTTTGTTAGAGATAAGCTGTAAAATTACCCAGCTATTACATGTAATTCAATACACAACTTATTTTTAAGCGCTGTCCAACCTTAAAAAAGCATATTGCAAATGCCAGGTAAAAATTACCACAATATAATGGCATTTTTATTAGCATACTTTGCATAATATAAGTTATATAGTACCGGCATTTATATAAGGATATTCAATTTAGAAAACAATAAATGCTTTCGCTTTCACAGGCATCAAAATTGCAAGAATAAGTTACATTCTGTGTCGGACATGCAATAAATAAAGTTCCGCTGTATGCAAACTAGTATTCTTTAGCAAGATTTGACCGCATGTTACATATACATATGTTCAGATTATTACCACCAGTCACATTCAACTCTGCTTGGAAGTAGTGGATCCAGAGCCTAACCAGGATGCCCTGCCTATATGCAACAGACTTTAGTAAATTGCATCGCTGGTTTCAGATCTTTGATCCGAACTCAATCAAGTAATCGGAGCCAAACTTAATTCATTAATAGGATAATACCTTCTCGTTCGGAGTATTGTTCGAAGTAAACACAAGAAATACCGTCTTACAAAACTAGACTGGGCCTATTAAATCTTGATAGTTTATATTACTAAGAGTTTGAAGCGTGAAGTGGCAGCACAAGTGCAGCATTTCCTGAATAGCTTACAACAGGAAATATACACCCAGTTTACAATGCTGGCATGCTTCCGGATATATTTCATTTCAATTATCATGCCATGCATTAAATTTCCTCAGATATAAATTGATATGAATAATGGTAAATTAACGAAGAAATCAAATGTACATCAACTATTTTTTTACTAGATTTGCGTCCCATGTTTAATAGCATTTCTCCTTAACTAATATTCCTAAATTTGAAAAATGTATCCATAGTCAGTTAATCAATTATTAATTGCAATCAATGCATTCTGATTGAATTTTTCTACCTTAATAAGCCATATCATATGTCTCAATTACTTTATGTCCTTCATGCATAAAAATCTTTAAATTAATACATATTGAAACCTCATCATTGAATCAGTTTGTCTATAATTGGTCAACTGCCACAGGTTTTTAGTATTTCTGGTCTGTACTATTCAAAATCTCACGGAGGTAATTAGAATTCATTATAAAAATATGTACCACACCCCCCACTTTAGAAAATATAGTATCTCACTACCTAAGAATGTGTGGGTTTTTTTGGAGCACTCATCATATAAAAAAAATGATAGGAAAGAACTTAAGAATTAAGAAAACGACAAAATGAATTGCATTCATGTTATCTATTTTTATCATCTTTTTTAAATAAACAGTTCAATAATAAATCAGCTGCAAGGCCAGGAGTCATTTTACAATTTTTAACTTGTTCTTCCAAACTTGGAAGCGCTTTCGATACATCATAATCACTCGCAAAATCTTCCAAAATATTATCTTTTATATGATTCCACATCCAAATGGCTCTTTGATTTCTACGCAATGATTCAAAAGTCCCACTTTTAATCATTTCCTCGTGAAATATTTGCATCACGGACCACAGTTCCGGGATACCTTCTTCTGTTAAAGATGACACTCTGCGTACTCGTTGTCTCCAAAAATTATGTTTACGTGGTATAAATTTCAGAGCGCTCGTGTATTCCGATTGTAGTCTTCTAGCAGCTGGAAGTAAATCGCCATCAGCTTTATTTATTACTACTAGATCTGTCATCTCTATAATCCCTCTTTTGATGCCTTGAAGTTCGTCGCCACTAGCTGGTGGTATGAGTAATACAAATAAATCAGTCATGTCTGCAACTGCAACTTCACTTTGACCGACACCGACAGTTTCTACTATTATGACATCATAACCAGCACTTTCACATAATATCATAGCTTCAGTAGTGTTTCGTGTTACGCCACCTAGTGTACCTTGAGCAGGTGAAGGACGAATGTATGCTTTCGGGTTACGAGACAAGTTTGTCATTCTTGTTTTATCTCCGAGAAGTGACCCCCCTGTTCGACTTGAAGAGGGGTCTACAGCTAGAATTGCGACTTTTAAATCATGCTTTTCAGTAAGGTAGCTTCCCATTGTTTCAATGAATGTAGACTTCCCTGCGCCTGGGGGTCCAGAAAGTCCGATTCGAAAAGATTTTTGCGAAGATCTTGATGTTTCCGATATTACCAATTGTAGCAAAATCTGTCCCATTAATTTTTTCTGTTTATTTGTTGATTCAACTAAAGTTATAGCACGAGCGAGTGTGGCCCGATCTTCATTCTTAATTCCATTAGCAAGGTTTCGTATGTAATTAAATTCATAAGAGTCTTTAGGAAATGACTTTGTGATGTCATAATCACCTGATAAAAATGAGTGCCTCGAGTATGGTTTTAAAGATTTTAATCGAACTGAAAGATATGGAAACGGCCTCAACGACAGCTTTTTGAAAATTAACATATTGGAAATAAAGAAATTATTCCCTATCTAACAATCATTTGACCTGGAAAAAGAGATATGATTGTAAATGTAAGACAATTCATACAAAATGGAAATTCAATTTGAAGTAAATCGTCATGACTTTGAAACTATTTTTAACAAGGACAGATTTTTCAGTTTCAGAAGTTGAATTTTCTATATTCAAATTTACAAATAAATTTGTCAATATTGACATGAATGCAGAGAAAAACAATTCTTTTTACAAAAAAATTTATAAACAAAAATCTATTTGTTATTAACTTTCTAATTTCAAATGGTGATAATAAATATTGTTTAATACTCATTTTTATTTTCCATGAGCAAAACTCAGAATTTCACCGATAATATTTCAAGTTAGTCAGAAGTTTTTTTGTGGAACTGTTTTTCTTTACTCATTTATAAATATTGTTTTAATTAAAACCACCCATTTTGATTAACATTTCCTCATTAATTTTTTTTGATAATCAGATGCCAAAATTTCAATATAAATCGAAAATAGTGATAATAAGGACAACCAAAAATAGTGTGTTACTGGGAATGGCACAAAAAATAGTAAATTTCGGAGCAACATGTGCATATCCATGGGAAATAAATACACACATTTTTATTATGTTATTTGTAACTTAAACTAAGATTTTATACTTAGTAGAATAGGCAAGTTTGAAAATTACACATCTAAACGAAGTTTGATAAATTTAACTGCAAAATTATAGTTCCAATATTCAGAACCAACCAAGTAAATAGCTGCAGCACTTTTTATCAAACGATACGATAGAATACGCAATAACAAAGAATGTTCTAATAAGGAAAGAATTTATATCGAAATGTCAGTAATAATTTTTTTATCAGAGGTGCAAACCATTTCTAACCGACATAATGGGAATAGTTGACTTTGCAGAAAGCAATATTGTCAAATGGGAATGAAAAATCCCTTTCTGAAACATCACCTATTTTCACTGAAAGGACAGTGAAACAAACAGTGGTGTTTTACCAGAATCTACAACTTATTGTTTTAAATAATGTTCCTGTGGTCTTGCAACTTTACGAGATTCTTTTACATATGAAACAGGACATTGCATTTCTTGCCAACTGATAGGCAACATCAGTTCTCCGGCTTCACTACGAGCAAGAACAACACCGAGTCCATTTTCCGCTGTAGTTAACAAATAAGACGATGCATCCCCTAGTGACAAAACTTTTGCTAAAACTACATCACTGGGACGAAAACATTTTGGAATTTCAACTTTTTCAATGTCCTTTGCACGTACGTCCTCACGTCTTATGATGCCTCGCAATGGCTCGGATAACCTTGCGTTATTAACGGCTGTAATTAAACATTTTGCAAAGCGACTGCTGATTCCCGTGACTTTACAAGTGACTATAGAATCGATTTGTGGGAGAAGTTGTTGATGGTGTTTGGATCGCACAGATACAGTAATTATATCCTTGTCATTTTGTTCGCTCCGAACCATACCAGCTAATGATGCAAATATATATCCTCGTTTTACATAAGTTCCAAATCCTGCCCGATGGTGTTCAGCACTTGCGAGACGTTCCCCCGGCACACATATTTGACTGCTTTTTAATAGTTCTGCCATTTTTATTTAGAACTGTCTGGAACTAAAAAAATAATGAGCCATGAAAATATATAGGTAACTTAATATACTGATATAACTGTTTAATGGCCAAATACGGGAATAAGCGTTTTCAATTCAATTTTTAATTTAAATCAGTAAATGAACAAACATGCAGAAATGGTCATACAGTCATATGGGAGCATGGGGGTTTCAGAATGCAGGAATGTGTCATATTAAATTTCATCCAAACCTGCCTACATAAAAAAAATATGCTGATCTACATGCTATAAATCAATCAATCAATCAATTTTATTCGGTCACTCTGGTACAAACAAAACACAAAACAACAACAAAGGGACAAACAAAATACAGAGGACCTGGAGGACGGACATAACCTAAAAAAAGTAAAATAACATAAAAAAGTTAAATACGTACAAGTACGTGCCCGTCCCCCCAAAACAGGCAAAACACAATAAAACAAAAACACGATGTGACATCGGGCAATATCTTATAAATTCAAATTAAAATGTGAGACGTGTATGTGCTTATCCTATACAGATATATTGATTAAAGAACACTCGCTGACGAAAAATGGTGATGTTGTGGGCCTACTTCAATTATATTGCAAAAATAACACAGTGACAATTTTTTTTTTACTAAAAAACAAGCTTGGTAAATGGATTGGATGTTCCATAGCAGTCTATGCACAAATCCTGGATTGGGGTATTGGGTTCTTTTGTCGTTTTCAGTTAGTTCACTTTAAAATCATTGTATCCGTTCTAATGCTTCCAACATTAATATCGAATTTCCACGAACGACCACCATTCAGCCATTCCAACAGGTGCAGTGATCACATCTTTTCTACGCTCTGTTCCGTCATACACGACCAGATTCATAAAAGGATCGAAACCTCGCAATATACCCGTAATAAATCGTCCACCATTTAACTTTAAATCCAATCTTTTATCCATAAACTTCTTTAACTCTAGTGGATGGGCTTTGCTCAAGTTGATATTGCGCGATACAGATTACAGATACCGAAACATACAACGCGTAGCATTCACTAGTCTTTTCAAGCTGACACGTCCGCACCCGACGACGGTCGGAACGGAATTCGATCATTAAATCAATCAATCAATCATTAAATGCTCATTTTTAAGTCTTAAATTTTATCATTTTGTCGGCGCGGCGGTGTGGCTCAACGGGCTAAGCGTTAGGAATACGCTCGCCACCGCACCTCTAATTACTCTGCGTGGGTTCGCAGGTTCGAATCCCATGCAGGGATGGTTATGTGCGAGAGGATTGCTGGACTCCTCGCCGTCGTTGGGTGGTGCACGTAACCGCTGGTCGGTTACGGCTTCCTCCACCACCAAGTCCATGCTTTCGAAAACAAACAATGTAACTAATCCCATACCGGTACCCGACTTGGAATGGTAACCGGACGAGAGGCCGTGGTTCGCCATATGGATAAGCCGTCTTATCGGCTTTCCTGTCTTCCGAGATAAATATGTATATCCTATCCTATCCTAAGAGTCAGCCTGACATCAAATTTGACAGGAACATGGGAAATCCCCCAAAATTCCAATGCATCCACATTGCCAGCGAGGGAGGCATGGCTTTTTCACAAGATCATACGTGCTACACGAGCGACATATAGCGATAAGAAATATGGATATTGAGAAAAGTCGTTGTTTACAGATAATTTGTATTTCGAATATTTTTATTTACATATTTCAAAAACAATCATGTTATTTTAGATGAGGAATGCAAAATACTTTTGGTTTTAAGATGACAACACGGCACAAGAAAAATGCGAAATTGTAACGGGATTCCCCTACGCTGAAGTACCCTTTGTCATGGTTACAACTTACAACCCTTTCGAGGTTCAGCTTCGTAAATATTTCAGTAAATTCAGGTATGCATTAGATTTTATCATTGGGGAGAACAGTTACCCTTTTTAAACTAAACGCGAAGGGGGAGGGATATTTCTGATTACAATCCAATGTCAAAGTTTCAACTTTCAACTTAATAAACTTATAAATAAATTTATAAATATAAGTTATATATAAACTCACAAAAAAAATTATACTATTATAACTGCCCGTACGAATTAATATTCATGAATAGAAATTTTCAGTCACTTCATATAACTACCTAATCTGAATCATGAGTCAAAAACGGTTACAGTAGTTTGTTCATTCTATTAATCGGTAAAAAAGGTATATTAATCTGCAAAATAGGGAGTAAAATAAATGATAAAATCAGATCAAAGAATAGGAATGAGGTTTAAATTTTTTTATAGAAATGGTTGGTTTTTCTCATCCTAGGATAAGTATAAAAACTCGGAACATGGTAATGAATATAATAAGCTACAGTCAATCCTGCATTTCTTTTTCTTAGATTCAGATTATGTCATAGATTTCCAAGTTAAATTTCATAAAAGCAAATAAACAATCGAATGGCGAAAAAGGGCAAAAAAGGAAAGGGAGGAAAAAAGAAATCAAAAAGAGTGAAATGGGATGAAGATTCAGATATTTATCAGAAGAAATTTTTAGGAACGTATGAAATGCAATGCACGCTTGATAAATCCATACCCTGTGTTTGGTTACAGAAAGCATTGAAGAAAGGAATTGAAGATAGAATGTATGCGAGAAAGGTGATTGGTCGAAAATTTTTGCAATAACATTAGCGATTTTTTATTTTTTTTATTTCTTCGTGTTTTATGAACTCGTTTGCCAAAATTCGGCAGCTATATTTATGGCCAGTATTCAAATTTTTGTCTAATATTTCTTTCTATCCGGTTTAGTGTAATATAAAAATTGAAATGGGCCAAAAAGGTTTTCCTCAACAAAATGGTCAATGCTAGGTTTAGAATGTCAGTCAAGGGCTGAATATTTTAATTCGATTTCTAGTTCGTCTGCTACCCTATCCCAGTAATAAACACTTCGGTAAAAGTATAATGTGTATATGATTTTATAAATTAATGTGGGAAAAAGCCGATACGAGGTCTCATTCAAATGATAAACCATTGTATTGTTACCAGTCATTGTAAGGTAGAACATCTTCTATTCATCAGAGTAATAATTTGTTTAAAAAATATTTGATTTTAAATAAAATTCTACGCTTCCATTTTAGTTCATTATTGAAGAAGTTGATGGAGGAATGAAAGATCCTAATACTCCTCCAGTAAGGTTGCGACCTGTCGTCCGATCAATTCGTAACGAAAGATTCACTCATGTTCATGAAATATGTTGCTGGGATTTAGAAACAGAACATGATGAAATTGCTGACTTGGTAATTTTATTTTATTCGTCGATTCATATTTTATTTATTAAGATCAAACATGATCCTAACACTAAGCACGATGCGCCAAACACTGAGCTGTTTTTCATAAAATATCACAATAGATAACAATTATATTATTGTATTTAAAATTGGTCTTCAGGGAAAAAAATGGGCATTTCAGAAGTATCTGTACCGGTACCAATATGGAGGTAATTAATTTTGTCCACCTACTTTACATCAAGTTGATAAAGGGACTGAAACCTATGAGCAGGGGGTATATTCACTTGGCTAACGCAGACAGTCCCTGAAATGGTATTGGGCAGACAGTCCCTGAACTCGTAATAGAACTAAAATAAGGAAAATCGAAATAAAATTATGGCCTGGTATACACATTACGGGAGTACCAAAAATGTGTATGAAAGTGAAAAAATATTTGCTTTCTAAATTAATGATAATATTAAATATTTCATAACAGGCACTACTTCTGGAAAAAGGTTTTTATCCAGTAAGAAGAATTGAGCTCATGGATTGTGACATTCAACATTTCACTGTTGCCAGATTTTCTAAAGCATTCAGGGTTTCAAATCTTGTTGAAATCAACTTAGATTACAATGAATTTGGTGATGCAGGATGTGTTGGTTTATGCAATGGACTCAAGAATAACAAGGTAACTGTTATCATTGATGTATTGGGCTGTTTAGTAATAGTAATTTAAACCTGACTCCAAACTCTGAGCAATTTAAAAACTATGACTCCAACTTTAGTTTGCAAAGAACTTTTGACTCTTTTGTGGTGTGTTGATCATGCTTTGTCAACATAATTCCTTATTTTCAGTTTTAACCAAAATTTTGACTTTGATTAAGTAATGAATGAGAAATATAGTACCTTGATATAAGGCTTTATTCAACTTAAATTTAAAGCACACTCAGAAATTAGAATGAATCTAAAGTAAAATATAACACAAGTAAATGTTATTAAACAAGAAAACAAATACGTATCGAATTGCTGATGCTAACAGTAACTCAATAGTTAAATGAATAAAGTTGAAAGAATTAACACACTACATCTACAGTACAGCAATGATTGGTGTCTGATTTAAAATGCTACAGCAATCATCGCTTGACTGCAGATATATATATAAACAAAGGATACATTGACTTGCATTTTCAAGTTGTCACAGATTAGGACTATTTTAGGTCTGAAATTTCTACTTCCACCCTTGGGAGTTTGAAACATCCTCCAATATCGATTATAAGATGTGAAAATGCGCACCAATGCTAATGCAAAAGTGTAATTTTACACTGAAAAATCATTCTATATTAAATACAAAGTTATAACATTCAGTGGTTGAAGATTTGAAGTGGTAATTTATATCTTATGTCCACATTGCCGGCTCGGCGGCTTGGTAAATCGTTTCAAGCGCTAGGAATACGCTTGCCACCACACCTCTGATTACCCTGCATTGGTTCGCGTGTTCTAATCTTGTGGGATTATTGAATATGTACGAGAAAATTGCGAGACTCCGAATCGCCATAACGGTTATGGCTTCCTCCAATATCAACAACAACTGGGCCATCTAATCTATACCAAATATGGACTGGTAACAACAGGAGTTTGCTGTGGTTCAGAATATGATCAGCTGTAATATTGACCTTCCTCTCCCCTCTTCATTAGAACTATAAACATCTATCTTTCTTATTTCTTCATTTTAACTTTAAATATTTCATTTTTATTTGATAGATCATGCTCTCTATCAGCCTCTGTTATTGTGGGTTAACGCCAAAGAGTGGTGAACCACTAGGTGAAGTATTGTGCAAAACAACAGTACGAGAATTTTTTCTTGACGGCAACCAACTACAATGTGATGGTGTTATTGAAATGTTACGATACGCTGCTGCTAACGCTGAACATGAAAATAGTCAACGAATAGAAGAAGAAAAAATGAAAGCATTGATGATTGCTGAAGGAGCGTTAGAAAGTAGGATTTTGTGATGATCATATTTTCACTGTTGATAACCGTGTTTTCCCAAAAATAAGACCTACTCCGAAAATAAAACTTAGCCTGAATTTTAAAAATAATTTCAATATAAGCCCTCCCCTTAAAATAGAACCTAGTCAATAACGCGAAATTTTTTTTGACCTAGTCGATTGCAAGAAATCTCTTCTACTCATTTTAAATGATTGATAGTCTATGTTTTGCAGTTATTTTGAATAAAAAAGTGTTATTATATCGGTTTTCATATTTTGTATATTTCAAAATCTCGCAATTCTCTACTTTGTAAGTTTGTTTTCGGTAAATGAAAATATAATACATACTCCGAAAATAAGCCCTAGTGTTATTTTTTGGAAGAAAATTGAAATAAAACCCAGTGTTATTTTGGGGGAAACATGGCATACACTTTGAATATTCATAGAGGAGACATTTTTAATGATGCCTTGTGAATGTTACCACCTTTCTTTATTAGCTTTATTAGTAAATTATAATATGAATTGGCTGCTATTTATGTAATTCAGATATCTTTCTGCACATTAACACCCTGTTATTGTGATTGTTAGATCTTTAACCACTCAAGTCAATAACCTATTTATTGGATCTTCGAGCTATTTTCTTTTTATGCCTGACCATCGAGATTGGAACTGTGATAATTGTTGACTGTGAAATATATTTGAATGTTTTATTCAACGTCATAAAAAGGATGACCACTGTGAAAATTATATCAAATTTGTCAAATGCATTATAATATCATAGCTGCAACATACACTAGTGCAGGGGGGTGCAACATTTTTTGTCGGTGGGCCATATAACCAACTTCAAACATGTAGCTGGGCCACACAAAAAAATGCTTTTTCCATGCAAACTACAACTACAGTAATACAAGAACAAACTACAGTGATAGATGCAACGGGCAAACAGCGAAGGATTTAACGCAGCAACAGAAGCAACAGAACATGTATTTTTACCCATGTGACTGTTTTTTTTTTAAAGTAAACTGTCAGATTGGGATTTTATGCTTGATGAGGAAAAATCTGAGTGTTGACAAATGCCACACTAAATTGCTTGGCGGGCTGTGACCCCACGGGCCGCCTGTTGTGCACCCCCGCACTAGTGTATTGCTCTAAATATTAACTAATAGCATTGCTTCCTTTTGCTCAGCATCTGATAAAATGTTGACTTCTCAAGTCACCACCGATGGAGGAGTAACAACAGAAGGTGGAGCTGATTCTGCTGGTTCAAAACCAGGAGTGGGAAAAAGGAAAAAAAAGAAGAAGAAAAAGGGTTTGATGATTTTTAATACAGAGAATATTAATTGTGGAATGCGACACAAAAACTAACAAAAATTTGCATGGTTGCCTAGCTGCACAACCACAGAAATTCATTCAGGGTTTGTGATAAATTGGGTAGGCTAGATGTTTACCTGAGCAATAATTTATTTTTCATAAATATGACCAATCAGCATTAAGTTAACAATGATGTAACAATTGCAATTTGTATAGACGCTCAAACATCTCTTTCGTTTAGACAGATATTTAAGCTTGGTTATAAACATTGCATTGTTTTGTAGTATTGGGTGTTATGTTATAGTTTTCAGTTGTACTTACAAAAATTAGTTGTAAATCAAATAAGGTAATTGTTATTCGTTATTCTGAGGTTTTAGTTGAGTTGCAATATTCAAATATTAGTCCAGAGAAAGCTGCAATAGATTAGTCTGATTTTGGTACCTCAGTAATGGAAATATCATAGGCATGAAACTTGGATTAACAATAATTATAAAGAAACATTAAATTCATTTTGTCAATATTTATACATGGTTGGGTAAATTCTTTTTGAGTGCTCAGATTAAGTTTTCTCAAAGATGCATTACGGTAATTTATGTCATGTCCTATCTCAATACACATATCTCTATTTTTGTAATTCAACCCAGTTGATTTTTTAAGCACTCATCCATTAGTATATAGCAAAAGCGTACAAATAAATCAAATTTATTATTTTAACTTAAAGGCAAAAAGAAGAAAAAAGCTGAAGCACTCCCACCTGTAGTTGGACCATATGTTCATGTTCTTCATATTGGTGATAATGGGATTGATAGTTATGGTCCAGGGAGAGAAGATAAATTATTTATGTGCATTGAAGTCCTCAAAAGGTTAATTCAATAATGCAATATTATTATAGCTTCACAATAAAAGACTTCGACTCCGGACTCTCAATTTAAAAAAATTCTGACTCTTGCTTTAGTTCCAAACTCAGAGAAAATTGGGCATTGAAAACTTGTTGATTGATGCCACCATGTGATTGTGGGTGTAATTGTGGGTGTAATGGTCTCGTGCATAGGTTCTCGAAGGGCTCCTTCAGAATCTTCTGAATCTTCAGGGCTTGTGAGAGAAACCTAGGGGCTCCGTGAGCTATTCTTTTACTTGTTGAAACACTGAATTGGCTGTCAAAAGAAGCAATAACGACATTAACGAAAATGACAACAGTATAGTGTCGAAATGTGGCAACAAGGAAATGTAAATATGAAAGGAAAAGCCAAATATGAAATTATCTACAATTTTCAAATTAATTTGTGCGTCCGGAGTATTTGTACCAGGATGGCGCACAACCTGAACATAGTATGTGTACCAGGTTAGGGTTGTGCGTCATATTGGTACAAACACTTCCTGAGCACCAATTATTTTTTATAAATTTGTTGACGGGCTTCGTAAATAATAGTCAACCTTTTTTCGGACTCACCAAAAGTTCGAGAGTTACAATCTCGGGTTCTGATCCCGTGCCCTACAGCCTCCACCTCACCAAGGGTGTAATAAATTGGGTAGGCAATGCTGAACTAAAAAGATTCCTGTTATTGCCAAAATAGTTGCTCCTCACATATCCAGGGATGCTTGTTTAGCGCCATGTTCAAAGTGAAAGATGTAAATAAGCGTTGTATAAAAAAGCCTTCTTGGATTATCAGTTGCAAATGCAATTTTAAACTTGTTTCGGAAAATACTGACTTCGCGTATTATCATTGAAAATCTAAAATACCAACTGCGATTTCCCCCGGGAGTTAAAGAATGCTTCAAAAACATTCTAAACTCCGAATCCCTATTCCACCAGGTGAATAGCTTAAAAGAAAATTTTACCTCAAAATTTCAGAATGTTGATGTATTCACAGTGCTTTGTAGAATTGGACATGGATGACAATGTTATTGGAGATATGGCTGCCAGAGAACTGTTAGCAGGATTGGATGCAAGAAAACTTGGTAAACATTGTTTTACTTTTCATTTTTTGAACTACAAAAAAGAAAGCTCAACCCATCTATTTTTTTTTTGAAAATGACTTTTTATATTTTGAAACAATAATCTGTGAACATTGAGTTTCCCTGTAATAAATGATTTACTGTATCGAGTATAGAAAATCAGATTAAGTCACTAGCGTATAACAATCTGATGCAAAATGACAAGCTGGATTTATATCTAGTGCGCCAAAAAAGATCGTAAACGCAAAGCCTTCATTGATGGCCATTAACAGCTGTTATGAATGTACATTAGAAACAGGAGTACTACCTGGGATGGCAATTAACAACCAAAATCAAATGTAACTATTAACCATTCCCATGCTCTAGTTCTTATATTTTTCGATTTGATTAATTTTTCTATTTAGTAGGTGCAATTTTAGTTCAATCTACTAGTTGGGGTCCGTGATGACTGCACATTTGAGGGGTATGATGACAAAATACAGGTCAAGACTTGCCTACCACTGTTTGCTTGTCTCAAATTATTCAGGGGATTTATAAATTGTGCAGTAAAAAATAATCTCATCCATCACATTATTGTGTCGTTTGTGTTGTAAACGAAACATTATCCTTCCTCGTTGCTTAGGCACACAAATTGATACGGCTATAGTATGGGCGTTCATCAAAACTGAGATTCACAAATAGGGGTACGCGGCCTAAAAAGTTTGGGAAACCCTGCTTTACGGTATGCTACAAGGGTCGGGTTTACTGGCAAAGAAGACATAGGCCTATCATATAAAAGTTTTCTTTTTTTCCAGGTAATTTACCTGCAGTAAAAGTGCGAACAACAGCTGAGTTGGGACAAACAACCTACGAATCTATTGCGAAATTTTCTTTTGGAATGAAGAAGAAAAAGAAAAAAGGCAAAAAGAAAAAGAAGGTTTATAATTTTCTACCTTTTTAAAGCTATAATACATCATTAGTATTTATCAATAAATACTGAAAAATGTTTTTTTTTTCGGAGTCGAGAGTCATTTATTCGAGCTCCATGGAGCCGAGCTCGAAATTCTAGCTTCTGTTTCAAGTCGAAATAATCAAAGTGAAAATTTCTAATAGGAACTCAAAAAGCATCAAGTTGATAAAACATTCTCAGCATGCAATTGAAGAAGGCTTGCATATCTCAAAGTTTTCATTATCAAAATTTATTACTCTCAGATCTAAGGTCTGAGTAAAAATTTTTGTCAGCCTGTTGTCAGAGGTCACACATTCAATGACTCAGAAATGTATATTTTTCCAGAAATGTATATTTCCTGCGATACCTAGGGCTGGGAATGGTTAACCGGTTAATCGATTTTAGATGGTTAACGGTCACGATTTATTTTAACCGTTAACTGACATCTCAGGTACAAATCATCTTCATACCGTACAATTTCTTTTGTCATTTAATTCAAAAGAATATTACTAATTGTGTGGGTGAGGACTCAATAAATGTGAAAATAATGGTACAAAGATTGCTATGGAAATTTGACAATGATGAATTCAGAATCAGTTTTCGGTCGATTTCGAAATATATTGTTCACGATTTCATCGCAAAATCGGATATTCAATGTCATACAACAAGTGCGCAGTTGATGCCGTTTTTCTTTATGATATATATCTTGAAGTAAAATTCGCACATCGAACACTGATAATTTGTCACATAAATGACGTTTAAGAACGGTATCAGGTTTTCTAAAATACTTCAACACGCCCGAACCACGCTCCCTATCTCTTGAAGCAGAGAAACCGTGAAACTATCTTGATTCGTGAATAAATTTTAATAAGCGATACCGGTATAAGAACACGCGAAATTGCTTTATAAGCATTGTGACGTAACAAGCTGAATTTATAAATTATTACGTCAAACGTCACGCGGCGGTTAATCGGTTAATTATACCCGGTCAACGGTTAAAGTGTTTTTCCTGAGATTCCAAGCCCTAGCGATACCATGTTAACCACTATACAGCTCTGCTCTCCTCTATAACAACCTTCGCTATATTACTCCCTCGGTGACAATGTTCCAGTCACAGTATTATGTAAAAATATTAAATATATCAAAACAGCTTAGCCTATACACTTGCACTCTAGAACAACAAATGTTCACTCAATAAAATACAAAACAGAAATAACCTTTAAAATATGTTTTAAATATAATCCGAGCTCCTGCTTAGCAACTAGGTTTGGTCATAATTTTTTTTTTTTTTCAGAAATAAAGATATCATCAGAGTGCACTTTCTACACTGTGACCAAAAACAAGCATTTTACCTAATTTCCATGTTCCGAACAACTATGAAGACAAATGTCAGTATTGTGTTTCATTAATTGTATTTTTCCTATTTCGAAATTAAATTTTATAATTCTTTGTGTTGTCACATTTTTGGTTTGCGGGGGCAGGAAATCAATACAGCTGTTTCAAATCTCAGAACAAAATAAGATTGGTGACATATGTTTTGTAGCACCCCTAACAATAATGGGAAGATGTCCAACAGAATTGTTTGAATGAATAAAAACACTCAACCTGTTCCTTGCTTGAAGCTGCACATCTTACAGTGAAAAGTTACTTTTCTCCTGTTGTCACTCTGTTCTAGTCAGGCAAGACAGTAGTTTTCACAAATTGTTTCGAAAGAATGAGAAAAGTTAGCATAGCCTTGTTCTTGTGAAGATGAATGTATGCCACATAGCTACTTCATTCTTTTACCATGGTTTGTTTAGGAATTTTTTTAGCTTATTCGCTTCATTATGGTAGTTTGCTTGATTTCAAAAATATCAAATAAATTCTATTGTACCGGAAAAATTAAACTCTGTCTTGATGATATATACTCTATCTTGACAATTCTTGATTAATGTTAGTTTACAGCAGAATGGAAGTCTTGGTATCAATGACTAGTAATTTTTTCATCCTTCGCTTTGAAAGAAATTTCGCTTTGTATTTACTGCAGTATTATTTCTTGCTAATATTCTGTAGTTCTTTAATATTACTATAATACTCATTTACGCACAAATTATAAACTGTACAAAAGCGAAAGTGCGACTTGTGTACAACAACTAGGTAAGGATCGATTGAAGATTGCATGAATGAAATAGTTTTTATGCATAGTAAGGAAAGAATTAAGAGTTTCAAAAAGGGAATTAAACTTATTCCATACCCAATATGGACTCTGAAGCCATATAATTAGGTAGTCTTATCCGCGCTCGGATCCCTCTCTAGATAAGGACTGCATAGTTCCTGGTACCAAATTCACCGGGTGCAAAAATCAAAAGTGAATAGAAAACATCAATTTATTGTAGCATTCCATAACGAGACACAACTACATTAGGGTAAAAATGTTTTGGAATTACACACAAGAGCCACACAGTAATTACATTTGGTCCATGTATTAGCTCTATATAAACATTGACAGAATTGTTCGAGAATCATGCACAATTCGATTTTCACTTTTTCGAAACTCTAGCTACATTTTTCGAGAGCTTCTTTTCTCCTTACTGTTCCTCATTTCATGAGATGATGATTGTTGATTTTTAATTTTAATCTCCGTTAACTTTTACTTCGGACGGAGTTTCGTCAACTTCGATACCGTTTTGTTCCTCTTTCGCATCACCAGATGCTTCAGTGTCCGGCTTTTCGTCTGCTTTCGCCTTTTTGGCTTCTTTCACAGCTTGTTTTCTACGCAACTCTTGTTTCTGTAAAAAGTAAAAAGCAACAAAATAATATAAAGTTACAAAATCATCTAAGGTCTGTCAGCTCACAACAGCCCAAAACTGTGACAATGGCAAGTCTTCACGCTTTGACATTAACGTGGAGTTAATCAATTGGAGTGTAAACTAACAACTTAAATAAGCAGCCATCAGTGCCTTGCATTTTGCAATTGAGATTAGGCGGACCGGCAGGAAGGTTGATACAAACAGACGGCGGTCCGCAGGCCGGTGGTTGAGAACCACTGCTCTATACAGTTTAACACATTGGTTCTCAAACTGGGGTCCGCGGTCGCTTAGGGGTCCGTGAAGCGATTTTAGGGGGACCTCGAGACAGCTTTAACCTCGGCACAGAAGCACTATGATTTGAGGTAAAATTTTGATGTCATGCTTTACAGAGTTTCTCCAAAGCACGACACGATAAACTTTAGTGAACGTTGCAAGTCCCGCAAATCAGAGCGTATTGTTTATGGAAGGCGTGTGCATCTGATTGTAAATTTTTTCGGGGTTATTTAAAAAAGCCCCCCATCATAAAACATAAATTTAGATATAACGATTCATATGTTAAATTTGATTTTGCTGTGATAAGTGCTGGAGGAAAAGAAAAACCACAGTGGCACCGTACTGTCTCGATGGCCCTAAAAACGCTCATTCCATTTACAACAACTTACGAATGTGACGCAGCTTTTTCTACGTTACTCGTTATTAAAACAATATGTTGAAACGTAGACATGATTTGAGAGTTGAGTTATCTAAAACAGAACCCAAGGTAGAAGAACTAGTGGATGCCTAGCAGGCTCATTGAACTGCTTTAATGTCATTCAATAGATGAATGCTTGATATACCGCGTGCTATTTTTTTGGTGTCATCAGAATCGTTGCAAGGGGACTGTTATGCGTAATTTTTCAAAAAGTTTGAGAACCACTGGTTTAACGGTTCTAGTGGCCATGAATGTGAAGTCAGGAGTTTGATATGCCCGAGTTATATTTTCTTATTTCCCAGTGCGGGAACTTCCTATGCTGGCAATCAAGTTGGTGGTAAAAAATAAATAAAAAACAGGTACAAAGGATGTCATATGGTGGCGGATTTTGAGTTACAGTAGTTATGCTGTACTATAAATTTGACAAAAAATACCATTGTCCTTTTAAAGGGTCATTGGGCAAAATTGTTCAAGTATGGCCATTCAATAATTGAGAATCAATACATACAATGTTCCCTCTAATTTTTGTCGTATGTGTGCGCACTTTTTTGGAAATGACTAATATTTGTGCAAAAACCAATGAAGAAATTTTGGCGTTCTAACTGGCTAACAACAAACTTTCTCAACCTGCCAGCGGAGAACATTGTTACATTACATCGAAATACGTCTGTGCGCAGTAAATCTATGCGTGTGCGCGGCCTCTGAAAGCTGTGTGCGCGCGCACACCTTAGAGGGAACACTGAATACATACCTCATCCTGTCTCGCAAACTTTTCAAACATTCCGCCAAATAATTTCTTCTCTTTTTCTTTAATCTTATGTATTTGCGCATTTGCTTCTCGGATACGTTTAATCGCCAGCTTGTTAGCTGGATTCAAGTTTTTAGCCTGAGTAAAATATAAAATGAACCAATGAAATAAAGATAATTGTATTGAAAACTGGCAATGTGTTTCAACTACATATTTCCCTATACACAGAAGCTTGCAGATACTGATATCTACGAGTGAGTAGGGAATTTTTTTGTAAGGACGAGAATCTTCCTGCCCAATTCATTGCACCCTGGGCGAGTCGGTAGTCATGGGATTCAAACCAGATATGTGAAGACCACAATAGCACAGACAACCCAAAATTTTGGAAGGGGGCAATCGTTTTTGTAAAATGACGTAATATGATGCTCGCTCGTGCCTTTTGGTATGAAGTCAGATAAATATAGCCAGTAATATCTAACAATATCATAAAGAATCACTCTACGATTTTAGGGAGCCGTGACTCCTCAGACCCGCTTGGCTACGCCTATGGTAGTCACTAGTTTGTAGAACGCTTCACAAATCTAACCCACCCAGGATTAAGACATTGAAAGGCCTATGCCAGACCAGCGAAGACTCCATTACTTAAAAAACTGAAAGCCTTCCCCAGTGCCAAATATGATGCCTGCACAAGAGCCCTGTTTGGAGTGAATGTACCAAAGTATCTTGAACATTTGGCAATTTAATCCAAAGGTGTTATTGAATTAACACAAACGTAACATCATAGCACATATGAAAATTTTACCTGCGTGAAGTCAGACTTGGCGTTTTCATAATTTTCTCTTGCAAATTCCGACTCTCCTCTTCTGAAAAACGCTTTCTCACTATTGTTGTCAATTTCGATTGCCTAAAAAATAAATATTTATGTAAATAAATCCTATTATTTTCACACAAGTTTGACTTGGAAGTTTTAAAGTGGTTTCTAATAAATGATCTTTTTATTGGAATTTCTGAAGTATTGTCAAGTTTATCAAGCACTAAACTGAAGTGCCATTTGAAAATCAAATGTATTAATTAACGAAAGACATATTTAAGAATGCAAAATAATAAGATTTCATTCTATTTTTCGCATAATTAAAATAGTTCAAAATGTATTCAAATACTACACTCATATTTTCGACAACTCAAATTTTGTTCAATTAAAACTTCATCAACAAAAGTTTCCAAATCAAAATAATCAAGCCAAAAAAGCATCTTGCAAAACAGAATTTTCAAACCATTTTATAAAGATGTCTCTAAGTCATACCGTGTCGCAGCATTTTGTTGCCTCCTCGAAGTTTTTAACTTTTATATAACACAGAGCCAAGTTTAAATGAGCGGCAAGTTTGAGTGAGTTCCATTTCTCATCAAGTTCGGATTTCTTTGCATCCTCTCTGTAGTCCAGCAAATCTTTTATTTTCTTGTATTGAATAATGGCCTTGTTCAATTGTCCTTCCTGATAATGAAAGTGCATAACAATCAAGGTTTTAGCAACTAGGGATGTGTAACGTTACTTTGGGAGTTCCTCACTGTAATTTAATTAGATCAGGGCTGTAGTTTTAAAAATCCTAGTTCTCTTAGTTCAGGATTTCAGACTCGTATAATCAGAAGTCAGAGCTGAATTTTTAAACGAGGCTGAAAACACTCACTAACAGGAAAATAGTTCTACAGTTAAAATTTTGGTACTCCAGAACCGAAATGCTGAACTTGCTAGGTAGGGATTGAGAATATTATACTTGCTATTCCTAAGTGGGTATTGAAGCTTTGAAATTTTTTCTCTCTAAGAATCAAAATTCAAACTAAAATTAATGATTTGTAAACAACATATTTTGTCAAGTTGAAGTCAGGCTCATCTTCATTCAAATAACTTCAACAAAAGCAATAAAAATAAGTTTAGATTCATATTACCTATCGTTAAGATTTGGTAGTGAAGACGAACAAGAAATTAACGAAAATCACAAACCTTGAAAAAAGTTGTTCCTTTTGCTTTTATAATTTCTCCTTGTTCCACTTTCTCTTCATCACTCATTTCCCACGATTCCTTCGCTTTCTCAAAGTTTTTCAAATGAATTTCATAATTAACATCAGTATCCTTTGGCACACCTAAACCCTCATGTCCCTCGCTTCCGAAAGCATGCTTCGAATTTACTCGAAACAGTGAAGTCTCGTCTTTTTTCATTTTCTTTATGGAATCTTCAACAGGTTTCGGAATATTCTCACATTCATCTGTTACATAATAATTTTTTAATTTGAAAATGTTGAAATTGAGAATGAGTCGCCGTGGTTTGAGTTATATTGATCATAGAGCCCCTAGATCCCAAACTCTTCTATTATAATAAAAAAGTCCGAGATAAATAACGTTATGAGGTTGCTATAGAGTGGCGCACACTGCAAATATAAATAAGATATAACTTCACATATCATATGGCTCACAAAAAATGGTATAGGGGTTAGCACATTGCTTGTTTGACTTCATCATGTTAGTGAATATTCAATAAAACAGTGCTCTTCAAACTGGGGTTACCACGTTGTCGCAGTACTCAATACTGTTAAAACAAACCATACTTATTTTTCTTTGAAAATTTTTTTGACACTAACTTATGTAAAAGCAAAAATTTGGCAGTTCCAAGTGGGTGGTGATTAAAAAATTTGGACAACACTGTATAAGATGAAAGATCTTGGGACCCTATACCTGCAACATCACATCGAGGGTAATAATTTTGTGAGTAATATCTAAACAGGCAGCATCTCTTCGCTCTACTTGTCTATACAATTGTTCAGATTGAATAGGTGCAAACACACCATCAACAAGGTCAACTTTCACTCTATGACAATTTCAACAATCTAATATTGTCTATCATCAGTCAATAGATTAAAATTCAGTGTTGATTGTCTGTACCTTCATTGATATTGAATTTCAATGACCTCTCATCAAAAACTGTATCTCCATATGATCCCTTGATGTCAATTGATACATTAGCTCCATCGTTGGGAGTTTCGTACAATTTTCCTTCTTTCAAAACTTGTCTTGTTATACTTTTGTCACTATCGGGAGAAACATCTTCAAACTATAACAGAATGAAAGTCAATAAACTGTTGTTCCAATTTATTCTATTATAATTATTGCTAAGCGTTACAAATACGCTCGCCCCTCTGATTAACCTATGTTGGTTCACAGGTTCGAATCCCCTGGGGGACAACTATGTGCAAAAAGAATGCTGGACTCCTCGCTGCCATAGGGTGGTTCACATAACCACTGGTCGGTTGCAGCTCCCTCCACTATCAAGTCCATGCATCTGAAACTAATACCCAGCTAATCATATACCTGCCATGGACTGGTAACCGTACAACAAGAGGTTGTGGTTCACCATATGATTGAGCAGTCTTATTCTCTCTCCTCTATCCTGAGATAAACATGTAAATTCTATCTATTGTACACACAAATTTGACTAGTGATAATACTATTCAAATTGTTGGATTTTTTATTTCACTATTACTTGAAAAAATATTATTTTTAATTGAATGATAATTATACTACAAAAAATTTACTGAAGAACTATAATTCCATTTATCACAATTCTCAAAAACTCTGTTTTGAATATTACAAATTTAAATTTTAAATGGTATACTGAGAAAAGGATTTGATAGCATAGACTTCAAGTTTTGTAACAATGACATGTAGTGTTTTATCATTCTTTCATATGTTTAATAGCTCTAGGCATCTCAGGGTCACCAACAACTTTGCTCAGAAATGAGCATCCTCCACTTTTGAGTAATTATGTATGATAGTGTCTTGATCAAATTATTTGAAAAACTTCAAATCCTATATACCTACCTCCCAATCAAATAACTCAATTTCAAATACAAGAGTAGCATTAGCTGGAATGGTAGGTGGGCTTCCTTTCTCTCCGTATGCAAACTCTGGCTTGCAAGTCAGTTTACATTTCTCTCCTCTTTTCATGGAAGCAACACCGAGATCCCAAGCTTTAATAACTTGACCTAAAAAATAGAATCGTAAAGTAGTAAAAAGGTGTTTTCTGCAAAAAAATTTTTAACCGATATGTTCGCTTTTTCACAAATTAACAAAAATTCGTTTTGAAATAGAAAAACAGATTAGAAATGATTTTCAGTTCATGCAGATAGCAAACATGACAAAAACATAAATACAATAAGCATAACTTCATGAAAAAAATCAGTGAAGTGTAAAATAGCAGCACACAGTAAATACTATGAGAGATGAAAATATTCTGACAAGTCTCGGTTTGTTGAATCCTCATGGTGATGTGCTGTGAGTATTTTCAAAGTTAACCATACCTTTGCCCAAATTGAAAGAGAATTTTTCTCCGCGATCAACAGAAGAATCAAATTTAGTTCCATCGAGTAAAGTTCCTGTGTAGTGAACGAAAACTTTACAACCTTCTGATGGAGATTCATCACATGTTCCGGGAGTGATTATTTCCTACAAAAATAACTTTTTCATCAACCTGAGCGCTTTACTATTTATCAGTTTATGGCAGAGAGGGACTCAATTTTTAATTTCTACCAAAAGTCAGCTAAGCAAGTATAATAAAAATGGAAAATAGCGCTCCACAGAACATTAGAATTTGGAACCCAAGTTCGAATTGAAATGACTGAATAATGCACTGGTTATCAACCAGTGGGACATGGCCCACTGATGAGCCACAAAGACATTTTCAGGTCGGCCACACGCCTATTAAAAGTGCTATGATCATTGAAAAATTTAGTTTCAGTTATGTCACTATGGTTGAATTTTATTGTAGTAGCGATGAATGGTGATGCTGGTTTTCATTCTAATTATCAAAGAAAAAGTATAATTTTGAAAAACAAGTTTTTTTTTCTTCTAATCTTTACCTTGGATCAAAAAGTTGATGGGCCACCGAAATTTTAGGCAACAAAAATGGGCCACGCAATCTGGCCAAAATCCTAACCCGGTAACATAACATCTAAATTCCCCGCAATTTTCACATCACCGCGATTGTGTATTTACACTGAAAATTGTCGCACCAATACAAATTATTCTTATTGTCTTATATTAAAATCAATGAAATCACAACAAAAAATTTCAAATTTCACCAACCTTTAATACTCCTCCATTCTGCACCAAAGTCAAATCTATTGGTGCATTGGTTGCACTTTCTTCATTTGCCATTCTGAGTTGCAAGAAAATTATCGAACGAAAAAAGAATAGGAAAGTCTGAAAATGAAAAACCAACTAGTCTAGAGCTAATCAGTTGGTAGAGTAAAAACCAAGGTACCGGTATCGGTGACAGAAGAAATGCAGAACTGTCGAAGTACGACTTAGAAAATTCTAGAGCTGGGGGCCGGCCTAGCACAAAAACATGCGAGGAGTTGTATGATGCCAGGATTTTAATTTATTCAACGTCTATATTCTGGCGCAGTCACGTATAGTAGATGTATTTATTTCTATCAAAAGCCAATTATTGACATAATTTTACGCATAAATAAATCAAAAATTATAATTTTGAAATCTATGCTAATTATGATTTTTTAGGAACAGATTACTGCGATAAATCTGGCAACGTCTATTTTTCAAATCGCCGTAATTCCAGCCCGGTTTGTTAGTCGTTGTTTCAACCCAACGTGTTCCAACCCCACGAAATTCTTTTTAATGTGGTTGTCCCGCAGATCTTTCTGACCCTAAAATTTTTTTATTTTCAATTCAACTTTTACCAATAATTTTATGAGTATTTTACAGGTTATCGTATGGCTGCAATCAAAATATACGGTGGTGTAATATGTACGATAATACATGAATTGAAACTTCTTCAAATCGTAAATATATGTTCAAACAACTGCCGTATTGTATGTAGGCAAATAAACATACATATATACAATACGGAGGTTGTTTGAAAATTTTTTTAACATGACGATTCTTAGCCGGAGGTGCATGGACACAAAAGAATTGCAGAAACATTTTGAGTTGCATGAGCTCTGTATGCATATAATGAAAATAAAGTACTGTAGTAAGATGTAGCCACCCGCCACCGTGGCCTAACCAGCAAAAGACCAGGCTCACGGGTTAAGGAAAATCTTGCGCATCTGAACGAATTTGTTTACTCAACCTAAAGAACTCCAATGTCAATTCATTAAGGCATAAGATGCCTCGAGAATTTTCCCTTCATGTTCTATGTTTTTGTTACGTAAGTGATAAGATACGTTCCCAAGAAGCGCGTCCAAAATTTTCATAAAAAGAATCGTGCCATGTTGGTATGCGTTTGACTTCACAAAGACATTCTCATAGTATCCAGTTATTAAACTATACCAAAATCACTGAGATCACACAACCGCTGACATCGCATACGGAAGTAGCACCAAAATATTTTCTTATTTTAACGTAGCCTACGTTCTTGGTATTCACTTTAAAATCGATTACTTCTCCTAGGCTGCTAACAAATAATAGAAATTTTGAGCCCCATAAAGTTTATATGTTGCGGGACAATAATCAAATTTTGTACTGGTAGCTGCAAATGCATCAAATATACTTGAATGCCTATGCTATTTCTTTCCGGGAGTGGAAAATCATGTTTGATAATCTATAAGCACATGAGATGCAAGTATAGATATTCGAGCCTATACGCTGTTTTGTTTCGTTAGAATAAGCTAATGTACTGATGGTAATAACAAAATTGTCTATGTTCGATTTTGATGCAATTAGTATACAAATTGATTCAAATTTTCTCGCATTCTACAAATCGACAGCACCACGTTCTATTGATGAAATTGAGACGTGTTAGGGTCAAACTTTGGCCTAATATCGACATTACGATCGAGCAATCGCCAAGTCTGTCTATATATTAGGATTATCCAGATATTCTATATATACTATAGAGACCATTTTTGTAAATCAAACCTTGGTTACGTTAATCCTCTTGTAATCCTGTCTAATTCTCTTCATAACACAAAACGCGAGCCATCATTGACCGGCGTACGCATCAGAAAATCAATGTGGAGGAGCCAATGCTCGATTCTCACAGAGATTTTGAAAGTTTTGAGTGACGTTTAAATTTGTATTATACATGTCGATTATTGCTTGACATTTGATGTTACATTCGACTTAGATTCTTGTTAATGAAGAACCTCAAATAACTAAAAGAGAACTAGGGAAGTTAACCAGCGAAGCATCATATTTGCTACAAAATTAACTCAAGTTGTTCTTTCGTTTCAGAACCATACGCTGACCTGACGACAAAATAGAAACTGATTGTGTAAACACAAAAACTTCCGTTTTTATGCCTATTGACTACGTGATTTTTTTTATGATTTTATGATTACTGAATAATGGTAAGCTTAAAAATGTTGAGGAATTGAATTGTTGTTTATTCAAAAGGTTTTTTTGAAGTTTTAATTCTTTACTTAAACTTCGAATCTTTATGTAATCGATAAATAAATAGCCTGCAATAACCATAACGGATTTGTTATTTCACGGAGGGAGAGAAGGAGAAATACACAACGACCGTGAGCGAAGAAGGGAGGGCTTAAAAATTGAACACGCGATCAAGCTTCATCAAGCATGGAATTCATCCAATTTGCACAAAATGATGCAGATTATCTGCGACTTATGTTTGGTCAAATGTGATCGGAGTATTTTAAAAACAGCGAAGTGGGTGCGAATTTACCGTTCTTTTTGGCACGCGTGACTCTGACTTTGAGAAAAAAAGGTCACGAAAAAGGCGATTTTTATTTCAAGTCAGATGTTACCGTGAATAAAAATCAGATCAGTCGTCAATCAGTAGCATCGTCTCTGCAATTCAAGAACATAGCCTTCTGGTTCACTGACATCAGATATGAATAACTCGGATTCTTCTTCTGTACCGTCCCCATGTCACGCTTGTGGTTGCCACATCTTAGATAGATTCATATTCCGGGTGAATGGATTTTTGTGGCATGCTAAATGTGTCCGATGTCACGATTGTGATGACCTGCTTGACGAGAAATGTTATTCGAAAAACGACTTATTATATTGCAGAAAAGATTATTTTAGGTGAGTTGTTTTAAAATTACCTCTATTATAAGTTATTTTATTTAAGTATTGCATATTCAAGAAATAAATTTAAGTTGAAGAAAACCAGGCTAATTCTATTTTTATATAGATGTTACTAAGTTATATATATATACTGCAAAGCAGTTATAATTGCAAGATGATTAGGGCATTTTTTACAAAGCTCCAGCCATAATTCATCCTGCTTGATCTGTATTTGATTACGTCTCAACATTTTATTCTAAAAAAGAGCGTAATATAATATTTTTGCACTTTGATTCGACTACAAACTTTCTGTAAATCGTTTCTATATCATAACGATCATTAAGCTGTTATTAATATTCAAACTGTGAGTTCAAGGGAGTAGCGTAATACGAACTGATAATTTATATTCAAATGGGAAATTATCAATATATTTATGCATATAACTCTTATTTGTAGATAAATTCACAATTAAGAATAGATATCAAAATTATTTACCTCACTTTTCTAAACCACCAGACAGACTTTCGTGACAAACAAGACATTAAGACTAGCTATAGTTTAACATTACTGTTTGTTATAATTTAGTATTTTCAAATGGATCTGAATGCGTGCGATACGTGATGACAAATTAGCTGTGTTTTGGAATTTCGACTACTACCACTAACTATAAGTAGACAACTAAACTGTACAACTAAAAATTTATTTCCTTCTATTTTCTACAGACGTTTTGGACCTGAGTGCCGTGGTTGTAATGATAAATTAATGGCGGATCAAATCGTAAGAAGAGTACACGATCTTATATTTCACGAAACTTGTCTTCGGTGCAATATCTGTTCGAGAAAAATTATGACGGGAGATAGAGTTTACAAAACGTACGATTCAAATATTTTATGCGAGAAAGATTATCAACTGCAAAATTTAGGTAATTCAAATATCTTAATACTTTCCTCATTTTAAAACATTCAAAAAAACTACCATTTTGTCACTGATATTTCTTGACGTCATCAGATAGTTTGAATTACCAGTGATCACCCAAACCTTCAGACCTATTTGTTTCGTTTCTGAATAGAGTATACCATGCTAATTTCTAAACCATGTCATGTATAGGGCGTAGTCTTCAGTATTTTTAGATAAAAACCATTCTGGTTGGTTGTTGCTAACACTAATCTGGTAACTAAATGATATTGAAAAATGAAGTACTATTAATATTATATTTTAGTGTTGTTGTTCTTTGAATGAATATATTTCATTTTATTTGCTGAATTTATTTTTGTATTTTATTCGAATGTGACCAAGTTGAATCATAAGGTTGCGCGTTTTCTAATGATAGAATAAAATTTTACGATAACAATTTATTGCTCGATCTGATGTTTTCCAGACATTACTGAATATTAAAGGATACATTTATGTTTCAAAGAACTGTATAATAAATATAATATTTCTTTTCTTACAATAATCAACTGTAGTTTTATAAACGACACTTCCAAAGCATATAACGTTACGCATATTTGAGCTTTGGTTATGTAATATTATATCCTCTGAAAAAAAGAAAGTATTCCCGTAGTGTACTCCGGTAGTGTGTGTACCAGGTTAGGGTTGGGCAATGATTTTGTTCCGATTTTCCTTACTTTAGTTCTATTACGAGTTCGGGGACTCGCTTTGTTAGCCAAGTGAATATACACCCTGTCCAATGTTCATAGGATTCAGTCCCTTTACATAACTTGATGTAAAGCACTCGAACAAAATTGGGTTGCCTCCATATTGGTAACACACTTCTGGAGCGCCGATGTTGATGTTTAAATGTATAAACGTTTTATAAAATTACTTATACAGGTATACAATCAAAGCAGAACGATCACGAATCATCTTTCTCGTCAGAAGTGTCTGATTTAAATGATTCGTCTAACTCATCTCAGTTTTTTGAGAATACACCTGGAGTTGCACCTGAAAACGGCATTCCCGGGCTTGATTTCGAACAACCTGAAGATAAAGTGAACAACGCAAATGAATCAAATCTTTTACAAAATGAAAACAAAAACGGACCACCGTGCAACGAAGAAAATTTTATGAAGTCATCAGGTAACTTGGTCACGATAATTTGATAACAAAAAAGGGTACTCCTGAAGTATGCGCATCAAGATGTCGCACAACCTGAACTCTAGACTGGTACACAATATGAGTTCAGGTTGTGCGCCATCTTGGTGCGCATACTTCAGGAGGTCCCAAAAAGTATCTTTTTGTACGAAAATACATTTTAAAGCCATAAGACACCGTTTTCTTTGCCATGTTTATCAACATTTATTCTAATGGCGTTAAAACATTATGTAAACAGGATTTAATTTCAAAACAACCTATATATCTCATCATATTTTTAAGCATTTTAGCAATAATTTGATATATTGCGAATTGGTACAAGAAGAGTAATTGGTGATTGCAGTGTAATCGAAGTTTCCAAATCTTTCAAGAGTTGGAAAAGAATGTTGAAAATAATAATTAAATAGGAGGTTGAGAAGTGCGTCTCAGAGGCAAAATTAGGCCTGATTACATGTCCATCGAAATCAGTCCAGCGAACCGGTTCGGTTCGGAAAAGTCAAATATTCCATCGGGCTAATTTAAGTAGCAAATGTGTTTGTACAATTATTTTACTTTTGCATATATAGTCCAGACTTCGGAAAGAGGTGCACAAAACAATATGGCGGCTGACGAGCCATCACGAGAAACCACAACCGCCGTTGATTTTTACGAGGAAGGAGGAGAGACTGATGAAACCTCCGCTTCTTTTGACCACGGCGACGAATCGTCCTGTCGCATCGAGCACGGGGATATCGTTAACTCCCAGTCGGCTGGCACTGGAAAAAAGAGGGGACCGCGAACGACCATAAAAGCAAAACAGTTAGACATGTTGAAATCTGCTTTCATAGCGACACCAAAGCCGACGAGACATATACGGGAACAGTTGGCGAAAGACACGGGATTGTCCATGCGGGTTATACAGGTAAAATTCACACGATTGATGTTTAAAGATGTCAATTTTTAACGAGTGAAAAAAATGGTATAAACTCAGTATTTTCAACACGCATAAGTAACAGTTTCTTCCAAAATCTGGGTTGTTTCTGAATAAAAGGAAACATTATACTGTTATACTGTTTAAATATTACGCAGAAACTGTTATATTTTTGAGGCAAATAAACATAGATACATCCATACAATTACATTGTGTCAGACCTTTATAGCCATGGCATTACAAAATTTGCGTAATTGGTGTTCCACAAATAAAGTTCATTTTGTGCTGAATATATATATATATACGCACAATTACGATTTATAATAACCGCATAGCATACGCTTCTCTTCGATGTAACTGAATGTGGGGCCCCAAACATCAGTTAAAATATATTATATATATTTGAAATTATTTTCCACATTTTTCAACCCAAGTTTTATATTTCTCCATCATTCCATTTTTTCTTCAATGTGTTCTTTTCGAATTTTGAATATCGACCCCAAAATAGCGTGTTGCTATCGGCAACAAAATACAAATTAGCAGAATTTCTTTAACTTACGTTTACGTTTGAAAATAATTTACTTGAAGCTTGTATTTCTGTCGCAGGTGTGGTTCCAAAATCGTCGAAGTAAAGAACGGCGAATGAAGCAAGTGAGCATGTACAGTTCAAGAAGGCATTTGTACAGTCGACTTCCACAAAGACATTTACAGAATGGATACATGCAAGCACCCAACATAAACATAATGGAGCCCGGTATGTCTTACTTTGATGTTGATTACCTTTTTTTATACCTGCTCGTAGTATTACCCTTGTTGTTATCATTAATGTTTTTATGTTAAAAAAGGAAAACACGGACTTTAATAAAAATCCAGCAAAAATATAACCTAGTGATACTAATTACCATAATGATTTAGTGTTAAAATTTTCGTACATGAAGCTGAGATAAATCCATAGAGGTACCTCAATGCTATTTCAGTTTGTTGTCAAGTTTAATGCTGATTCGAGCTTGACTCTGAGCTCGCTGAGACAGTCAAGACTGAATTCCCTTAATCGCCGAACAAATTGAACGGTCAAGCTAACACTAAAACTTCGATTTTCAGTCTCGCGCTCTGACAATTCTATTGATTTTCGTTCGTGTCGACTACCCAGTGCATTTGATCCATGACATTTGATTCGCGGTGAAAGGCTCGTGGGTCCCTCGACACAGACTCATAAATAAAGAATTGGGAATTAACAGGCAGGCAGATGCCTTTTTGATTAGCTGGTATCGAATTTCAAGTTTATTTAAAATGGTGGCATGGCACACTTAGTCAAATGATGAATTGCCTTTTTGGATATGTTTACTAGATTTAAACAAATATAGTAATGCCATACGTGGCATATGTACACAGTACACAGACAGGCCGGTATTCGCCCTGCCTAAACGCTTTCTTACTTAACGGCTTTGCTCTGTCATAGGATAATATGAAAATAATGAAGTTTAACTTAATGTACCTTTTTACAGGGATAAATTCACCCAATCTTTACCGCTATAATGATCAGAATGCCGTTCAAGGAAACACTCACCAGCAGCTACAAGCGCCATTTTATGGCACGAACGTACGCCAAAACGAAGGAAATGTGCCATCATCCGACTCTGTCTACTCCGGTCAAAATAGTGCGCGTCCTCCCAGCGACATAGTCCTGATGTCGTCATTTTCTGATGGAGCGTCGTCAGATTGCTTCAGTGAGAGGTCTTATCTGGAAGAATTATCTTTTCCAGAGAATCAGCAAAATTTGGAAGATAATGTTCTATCAAATCCAGACTATTATCAGCAGGCCAATCATATGCAGTATTTACAGAATCACAATGACATATACCCAGCGCGTCCATAATTGAGGACTTGTTGCCATATAGATGATGTTTATATAAAGTTCCATATAAGAGGAAAGATATATGTCACTGTATATTTCACGTTTTAGTAATCTATGTAGTTCTTGTAGCTTATTTTTTATTTTAATTTATGTTTTGCTCACGACTTTTATGTAACTTATCCGTCATGATATTTAAGCTAACATTACTTTTCACGGTTACCAAAATACAGGTATCACGGGTCCATGACGTGTTTTTGTCAAAGAGCAATGTTTTGTTAGGTTGGTTAAGGCGAAATTTTGATCGCAGCTTTTCTCAGAAATGTCGTGTGATAAATTTACAACGTTACAGATACTATTAAAAGGAGTAACATATAGCAGACCTGTCTCAAGTTTTTACGACTTTTGGCAAAATACTAACATAAGATCGTAAAATATCGAGATAAAGAAAATGTCGCCGTTTTTCCGCGGTCGTCGAGCGGTGAATCCATTTTGCTAGAAGCAGAAAAACTGACATCTGAATAGCCACTACAACGCAGAGAGATATCGGGATGTCTTGCGTCAGTAACTTTTAAAGGGTATAAATGAAATGATTTTTACCACGTGCCTCCTTCATTCTGTGTCAAGCGTACACCAAAGTGACTATAACCCGTTATTCCCCGTAACGAATCAGATTATTACAACTTTACAATATGAAAAGAACATTTTTCGATTGGTATCATCCGGAAATCTTATAATACGCTCATAATGCATTATTACCACGCTATACGACATATCATAGCAAGAAAGTCAATAAAAAGTATGTGTGACCAGAAAACAAATGCGAGTAGGAATTAGGCTACAGTTCTTAAAAGTGGAAGTAGTCGCCAAAAAGCTATTTTAAAAAATCGCTCAGTCCTACAAGATATTTCATCATATCATCATCCATCAGTTTGGTTGTTGGACACGAAATCCTATAGATCGTTTCAATATTATGTGGTTTAAATTCTTTTTCGTTCGTTCTTGTTGTGAAAAAGTCGCTTTTCTCAATGACTACTGAATCGATTGCTTTGAAATTTGCATCTAAAGATTGTATTTTTCTCTAGAAAGCTTTTACTTTTATTTATTGTAAAGACTTATGCGAAATTCATCAAGCTTAAAAATTGTGCATCTTATGACGATTCCAAGTTAGCGTCCACCATAATTGCGTGCTTGTGGTCACTCGAAGTCAGGAAGACAAAGGCAGCCTATGGTCTCGGTAATGTGGAAGATTAGATACTCGTACTACTTCGTGTCGTTATATTTAAGCATCGCTCTTTTGTTCCTGTTGTTATTAAAACAACGCTTATTTTTAACTACTATACTAATTACTTTGAAGTTTTCAGTGGTTGAAGATTGTAAAATGTTTCGTTTTGACTTTCGTGTCCATATATTTTAGCATTGCTCTCTTATGTTGATTCCATTGAGGTGTAGCCTAGCCCCTATATAACACCTCAATGGTTGATTCACGGAGGCTCTGTTGTTATTCTATCAAGCGTAACCGATTACGTCACTCATAGCTGTACTTCATTTTGATTTTGCGAACTCGGTGATCAGCCACATCCCCGTGTTAGTTGCGTAGGCTCTCCTGGTGCTGCGGTTATTTGTTGGAACTTTTTATCCAGATATTTAAGCATTCCTCTCTTGTTTCTAATGTAATACGCTTTTGACAAATAAAAGCAATGTTTTTTTTTGCATTATACTCATGAATGACTAACTACAAACTTTATGATATTCAACAAGAGTGCAGTGCAATTCGAATCCTGATTTCTGTGGGGCACTGCTAATAAACTATTCTACTCCGTAAAATGAGGCATTTTATTCTTGAAAATTTCCAAAAATATACAGTTTGATATCAATTTTTTGAGAAAGGTTCATTTGTTTGAAATTAACTTTCTACACATCTTTCATTCTCATATATATATGAAATATCGCTGTATTAAATCGAGTACTGAACACATTAAACAATAACAATTTTTTTCAATAAGTCAATCTTTATTTTCAACAAATTAAGAAAATTATATATTGATAACAATACAAACTTCGGGATTGCAATCATTTTTGTTATCATGCAATATGAACCACCTATACATCCCCACAATTCTGCTCACAGTAACGAGATATGTAACTGAAAGCGCGATTTACATAATTGCTTCAAGAAGTCCAAACATACAATCGAGATAGTCACTAAAACTTCCGTTTAATAATATTTCTTCGCAGTCGTCGTCACCTGTCTCAACTTCTACATTGTCGTAATTTGGTGGACTCGTTGACGACTCGTCAGTTGGGCATTTGTCTTCTGAAATATATATGCAATAAAATTCGGTAGATTTGTGTATTTTGAATTCAAGCCTTTCGACCGAACAAGGCAGTCAATGATTTTATATAGTTTAGTGTTTAGCCCATCTATTCTCGAATTGTCTGTAATTTCAATACTGACAGGGTACGTAGAAGTTCATATACTTCTTTACTCATTATTCGTGAAGTTAAATAATCATCGTTCATCAAATTGTTAAGACAATCCTTCCAAATCATTAGATCCTTTTCCATATGCTCAAAGGTCAATTTAATAAACAACAGTGAAAGAAGGAAAAAATGCTATATCCCATATAGAAAATGACCCAGAACTATTTTGATAATATTTGTATTATTAATACAAACTTTTTACGATTTTCCTCGGAGAGCAGCTTTATCTCTTTGTATACTCTATTATAATACGTGTACATTGAATTTGAGATATTTCGAAATTTTCATTAGGGACTATCCTACTTAAAAATCAAAAAATTTTGTGGGGTCAAAAATAATCTTTGCATAGAAAAATGAATATTGTCCATGGGCTATAATGTCCATGAATTGATGTATGGTTAATTATTATAGAATTGAACTATGATTACTTACTTATATAGTTTTTAAAATAGTCTTCGCTGTAAAAAGTCATTGTTGGGACGAAGAAGAATTCTGATGGACCATGCGATTCCATTGATGAGGGACCTTTTTTGAGATCAAAGCGGTGTATGTGTGAAGCTTCAGAGTCGGCGAGGTACACCCAGCCGTTGAAAACAGAAACGCTGCAAATTCGGGATATGTTACCAGTAGTAAATAAAATAGTCTTGAAAATGTCGTGTCCCAACTGTATGTATCACGTGTCATATGAATACTTTCACTCGCAGTGGTTCCCAATCTTTTATGGCTCGTGGCCCCATTTCGTAGGCTTTCAGCACTCATGGTTTATCATTCCAGTGGTATTTATAGTGTTATTTTGATGGGTGTATTCAAAATTCCATCATTTTCAAATAATTCATGCTCAACAAAGAGAAAACACCATTCAAACTTTAACCGCCAATTTAATATTAGTGTAACACCCCTTTTAAAAATCCTGCATTTTCGATAATTGCTATTTCACTTACTCGAATATTAGGAAAGTTCCCTCTTTTAAAAATGGTGTGATTTTAGTGACGCTGTATGCATTTTGATTCAGTGGTAGTTTATTGGCTTGATCCAGTTGTATTGAATACATAGTGCCATCAACCATTGACATAACGTACATGGTATCAGCTGTCAAAATGAATAAAATGGATTATTTGAAATAGAAAATATTGTTAAGCTGCTGAATATATTTGTAATTGTTTTTTAAAGGATTGTACATTTTCGAATGCAACATACAGCCTATATATTTTCGGAGTTTTTGTCACGCGTTTCTGGTTCGCTTTACTTTAATAAAGCTATAGTCATCTTTGTAAGCCTGAACCGGCATTGTTTACAACCAGTTTGTTGAAGACGCTATTTCAAATTTTCGTAGACACACTCAAGAAGATGATAAACTCTATTTAGGGTTAGAGTATCTGAGCTTTATTTGAGGTATTTTCCGGGTTGGATTAATGCTTCTTGTTAGTCTAGGTTCAGATCCATCTGTGTGCTCTGTAACGACTAACGAGTAGCTATATTTAATTGCAATATGACGAATTAAGATTTTCAATTCTAGTGCTTATCATATTTATTAGTTTATACTCACTTTCATAGTCAATTGTCATTCCTTTAACAATTTTGGTGTCAAGCACCCGTTTTCTGTTCTTTCCATCTAAATTACTTTGCATAATCCGTCCTTTCTGAAATAGAGCATCGTATTCTGTCCAGTAAATCCGACTGTAAAACAATGGTTGAATTATATGGTGCACATTGGTTTTGTAAGTTATAATAAAAAATCGAATCTAAAAGGATTACCTTCGTAAAAAGTCGATCTCAATTTCTCGAATTTCCATGTTTGTGAAAACTGAAGATGTATATAAAGTTTTAATTGCAAATGATCGTTTTCCATCCCATGAGTATATTCCCGTAATTGAAGCCCAATATATCTTTTCTTCACAAGGATGTATAACTATACTTGAAACTGAAAAAAAAATTGCTTTGAAAAAAGAGCCGACCGTATTCCCTGAAAAAAAAGCAGATACAACGACACAATAAACCGATAGAATTGCGGTATTGTAATCAGGCTACCACCACTAGGGATGTAAGTTTCGAATATTTTTTTTTCGAGTCGAATTTCGGATCACAATTTTCCGATTCGAATATTTCCGAATCTGATTCTATTTGGTATATCATCATATTATCGTTGAATTTCTTCAAATTTGAAAGAAATATAGTATAAATTTTGGTAAAATAACAATAATGAGCTTAAAGAATTAAGAGAGTTACTAGAGAAACACACTGCATGGATGTATCAACTACCAAATATATTACGGCTGAGATTTATTTTTTGTTACATAAAAGTATACTCAGTTACATATTTACTTACATACAATTATGTTTGCAAATAATACTGGGTGTATAGCGATTATTTTTTCTAAAATTGATCTTCAAAATTTATCCAAATGGTAAACGTTTGTTAGTACCGTATGCGTCATGATTTTAAAAGAAGCAATGATAACGAGGGAAGCATCGCAGATAAGTTTTTAATAAGGTATAAAGCGATGATGTTTTATTATAATATTATTATGTAGATAATTTGAAGAAACGTTTAAAATATTTGTGAAACTTTATAACATTTTAAGTAGTCGAACAAAAATGAGCGAAACCATTGGTCCCTCGAAAGCTGCCACCAATATGAAATATAACGACTCTGGGAGTGTCACGGCTTTGGAGAGCTGTGAACGTAAGGATAATACACGTTTTTGGTCGTTATAAAGGCGGCGCCGCTGTGTCGTGCAATTGCCTTGTGTTATCTATCGATTTTTTTTAAAATAGAATCAAGCCTCCTTTTCTTAAATTGCTTCGAATCGTTTCGAATTGACGTTGATTCGAATCGCTTCGATTCGAAATTCTGAAAATTACATCCCTAACCACCACCTACCAAAAAAGAGCCGTTTTGGGAATAAACAACAGAGATGAAATGAACCAAGATGGCTAATCACATTGCAAATCACCGCGGCTCATCAGAATACTAGTCCAGCAACATACCGGCTTCTCCAAATGACAATATTCTATGTCCCCAGAAAATTTCTTCTTTTTCCAAGTCGTACCATGCCATCTCACCGTTGCTTGGATCCACGGCAACCGCGTATATTTTCTCCGTTGTGTGAACTGGGAAGGTTCGAAGCGAAAATTAGCAAATTCGAAGTAAATTTGTTGTCTCGTTATTCAATATTACACCATTTAAACAAACCATCTATTGCAGTCATGTTTCCTAGATTCTCTTCTTTGTCGTCGAATGGTATTTGAAATAAACCCTTTTGTCCGATATCGGCAACGAGTAAATAATCGTTCAGGAGAGGACCTGTGGAATTAAAGTTGATGTTTTATACCTTATATGTTGTGGTCAAATTAAAAATAGAAAACAGGAATGGACCCATGGCACTACCTTGCTGTATGCCATTTAGGATTTCATAGCAACAGCAAAAAAATTTTTTTTGCTACAACTATTATCATTGGATGGCACTAGATTAAAAAACGGGAACCACGGTTACTAGTTCAGATTGGATATGAGAACTGCTCTGCGTCAATGCCAGCCATGCTCCTGGGTGATTCAAACTAAAGTAAATCATCAGTGATGCGTGACCCCTGTCCTTAAAGTACTCCTACGAAAGGCAAACATTACGACAAGATTTATTCCTAATGGTACTTACTTGTTTCACATTTTAAACCGAACTTCAACTGAAAACCAGAAGAACACATGCACGAAAGTCAAAGATAACGACAAAAATTACTTTTTATGATACTTACTTGTTTCACATATTGAACCGAACTTTAACTGAAAGCCAGAAGAGCACATGCATCTATGTTCACCGGTCGACGACGAAAGACATATGTGATCACACTTGTTAAACTCGCATTCATTTTTCACTGAAATACATTTTAGCACGTTTCAGAAAATAATTGAAAAATATCAATATACATACTTCTAGCCCAAAAATTTACCTGGTACCGTGGATACTTCGTTTGAAGCATAAACCGACACGTGTCGTGGTTTAGTATTGGTCGTGATGGTGGAATGGGATCTCCCGTCTTTACGTATGACGTATGTTTCGTATTTGTCTGTTGTGACGTTCAGCGTATTGGTGACGTAAATATTTTCCTAGATTGAAGAGGGTAATTAATATCAATAGTCATTTCCTTTGTATATAATTCCACACGCAAGAAATGTAAGATATGTCGGATATGAGAGTTTTGTCATCGTATTGTCGGCTCGGCGGTGTGGCGCATCATGCTAGGCATTAGTAATACATCTCCGGTTACCCTTCGTGGGTTCGAATCTCCTTATCGGCCTTCCTCTCCCTCGGTATAAATAAGTAATCCAGGGGGTCCTGTGGTATTGCGGATGCTAGCTTTTGTTCGCTCTAGCTGCAAACGTTGAAATTTTTGAGCGTACCACAGAATTTCCGTTCTCATTTGGCAATTCTCATTTTTATACAAGAAAGTATAACAACCGTTTTGCAGAAGAATTCTAAATGACTCACCTGTGAGATAGCTATTCCCCAGAAATAACCTGTTTCCCTTGAAAATATGCTTTTCGATTGAGTTCCGTCTAATTTGCTCATCATTACCAGAGAATCTCCGTGCATTGACACGTCGGTCCAATAAATACTAATCAATATATTAGCAACCTTAAAAATTAGCTAATTTTGGCTCGAAACAGAAAATAAATGGACAACTCAAAGGCTTTTAAATTAAATAAATCCAAACGTAATAAACAATCGCTTTTGATTCCATTACATAAGATATATAATTTCACTGTCTTGGCCATTGTGGGTAGAATCGGGCCCACTTAATCTATTTCAACAATGAACCATATGTGAACGATTTGGTTTTGAAAATCTTACTTGTCTGTGGCATAGTCAATTGCGAGACTTCGTGGTCTGATCACATATGGAAATTGCAATATACTTTCTTGGTTTCCGCCATCTAGATCACACTTGACCAAAGCTGAATCTGAGATAAATCCTTTTTCCAATTTGTACACAGAGAAAAATAGCATCCTGTACGAATGAAATATATTAGCCTGTAAAGACAAGTCGATGTCTCCAAAAATTATTTTAAAGTCAAAATTAAGGTTTCATGGTCAGCTTTCCTTCGCCCTTAAAGGCCATTGGAAAGACGTTACCTACCTCTTTGTAGTATGTAATGCCAGTCCATATGGCGCTACTGAATCAGATTGATATATTTTCGTAAAATGTTGATATGTGCCCTCCATTGCTATGATCGTTTTATCTATTGAATCAGTCCAATATAGTACGTTTGTTATTCGATCATACTCCAAGTTCTCCAATCCACCGGTTAAATCATTTGCAATGGCCTCAATTTTATTGCTATGTGCATCATACTCATGGAGGCAAGCTTGCCTGTAAAGAGTCGATGTGTGGTCCGGTAAATATTCTATGCAAAGTATAATTTCAACTGACAGCAAGTAATCAAAATCTAGTCCAAAATCTACTGCAGTTAAATCGAGTCAAGTGATGTAGACAAGTACGAGCTATGGTTCAAGTATGAAGATTAAGCCCAAATCTGGTCGTGTCATTTACAACTTTAGTCTCCCAGCGCCATTGTTCGCACATTATGACATTCAACAAAAGTTAGTGCTGGTCAAAACGTCAATAAATCAAAGCAAGTTAAGTCTTTTTAAAGAGTGGCTCGAGAAAAATCCTTGAAAAACGAGCTTTTGTGTGTCTCGTGGGTAATAAACAAATTCGTCTAGATTTCGACTGATATTGAACATTTTCCTGAAATCAATTCATGCTTACCTACACAACTTTAACAAAATCTTACTTGTAATCGTTAAAATATATTTTCCCGGTTTCATAACTTGCAACCATTCCCCAATAATCAGCATCTTTTCCATCAAGCATGTCCATTAAAGTTTTCATCGCCAGGTCGCCGTCGATGACTTGTGTCATTGATGAATTGGCCTTAATTAATTAAGATATTTCTGGATAATCATATACATGATTAATATACTGTACAATAAACAAATGAAATATAAATGAAGCAACCTTACCGATAAGTAGCGGACGCGAGCATTTTCTTTTTTTTCGTCGAACAGTGTGAACAAAATAGATTCAATTGGAAATGAATCTGAAAAATAAAATATCATAGCTTCTTTATCGACGTGTATAAGGCATACCTTATGTTTGACTAGTTCTCAATAGTCATTTTTCCGAAAACATATTCATAACCTAGTCCCAGTGAAAAAAAATCGAGATATATTTTTGTGCAGGTGGCCAGTACGCTAAATAATGAACGACGCTTTTGACATCTTCCCGGGCCAGACAAAGCACACAGTCATTAATTACATTATGGACAGCACAGGTCTCATAGTAAACGCAAGTTGTCACGTTTTGTGTGAAATAACTTTCGATAAAACTGACAACTTATGTGCCATCTTGTCCCGAATTCGACAATAGAAGCTAGAATACCGTAATAAGTATTGCATGAGACTGTTGTAAAAGAGGGTATTTATGCCTATTGCATATACTATTCCTCCTAAAAATATTACCGTAATGTTACTTAAAAAATATTTTCTAGAATACATTTCAATAAACGGCCTTAACCCAAAGGACGTATGGTAATTGCCCCTAATATATCTTCACAAATATTTCTTATACGAAGAAAGGTTAGTAGTTAATGAACACCTCAGAAACGTTACTTATATAATTGGAATGTCACGTTGTTGGTTCATTGCAAACATTAAACTTGGATTGAATGAGAAAAAGTCTAAACCTTTTACCTTGGACATCCTTCATAGTCTCATCTTCATTCAACGTCTGCTGTACCGGTACACACTGTCCTGTAACATTTTTATATCCATCATCACATATGCATGTACCATCCATCTCATTACAATGTTCATGTTGTTTTCCGCAAATTGTGCGTTGGCATTTGTATGTTGCCATATTATGATCTTTTGAATAATTGTGCTTTACTTTCTGACATTTCTCAGAAATGTATTTGTACCCCTCATCACAAACGCACGCCCCCATTTCTTCATCACAGTGCTGATGCAGTCCAATGCATGTTATCAGGCGACATCTCCCAACCGTTTTGTTTTCGTTAGGTTTTGTTTCTTTATTATCCTCTGTGCACTTTCCTGAAACGTTTTTAAAACCGACGTCGCAAACGCACGCACCCACTTCTGCGTCACAGCGCTGGTGCGGTTCTTCACAAGTCACACCACTGCATTTATTTTCAGAATCAAGCTTATCAGCGCTAGATGGGACTACGGCGGTCTGGCATTGCCCAGATACTTCCTCATACCCATCATTGCACACACAATTTCCATTATCTTCGTCGCAATGTTGGTGTACTCCTCCGCAAGTAACATCATTGCATTTGCTATTTGCATTCTCTGTAGTTTTATTAGAAATGAGCCTGCATTTTCCTAAATTATATTTATATCCAGAATCACATATACATACACCTTTGTTCTCATCGCAGTGTTGATGATCTTGGGTGCAGATTATCAGATCACATCTTTTGTTTGATGCCATTTTCTCGGGAGGTTTTTCTGCTGTAAATTGTACAAAACTGCGAATATTATAGCATGCATTTATTATGGCTGCCCGTGTCTAAATACTTTGGTATTCTAAACTATTAATTTGCTACCGTTTTTACTCTTCAAAATAATCTGCCTCTACTGCCTGGTGAAAATGGCACATTTTATAGAAAAAATAATTCCGATTATTTGATTCTTACAGGATATCCCTAGAGTCTAGACTTATATATATTCGTTATATTCATTTTTGTAAGTTTAGCGTATGGTATATCTATTCCCTTGACATAAAAGTGACCCCTTGGTCATTAAGTTCCTGCAAACTATTATATTCTTACCCGACTTTTGAGACAACTGTACAATACATTTTGTCGTTGCTTCGTAGAGTGGAGAGGATGCTTTTACTATTTCCTGAAATACCGTTGATATGCACAGTCGAGAATTTTCAGAAGAATGTATTGTACAGTCTTCTGTGTAAACATGACTTCCAAGAATTTGAGCATTCTTGATTCTGTAACAAATGAAATTTGGCAAAAATTTATAAGCTTCATTGCGTATATAATGCATCAGAGTACCTCTAGATAGAAAAAGCTTTATGCCGCCAAAAGCTTTTTTCCTGAATCTTTAGTTGTGTAGTCGCGTTGATCGGAACTTATTTGCGCATAACGCATCACCACAATTTCATATAGTTCCACCAGTCCGCGGCATTTTAATGGTCACCCGTACTTATGGAGATGAATATCCTTTACCTTCGAGTATGCGCTTGTGACCCTGGTTTGAGCAAATGATCTTCAAAATCCTATACATACAATACAAACCATGTTTGGTAACTCGAAAGTCACCAATGGTATCATTTATTCAGCATTTTCTAAAAGTGCCTGTAGCCTACCATATTTTAAACTTTGCAATACTTCATAGGTGCGATTGCTTAATGGAGACAAACCAGCAGTAGAAATTCGCGAAATCCGTCTCAAAATAAGTATTCAAAATCTCGTGCTTGTCACCAACAGAGAGCGATGTATATAAGGTCAAAGGTGGGAGAAATCACGTTCCACCTTCAATCATTGTGACGTCAACCTTCCATAAATTTTATTATCTCTTACCTGCAGTTAGAAATATGGTTCTTTACAAACTGCTCTACAGATCCTTGGTGGTAATCTCTTAAAGACGAATACTTTTTCTTGTTACTTGTAGTCAACAGCTTATTGAACACGCACTGATTGTATTCCTCTTCAGTCCCGTCCAAGCAATATTCTATTCCCGTTGTTGAAGGAGTTGTAAATTTCGCTCGGCCATTAACAAAATCTTAAGTACGTAATAATAATATATACAATAAATAATAATAGAATAAATATCGTACTGTGGAAGAGAAAAGGGGCTGGAGCATACCGTATTCAAATAAATATTCAGCAACACAATCTTTAGCGGGAGACAACAGCTCGGATCCATTGCGAACAAGTCGATCCATACGATGTTGCCAGCATTCCACTGAATTGATTTCTCCGCTCATTTTTTCTCTGTTAATTCAATTAATATATATAGTGCTATACTTCTTAGAAACCTCAGAAAAGAATCATAATATATTTACCGTTAGGCTGGGAAAATGAGCCAGGAAAGAGGGAAGTCGATAAGACGGCTTAATCATATGGCGAACCAGGGTCTTCGTCCACTTATCAGTAGGCTACATGTCGAGTATGGGATTAGTAAAGTAATTCGTTTCATATTCACGACTTGATGGTGGAAAAAGTCGTAACCGACCAGCGGTGAACGTGTGTAAAATATGTGAACATACTTGCAAAACTGCTCATCAGATGCAGAAAACCATCTCGTGTCCCGTAGAACGAAGTCAACTACACTTATCCAAGAAGGAAAAACGCTCCCAGTTTTCTGAAACATACAGCTTGAAAAGAAATTGCTGAGTTCTTGGTCTACGTCATTGTCCGCAGATATTTGTTTTCTACTGTCGAGTAATGAGTTGCCAGTTTTCCTGTAGCGGCATCCTATAATTAAAAATCAATCGGTCCTTTAAGTTCGGCGAGTTTCAACAAATACGGTATAATCTAAATTAACGAAATATTTTGGTAATAATAAAAAAAGGCATTAGTGGAATATGTAGAACATATAAGTGTTTAAATGTAGAGAAACTCGGTATATCCGCAATATTTGTTGTCGCTGAGGAGTTTGGGTATGTACAGGACCTGATTGATGTACGGGGCCACGTGGTGGTGACATTTGCTGATTTATTCGCATCTTTTTCAGAGCTTGAAAGATCTGATTCAAACCGTGATGCACAATGCCGCGTGAAATGTATTTTGTATCAATTATGGGTAGAATGTTCTATTATTTCCCATACGGCAATTCTCTATCATCAATCCCTCACTCCACCTACTTGTTATTTAGGTTATTTCGTGGAAAGTATTTTCAACTGTATTTTTAATCCTCTATTTGTTTATTGATCCGCTGTATAAATCTAACTAAATAATCTGGCATTATTCATGAGTTATGTCTGTTCGGAGTTTCGATCGATGCTGTGTTATATATAGATCTTTATATAATGATCTATGACTGTCCGTTACTATGCATCGTTAATGCTTGCCAAAATGTATCATAGAATCACTTTCTAAAAGAATTTCTGCGATCAAAATTCACGCAGTTTTTCATTGCATTTTGTTTGCTTTTCATTATTATAGTAATAAGAGCTTTCAATAATTACGAAACGGTAATTTGAACGAAAAACACTTTAAAACCAAAAGTTTCGGTGCGATATGCGTTTTTTCTGGCAATATACAGAGTTTCAAAATCACAGACAGTCGCAATAGCGGATGCAGCATCGCCAAAAACTCGATTTTTCGAAAAATTTCGAACAAATTACAATATCTGTGTTACTGTATACTATATTTTTCATGTTAAATAATATATTTGGCAAACTTGAAAAAAGCGACAAATATTATCAAAGCATGGTATTTTGCTATTTATTTTTACGTTTCTATCACGTTTCGTTTCATTACGTTTCTATATCAATCTTTGTGTTGAAAGCATAATTAAAAGCAATTTTAAGTTTTATTAGCTTCAAAGATATTCAGAAATTTCAAACAATTTGTTTATTTTTTATAATGGTTCAGCCAATATGAATGTAGGAAACATGAAAATAGGTCAATCAAATAAAAATGTTTCTAGTTCGAGGTTTCATATAAAAACACCTGATAAAATATGTTTCATTTATTAGCCAAATTAAATGGAAAAAAACAATAATATCGCAGAATTCTTTCAATACATAATAAAGTAGTACTGTTAAATATTGTCGCGTTATTGCAATACAAATCCAGTGAGTGAAACCTGTCATAATGCGTCATTTTTTCTTAGTCGTTGTTCGAATTTGACATCAGTAAAGAAATATTTCCATAGACATATGACTGTTAAAAATATGTTATTTTTAATGACTTTGTTATTTGAAATTAAAAGTGACGCAATTTTATCATGATGAGCTTTTCCATTAGTCGTGCTAATGTTTAGGCTAATTTTCGATAATTATCAACAATTTCGACGTTTATTTCCACGAAAAGTGTTTTATGCCTCGATCGTGACAATAAAGTCTTGACTAATTAGCATCAAGTAAGCAAATTGAAGTTTTAACAACTTACCACAGACTTACCTTCTACGTAAAATACCCATAAAAGAATAGGAATTGCAATACTCCACGTGTTCATTATTTGTTGGTATTGATATTCGGATTGCACAAAACTTTATCTAACTTTACTGCCTACAACCATTCAATTTGTTTAGTTTAATCGGATTATAGCCACATACAGCTGGCTGGGCGTGCCTTTAGTCCCAAAATACAATTTGTTAAGTACTAATACAGATATTGCAGATAGGTTATCTGTGGAAATATCTATACCTGACACTATATACAAATCTGGTGATCGGAATCATTCAATTACGCAGCTTAAATAAATATGTTGCAAAATATTTTTCGTGATCCTAAATGGCTGCCTGGCCCTGAACTAGAAACAATAGTATATATATCCAGAACAAAAGCATCGAAAACCTGTTGGCTATATTATTTTCACGCTGAAACTTGTTTAATGAAATAATAAATAACTGGTTTAAATTACTGTTATTGCTACAAATTACCTCGGACTATTACATAATACTACAACGTAAAGTAGACAAATTATAAAACTCAGCGTCGGCAATTACAAGGAAAGGAAAATATAGCTTTTATCATATCATAGCGTATTAAAAAATTCAATTTGAACTATAATATCCCAGTACTGCCACATATAAGCTATATACAAAATTAGCACTTCATCTATGTTACCCGCGAAACAACTTTGTCGTAAGTGAGTCATGGCCTATGTTTATATTAATGGAAACCAAAGCGTTAATTTTAAACGTGATACATGCGATCAGTTTGTAGATAAAACGCATGCCAATGCAATTATTAACATGCGTCAGTACCCTTCTAATTAAATTCTATCTTTGGGTAATATCAAGCCGATAAATAAACACTTGCAGATGCATCGCTCCAGGTACCAACTTGCTCCATGCTTTCGTGTAAACAAATTTAAATAATCCACGCGCAAAAATGCACATTTAATAAATATACCTTCACTTGATCACTTTTTCGACTTATTACACTTTAATTGAAATCTTGTTTAATATTAAAATTCTTATCGCTGTACTTGGATTCCCATTTTATTTCTATACTCAACTCCATTACCAGACTTAAATCAATCGATTTTTAGTTTGCAGCTGTATTTATATCTTGGACTGTACTTAAAATGTATGCTTGAACGCTATCTCAAGCTCATCAGCGCCCTCGTACAGAAAATGGAACTTAACAATGGTGTGTTAGCAAATATTTGATGAGTTACCAAATAAAATGAAATCGTATGGCATAATATTGTGAAATGAAATCAAATGTTTTATACTGAAGAGATAAATTATCGTAAAAACAACAAAAAATCATATAATAGTATATTAACTTCTTGGGTAGATTTGAATTGAAGATTTGTTATAAAATACTGTATGTAATTTATTATATGTAGACTTACCATATTAAATGTAAAATATTTTGTGCTAGTCATTTTGGCTGCCGAAATTATAAAATTGCCTAACAATGTAGCAAAGATAACACCTCGTTCAAGAATAGAATAATTGAAATCGTATTGCCTTGTTGCCTCAACGCTCATTTTTGAAAATTTAGTAGGTGTGTTTGGTTTCGAGCAGAAACATAAAATTTAAAATATATAAACGAGATAGCTATCGGTGATCACCGACTTATCGATCTTCCGCGTGTGGGGATCCCACAAAACAGAAACTGCGGTTTCGATTTCTTCGCTCCGACTCAATGGCGACAACGCGTGTCCCACTAATTAATTAATAACTCGCTAATTATACGACATAATTCATCCAAATTCCGCTTCTGGTTCGAGATATGATGAATTTAGAGCAGTTTCAAGCTCACTTTCGCGAGAAATCGCGTAACATATGAAAGACAGACAGACAATTGCCTGTCAACATACTTACCGATCGAGATCGATAAGTAAAAACTACAATTAGGTATTTAAAAGAAACAAAAAATCTTTGTATATAAGGTTTAGTTTCCAAATGCTGAAAACACATAAAAACCACAGTTGACGACTTTTAAACTCTTAACCTGCATTTCAGTCGTCAGAATCACATCTTAATATGTGCCAAAAGTGTCGCTGCATGTCGCTTCCTCTATTCAAATTAGGAATTACAAATGAACTTCGATAATCAATATCGGATAATATATGGATTATATGTTGTCTCAGTACCACACATACCGTGTTTCCCCAAAAATTTCAATTTTCTTTCATTAAATATCACCAGGGCTTATTTTGTACAATATTGTGTTCAAATGACTTTTGAGGCCATAAGTGTATTCATCATTATTCTTAAATTATGCTAAATCCTTCAAGGTCATATAGGTTCGAAAGCATTTTTTATATGAAATTGACGTAATCTGAATAACAAACCATTTCGACTATTTAGAATGAGATTTTCTGTGGCCATATCTTGATATTGTTGTTATCAATTCTTCTTGGACTGAGCGGGTTATTGAGATCGTCTGAGATTATACACTTCGAACGACTGGAAATAGAAGTCATTAGCGGCGCCATTGTCGCTGGTAAATAGTAAATACCGATATTATAAAAACGATTCTTCATTGGAGCACGTTACACAAATCATACTTTTGTTTAATTCATTCTCATGTTGACATGTATGATCATAAGTTGAGGTTCCGAAAATTATTGCTGCAAACATCAGACACAGAACAATTACGACTTTCCGAAGAGTATCGAATATTAGCATTTACATGATGTGGCACTGTTAAAAGGCGCCAGTCGTTAGGCGTATAAACAGCATTTCACCGTAACTTCAATACTGTTAAAAATCTTCAGTCGTTCAACGTCGCTACGCCGATCTTGAGTACTTTTAATGCAACCTTCAAGTATTATCGTAATGCTAAGCATGAACTCTTGAAAAAAAGTTTTCGTGAGCGTTACATCCACTTGAACACATTGTTATTTTCTGTAGAATAATTTTTTCTCCTTTTAGATTCATATTGTAGATTTTTTAATAAACGTTCAATAGCGTTCACCGTAACTTCAATTCAATTCACCGTAACTTCAATGCTTTTGAAAAGCGTCAGTCGTCGAACGTTCAAATAACATTTCAACGTTACCTCAATACTGTCAAAAAGCGCCAGTCGTTAAACGTTTAAACATCATTTCACCGTAACTCCATAGTGTTAAAAAGTGCCAGTCGTTAAACGTTTGAATAGCAATTCACTGTAACTCCAATACTGTTAAAGTGCGCCAGACGTTAAACGTTTAGAGTCTTAATGGCTTGGAGTAGGCGTGTGCAACAGGCAGCCCGCGGGCCCAAACCCGGCCCTTCTTGTGGCACTTGTCAAATAAAATGTAAAAGCATAAAATGTAATTAAGGTGAGGTACCATTGAGTTATAGAAAAGCATGCCAATGGGAAAATACCCCAATGTCAAGCGAACTGTGCTTAGATTGTTGTCAATGTTTGAGTCAACATACGTCTGCGATCAGTGTTTTCTATTCTAAAACACGGGAAATCACGCAAATTTAAAGAGGATTGTTCAATCCAAGGAATGCCTGAAGTCCCACAGAGTAGCATGCATAACAACAAATGACTTATAAATTCCTGTCATAGTCATGTTGGTTAGTGACATTTACAATAAAATAGCATTCTAGCAGAGCTGAATAAAGGTATATCTGATGTTCATTTGTGTTCTTGTTTATATAGTGGTAATCTTCGCGGTAATTAAGTACGAAATTCCAGTGGAAGTGAAAGTGCTTTTATTGTTTCGACGTTATGACCAATATCTGAAGAAGTTAGCACGTTTATCCACCTGATGCACTTGCAGTGCTATATTCGAATGCTAAATTTAGTCCATTGAATTGCATAAGGACTTGAACATTTGTTAATTGTAAATTTATTTTGGAATTCAAATATGTGAGCATTAATTAAATGATTGATTGATTTGAGAATTATTTTCGAATTCTGCACTTTGGAGTTAAGTTATGTTTTGGCAGTCTTGTAGATAAACAGTCATTTTGGATTGTGCCAAGGTGTTGAATATAGGATACCCAGCCTAATTTGCTTTGGTATTATGAAATTATCCACTGCAGTTCATTTTGGATATTCCGAATTGAGCAATTTACAGAAAATTCATAAAGTAGGCCATATTTTGCTCTATTAAATCACGAATGAAAATTGTGCATTGCGCCTAGAATCTGTCACACCCCGGGCAAATACAAAGTTTAATTTGAAATTCATGTTGAATCCAATTATTGCCGTCGAGGATAAAATTATCAGCAGTCAATATGTCAATATTTGCTAAAAATACACCATCTGATCGGGAAATGGAATGAAAGTTAAAATAAAAAAAGATTGAAGATCTGTTTTCGTGAGCAAAATAGTTGAAAATGAACGCCGACTCAATACCTTGCCGAGCTATCGCCAGGAATCTCTATGTTATCACGATTGTCTTCATTTTAATCAATTTTATTCAACAGTGTTCATGGTGTCAACAACGTCATTTCTGTTTTTTTGAGTATTTAAAAAGATTTTTTAATTTGCCCCGATGGCAGGGCTGGATTAGTCAAAATAGGCAAGTGCTTATAGGGCACCAAGGTAAAGCCGGCATCACAGAAATTTTTTTAGTCGAATTTTTAATAAAATGATTCGAGTTGGTCTGACAACTCAGACCTCAATATTGTCCCGGTTAAAATAAATTTTGCCCAATTTCTCTTTCATGTATCACCTTAAACCTATAGAAATGTTTGTAGGCATGAAAACTATTTCCAAAAACTATTTTGTGAATTATTCATAATTTGGCCTTCTGTAAGCCAAACAGTAATGAATACTAAAACTGCTTATTTAGTTTTACTTTTAGACAACACCGAATCACATTTGCTATTCAAGGGTCACACTCGCTGTTATTTATTTATTGGACAAAAATAACATACATTTACATTAGTAATATTTTATGGGATTGTTACTAAGTTTTTCAGCAAGATTGCCATTTCTGAATTCACATACACAATCAGATTTTAATCGAAATTATTCAAGACATAATTTTGTTGAAATGCGGATGTGGAAGCTGTTAGGTATGTTCTGATCAACGACCAGCATACCGGTTCCGACATAGGCTTACCGTACGTCCTGGCTTAGCCGGGTCAGTGCAGATTTTAACAAGTTTCTCCGTCTTTCAGTCGGTAGACCTAAACGTTTTAGTTATGCAGTATGACAGTCATGAATATTTTTGTATTCATTTAACACTTAACTTTACTGTCGTTAATACATCAAAATGCCGAAAACAAAGTGCAAGTGTTCTAATGAGTTGAAGAACGATTTTAATTGATTGACTACCTATTCAGACATGAACAATTTTTATGATATCCTCGTGGATATTTTCATACAAATTTCATGGGATTGGTTACACAGTTGATTTTTTTTGTATAAAGGATACATAGACATTACTTTTCTTCCTGTATTTTGTCTTTTTATCGACTTTTTACTCCCTCGGGATAAATTTGAAAAACGCTATTTTCAACACTATGTGGTGTATTGATCTGTGACGTCACTAAACTTTACTTATTTTATTGCGGACAATTCGGAACAAACAAAAGTGACGAAAGCAAAAGGCGGAACTGCGAAGGGGATATTTGTTCTGAATATTGCTTAGATTTGGGGCTTCTTTATTTTGGAACGGGCAATTTGTTACCCTATCCTAGTAACCCGTGCGGTACAGCAGTACAACAAACAGTACCGGTATTAGACAGGAAATACCGGTAGCCGGTAAGTCTGTCTGAAAGTCACAACAGCTACCAGCTATGGTATCATCACCAATAGATTTCTCGGCAGAAAATAAAAAAACATTTTTATCATGAGGGGGCCGACAAACAACGTGATTAATTCAGATTAATATTGAGACAAAGTGCGATCTCACATTGTTCCAGACATTGTAGTTTCAGCGACTAATTGAATATTTGTTTTGTTAAGCGACCCTACTGAATGATAGACTACTTTCATACTTGCGTCGTTTTAGATGATTCCTATTGATGTAGATCAACATAGTGATATAGTAATGAATGTAATTTTCCACGTGAACGTGTCCCCAATATATTTTACATTGGATATATTTTCTCAGAATGTATTCAAAATGGTTAAAAAATCGGTTTTGGCCATCCCTGTTCTGTGATTGGTTCATTTTGCCGTTTGTATAGGTTCAGCTCAATATTTAATGAAAAACTTTCATTAAAGGTGAACATTCAAAGAGTCCATCGATGCCGTATTTTATTAAGTTAGTAAGGTTAAACAGAACGTTATCTGAAACACTATCATAAATTTAATAAATTATATTAGAAGAATCTGGTTTAACATTCTGACACTGTTTTGTGTGGTCCAGTGCAGTACCTATATACCAGTGCACTTGTTTCACACTGTACCTAAATTTTTATCAGGGTTATACACCAAACAGACGAAACAAAATGAATTAACAGAAAAAATAAAGCCATAAAAGGGCAATTCACTTCACAGGTTTACGACCACGATTTACTTTACTGCTGTAATGAGCATTAGCCAGGCTCAGATGTGATAGATGAATAACCTGTCTTTATTCTTAGAAAACGATTTATACATTAGATTTTAAATGGCAAGTGATGATATGAACCAGCGATTCCCTCGTGAACCAACGGAATCTGAAGATCCTATATTAACGAGCAGTAATGGATCGCCAACATTTATTCGAAAGAATTTGAACAGAGAAGCAAATAACAAAGTGAATGAATCTACATCCTCAAATCCTCAACGTGAATATACAAATGAGAACAATTTACCAGATTTATTAAGTAAAGTCGAATTAGATGAAAAAAATGTGTTTCCACCAAGAGATTTCATCAGTGAAAAACCGGGATCTTCTGTTGATTATCCTACCAATTTCAACAATAAACATCGAAAAAGCGTTCCCATTGAACATACTGATTTAGTATTATTTTCTCCTACGGAAACGGGATCGCATGATGATACTAACATTCAGTATACTCCAACACAATCGTATCCCTCTCCATCTGAATATACCGCAGTTGCAACACCCCAACCGAGACTAAGGAGAAAGTCATCCTCATTAGAAGTGAAAACAGTAACATTACCGAAAGTAAACTGTCCAGAAAAAATTTTCATTTGCGTCGATCACTCTGAAGAAATGTTTCAAAATAAATTTCAAACTCAATCAGTGAATCAAACTTCAGTTTATAAAACATTGACGAGCGCAATAAAACAATTTGTTTGCACAAAATCATTTCTTAATAAGAAGCATCAGTTTTCTTTAGTTATGCTTAATGAGGACACCCAGCTTATAACAGATTTTAGTTCCGATTATGAGGCTCTTTTATATATGTTAAATGATATTGGCGAATCATTGGTACAGGATAAAACAATGAGTCAGCAGAATAATGAAACTCTTTTTGATCTTTCCAACATGTTCAATGTGATTAAGCAACACGCTGGTCTGCCTAGAATGAATATGAAACAAGCTGCAAAGGTACCTCCCCCATATGTGATTCGTGTTGTCTTTATATATGGGCGCTCAAACTCACGTCCAAAATTTTTAGATGGATCGAAAAATTTTACTCTTCTCAACAATAGTCCATTCTTTTTTATAGATTGTGTCTATATTCACCAAAAGAGTACTGATAGTAATAACATTGAATCTATATTTTCTGATATTTGTGCCCTCGATAAACGTGGTACTTCTCATGTTTATGAAGTGTGTACGGACAGTAATATGGCATGTTTGTATAACGTTTTTGCAAAATTATTAGCACATCCTCTTCAAAGACCTAAACAGATGGAAGATTCTATCAATTATAATTTAGAAGCTGAATAGAGTGAATCACCAAAAAATTTTGTTTTTCGAATAGAATGATTGAAGAAATAATGACATGTTTGTATCAAGGTTTTTGCATACTCATTTAGCTCCTTGAAATGGATTTTTATTCCTAGAAAGCTTCATTATGTGGCACCAGTGAGATGCAAAGATTTTCCACAGTTTTCAATTTTATCTATTACCTATATTCAATCAGGGTTGTTTAAAACTATTTTCAAACTTTTGAAATTGGGTATATTTGATATAATTAATTCTAATTTAAAATTCGATTCAATTAAATTTCCATTTGAGAATATGATGTGTCAATTTGTATATTTCAAATCTGACTGTCAGTTTTACTTTCTGCAATATAAAGACGAGAATACTAATTCGAACAATTCATTAATAAATGTATTTTTGGCTTGTGTGTAAATCGATGCTGAATGGAATCATGGCCAGTTCTGTAATATATCTGATATTACATATTTGCAAGTACTTTTCCAAAATGTTTTCGGAATAAGTAAATTATTTGGTTTTGACTATCCCTTTATCTCATATATCCATTATCATGTACCAGCAATAATTTGATAACATGAACAAAATATTATTACCGTAACTTTGAACATTGGGATACGAACAATTTTGAAATATTGTATAAGCAATGGCCTCCAGGTAATCGAAAGAAATTATGAAAAGGTGTAAATGCAAAAGGCTTTTACGAGTGGATTCTATCTTTAAATTATGAATACTTGAAAAAAATTGGTCCAGTAGTTTAAAGAGGGAAGTCGTTTTTCCATCCAACAAAATAAATAACGATGCAGGAATGTGATTTATATCTTCATCTTAATGTTCTTTGCGATTCAGTGCCATAGATGTTTCAATAACTGTTTTTTAGGGTAGTTTTATTGTATCTATATTATTTTGTATTTGTTTGTTTCCAATGAATTAAGTTTCCAAATATTTATGCATGTCTACTGCAATTAATACCAGTTTTTTTCACAATGTTTTAATGAAAACGTATTTACAGGTCTATTATTATTAACGTAAACACATATAGTTTGATTTAATGAGAAATAGCCTCTGAAGATGTCTTCGGATCGAGAGATGGACGTTGTTGAGTTGAAGGTAAGCGTTTGTATTGTAGTACTCCCAAGTTTTTCAAACCAAGCCCTTGTACTTTTTCGGGGGCCATAGAGCTCTTCTCCGGGGGCCACTGCATTAATTTGAGGTATACTGTTTAAATCTTTGATTGTAACCCATTTATTTTTTGTTTTTGTAAATCGAGTTTTTTATTATTGAACGTGGCACTAAAAATAACTGGTGGAAAGGCGTTTAAATCAAATTCAGATATTTTTATTGACCAGCAGGGTGCTTTGAGTCTCTGAATGGGGGTCTATATGCCATGTGAGTTTGAGAACAACTGATTTATTCAATAAAATCCAGGCTTTGGTGTTCGGATATCGCATGGTTTCACTGATATTTAGGCCAAAGATGTATTTTCAAACATGTCAGCCAAAGTTGAAATTTTGAGTTATGTGGCGTTGGAATTTCAGACTTTTTAAAATTTCTAACATACACTCAAAAAAAATATCAAGTTGACTTCTAAACAGATATTTCGGCTATGATTTAGCATCATTGTTAAAAGTCTGAAAATTTTCAGATTCTAGAAAATTTTAAATTTTGATTCAGATTTAGGGCTCAGGGAGTGACTTCGACTAGTAAGAACATACCCATATTATAAAAAAAACTTTGACCCCAGAGCGGCCCAGACTCATTACTCAACGGCACGAGATCCTTCTTTCCCACTTGAGATCTTTTTCAAAATCCAATATTTTCATTTCAGCACATGGTCATGAGCTTCAGGGTATCCGAACTTCAAGTTCTACTTGGGAATGCTGGACGAAACAAGAGTGGAAGGAAGCATGACTTGATGTCTAGAGCTCTTCAGCTATTGAAACACGGTTGCAGTAGTTCGGTAATTGTTCTTATTTTTTGATATTTTGAATACATAATGCTAATGTTAAGTAGGTTGTATGGCCATTTATAAGCAAATTTGTTTTGCCAAATGACATATTACGTTGGACATAATATCTTTTTAATAATGTTGAGGTATGACTTTTATGTCTTATACACATTTGATGATCTTTTATAGCAGGTCTAAATCGCTATGATAAGTCTCAATAGGTCTTGTCACTTCAGTAGTCATTGTATGTAACATCCTTGCATCTGAGAGGGAGCACATGATCTTGCTTCGAGCAAATTTTAATGTGAAAAAAATTAATTTTTGTGTAGGTAATTAATAGGGTCATGAAAATCAAATATTTTTCCTCTGTATTTGATTGAAAATTGGTCATACTGTGAATAGCACAAGAAGAACAAAATTCCAAATTTGAATTTGTCTTAGTATTGTTAATTACGGTAAGATCTAGCTTTTTGAATTTATTCTATATGTTATTTATATTTTTTGGAGAGTTTATTGCTTTTAGGGTGCTACATACTAATAATTCAAATTAGAAAATCAAATTTTGTTACGATTTTTCGATATGTTAGTGAGAATTAGTAATGATTTGCAACAAGATGTTATGACCCAAGACATTTAAATAACTACCTCAATTTACTTCTGTGAATGACAATTAGGTACATTTACACCACCTCAAAATGAGTGCCTGTGACCCGCAATCAAATAATTCATTGCGCGATTGCAAATTGCTAGCTTGCACACTTATTTGCAACTATTTTTACCTGCAGATGATACATTGCTGCATGAGATCATTCGGTTATATTCTTATTTAAATACAAATTAATACCATTGCTTATTTGGCTTTTTGTTTGTTTCATATTTTGACATTGAGCTTGTCTAAATATAACAATTTGCTTTTTTATTTTTTCAAAACTATTTTTTCATCTGTAAGCATATTCTATATAGCATTAGTAATATTACAAATATAAAAATAGTATTTCTGCTAAGAAAATCTCAAGGATATTTTATCATACTTCAGGTTGACGATATTACAGGAAATTCATTTAAAATTTTTGTTAATAAGAACACAAATTCGGCGCATGAAAAAATTAAAAAACTTGTGTTGTTTCTATTGGGTGTTATTAAGAAGTTATAGAAGTGTGTGATGTTTTTGTGTTGTGACTGATAAAACCACCTGTTATCACCTTGATCAATGTATCATTATTCATTAATATGGTGCAATATAGAGTGAGTTTAATAACACTTAGAAATGATCTCTTTTTTAGTGCTATGTTTCACACTTATAGAGATAAATTGGATTTCTGGACATTAGTGACGATGAGCCACACTGTCGCGTCGCGTCTTTAAATTATCTCGTAATGCTTGTACAATCACTAACATGTATATATACACCGTACATATTTATAACCTAATCATAAATATTTTTTAAGGATGAATTCATGTAGCCCACTTGACAATTTTAAATGATTGGACATGTGAGGAAAGGAAGTTTAACATTAACATGGTCATTCCTGGCTATTTACAACTTTAACATCGCCACATATTAGTTCTTGTTTCTTTCAATGCGGAATCGTAATAGAAATTTCTAAATATATACGGAAGTTAATGAATGACGAGGCTTGAGGTTTCTATGACGTAACAATTTATTGTTCTCAGTTCCTGTTTCTGGTCGATAATTTATTATAGAATATATCACAGGCTCGGGGGTTGGCTAAATGTGCTAAGCTTCGGAAACAATCGTGACACTGCACCGCTTATTACTCTTTGTGGCAAGTTTCAATCTTATGGGCTATAAATATATGGAAGGGGGGATTGCTGGAATTTTAGTAGCGTGGCTTCCTCCACTTTCAGAAACATGCGTCTGGAACTGAAAAATATACCTTGTCATAGTTAGAAATGTAATGACCTTCATGTGAAAATTCTAGCTTGAATCCTACGTTTTCAACTGTACTGCAAACTAGGAAAGTTTGCAACTTGTATAGACTATTAAAGTGCTGGAAATGTTAGATTGTTGAGTCCTGTAATCACATATTTGCTTGATTTTGAAAGCAAAGTTTTTAATGCACATGCAATTTTATGTAACCAAATTCACGTATAGGCTACTGGTTATCTGTGCACAAAATAATGCCAAATTTATTACAATTCAATTTTTTAAAATCCTTGATGTAAGAAATGGAATAATTTTGAAAAGAATTTTTTTATTAACTAATATCAATAATCTGCCATCGGTGCCCTCATATGTAGCATCTGGATATATGTGTAACAGAATGCAACTAAATTCTTATATCTTAATTTAACAACCATTTTCTCAACACTATTGCAAATGGACATGTTCGATTTGAACATTCGAATAAAAGTGTACTGTAAGTCAGTCTGTAACCGTTGTTTCCTGTATACCAAAAACAGGCTGGAAAAATTGTGCTAAACATTTTGCTATGATATTATTCCTATCTTCAATAAGGCCTTAACGCAGTTCTCGCAAACTAATTTTTATTTTAGTTCTTCGTATTTTGTCGTTGATTGTTCTATTCACCGTTCCTAAGCGGGAATTACATAGTAAACTATGACGGTGCTGCTATCTGTTTTGTTGTGGAATGTCTGATCTTCGTTTATCGATATATATAGAAGGCTTTTATAACCATATTTATCCGACGATGGGTTTCCCCTTTGTTGAAAGCCCTAGATTTCTTTTTGTGCGACTTCGCTCTAAATCGCCCACGCAAATTCGCTTACTCGTTATTTATTGATATTTCTTTCAGAGACGACCAGGTTGTTGGAACTTTTGTGTGCGACGCTTACATTGTTACCAAGCGCCCATGTACGGCAACAGACATTTGTCAGGCAGGCGACAGTCCAGTAAAAGATTTCGTGATTTTTGTTTCACTTCAATTTGTCGATTCGATAGAATTACCGAATGAAAGTAGGCAAATTAAAGATACGAATGTAATCGTCGCTCTCAAAATGTGAAGCGCCGTTGTCGTTTTATGACAACGTGGTCACGTGATTGTTTCATTGCCGTTTAGAAATTTAATTGGGTGTGCGGTGTCAGTATGTCATTGATCGGCGGGCGAAGTCACCATAGCAGGTACATAGTAGAGTATTTTATGTACGTACGGCGTTTGATTAAAGATAGTTTAACGTCAGCGGGCAACAATAGATCGTGTATATACCGGTAATAATTATCGTGACGGATCATAATAACAAAAACCCTGTGAAGCGCTTGATTGTTTTGATATCTGATTAATTGTCTCGCTTTCGAGACAGCGGCACAGCAGGAGTGTTCGTGTTTGCGCCTATTTTTTCGGCCTTTTCTTGCCAATGTCTACAGATAGGAGTAGGATGTACCGTTCGACTGCCTTAGACGACACAACGAACAATAATACACCTGTTGTAGTGAGTAATAACGTGTGTTTTTGCATACGATAGCTAAACAGTTTTGCTAGTTTGTTTACAAAATAAACTGGCTCTTTTTTATATAATAGAGTAGGCTAAGCTTAAATAAAAGAATTGTCTTCATTGTGGTATTGAGAAGGTAGGTTATCACATTTCTGCTTATTCTTCATTATAGCAAGCTAAAGTTGTTTGTGTAGGGTGGTGTATAGGAGTTGTAAAAAGCAATAACTGTTAAACCTTGCAATTAGGGTTGATAGTTGTCAAATTAATTTATTATTTGATTGCCTACTTATGTGTCTTTGAAGGATTTTTGTATGATGTTATATACACAAAGACTTTATCATTGAAACATTCATATAGGAATTAGAGATGTATGTGTTTATTTGTATTTTTTTCAAAAGTATATCGAGTACCGGTAACAGCAGATGTATAATACAGAAGCAAAGATGGGACATGTGCTACCTCGTCAACTTAATTGACTCATCAAGACAAAATTGTGCGACTTGCACTCTCACTAGTATTATATCAGTTAATCTTCATATATATCTGTATATATAGTAATATGACAATACATTTGAATTAGAGAGCACATGTAGCAAAATAATAACAGGAAACAAACAGTAATAATTAAACATGGTGTGTATTCACTGGTGATACCATAATACTACCAGAGTATTTTTCTAGGAAGTTGAGTTAGGGTAGTTAACCAGACTGATATATATATATAAGTATATCAAATGTGCTATTACGAAGTTGGTAGTATTTGAATGACAAATGTTTACTTAGTATTTTGTAGGTGATTGATAGTTTTACATATTCTTGGTATTGATAATAAGGCAGTAGTGACGCATTGTGCATTGTGATTTAATATAATTCTTATATGTATTCTTTTGATGCTGATGCGCTTTATTTTTACATAAGATTGATACAGGGTTGTCCAAAACAATATTCGAAAACATCGGAAAATGGTTATATTGGATATAGTAAATCTTGATTGTAAGAATATCTCCATATTTGAAAATGTCTTTTAAGCATTTAGTATTTTATGATACAACAAAACGAGTCAACAAATTAACAAAATTAGTGACAGAAAATACTAGAGAATATTAATTAAAGCAATGTTTATCTCAATTATTCTGCAATAACCAAATTTGATTTCTACAAATTTACAATCGTCTAAAAATTTCTCTTGTGAAATAGATTCATTTAAGAATATATTCAATATTTCATATCTGAAAAGATTATTTTAGAATGTATTCGGAATGCTCAATTATTCTCAAATTTGCTTTTAGATATTTTATATTGGAATAATTCAAGTTATTCGAAATAACTATATTTGCACAGAGTTTACAGTTTCAACCAGACTTTAGAAATATACTGTTTTTTTTATAAATGTAGTCCAGTTCGGTATCTAGTGTCCTTAATTCTATCATTTTTGTTGTCATATTTTGCGCAGTAACTTATTTTTTTTGGATTTATGAATTAGGAATGTTTCTTTTCTTTTATTACAATCACTACCATATGAGAAAAAATTTTGTTTTTCATCAATGACCTCTCAAAATTAATTGATTGCAAATCTGTTCGGGAGTAAGACTAGTTATAGTTATAATGATAGAATTTATTTGCGATCATCTGATGCGTTTGCTTTTGTTTGAGATCAATAGTATAGTATGGTCTGGTTCTAAAAAGTTTGTTAAAATATAAGTCATTAATCAAGAATAGTTAGTGATTTTGAATTTGACTGCCATGAAACTAAAATAAAGTGTATCCAGCAGGCGGATCAAGAAGTTTATTATATTATCATTCACTCTTGGCTTCCACTTTAAAAATACTCTGATAAACTGGGGACAAACAAAAATTTTTATTTCGATTTCAGAAATCCAAATTTAAATATTTGAATACTTGAAATTCTATTAATTTTTTTCATTCCCTTTTTTGTTTTCAGGTACTTATTTCTTGTCAATTCTATGACTATATTTATCCACTTTATGACGACTTGTGGACTTTCTATTCTATTTACTTCATTCTTACTTCTACCGTACAAACCCGATTTCTTCCTACCGAAATCCGAACCCTTCTGAATCTACTCACCCTTTGCTATCTTTTCATCATATCATTCTACTTTATTGAACTATTTGAGTAAAAATGACTCGTACAATTTTAAAATAATCAAACAATAATTTCGCATTTGTCTTAGGGTGTTCAGGCTCTGCCAGATAATCCAAATTATAGCGGGAATCATTGGGTGGGACTAAGGTAATTATTAGGTGGGTGGTATTCTTAATTAAGGGTAAAACAATAGTTGGCAGAGTTTGAAAACTCTACAAATGCAAAATTGGTGTCTATTTGGTCAAGAGTGGCTTAAAATTCCAAAAATTAAAGGGAATATTCGGTCAGCTTGACTAAAATAAAGGATATGAATAAAGTTTTTGTTCTGTTTTAGATTCAACAAAGCATACAAGAGCTATATCATCGTCGTTTCCCAAGAAGTAAAGCTGCTCAACATATGTCAACTTTGGGCCATGATAAGCAGTAATTAACATAAATATAATAATAATTTATGAAGTCAGTAGCTAGGGGGAATTTCTGGTATTCACCAATGGAAATTTAGAGTTCCTTTTCTATAAAATCTTGTGATTTGATGACGCTATGTAACGTAATACCATGTTATATGCAATGCTTGTTTTTTAGGCACTGATCTTATTATTTAAATAGTTGGCTCACTAAATATATTGAAGTTACAGCAAAAGCCTGACAAACAAACTACCGTTTTATTGAATATTGGATAAATTTTGCTGAAAAAAATCTCATTTCAATTATCTGAATTCTGAAAATAAATATTATATATAATTGTAAATTACGTTCACATTGATTATTAAAAAGAAAAAGAAATTGCCCAAGAACTTATTAGATAGTAGGTTACATAATGCATGATTGCCACCAGGTAAACTCATGTTGATAATAACCTAACCTTTCGGACTGTACTTTATTATAGTCTATCTACTTGTTTTTCATGGTCATTGCAACCTTTACAATTGTTATCTCTTAGCATGGATTACGAATCCCATTTCAAAGATTCTCACTATAAAGACAAGAAGAAGATACATGATTCAGAGTATCGCAATATGGATATTGGTCCGATACATCCTGATGTCAGATTCAAATGTCTTCCTTTTTACGATATACTAAGTGATGTTCTGAAGCCTACTAGTCTAAGTGAGAATTTTTCTTATTAGCCCTCATTCACGCCACCACCAGATTCATGTAGCCACCGGTGGGTGTTGTATATGAATTCTAAACTCTCAAAAGGAATGAACATAGGTTCTTACTACCTGAATTTTACATCTGTTCGATATCGAACTGCCAAAATGTCCTTCGAGGTCAAGTCTGCTTTTATTGTCAGGCAACTTTTTAATTTTTTATCCTTTAAAAAGATCCCGAATATGTATATTCTCGCAATTTTTTTTGAAAATATTTCATCACTTTTTTATTTTTATTCGTTCGCCGTTCGCAGTTACCAAAGCGCACAAAGCATATAGCAAAACAGAGTTGTCATTTACATTGACTGAGGAACAAAGACGAACAATCAGACATAGTAGAAAAGAACGTGGAAATCCACGGTATCATGTTCAAGTGCAATTGAGGTAAGAGTTGATTCATATTTGCTTGTTTATTTCTTGTTACAATGAGAATTTTGTAGTGCAGTAACTATTCAATCACTAGAGTTAGCTCACTAAATTTGATTCAAAATTTTGCAAATGTTGTCCAATATGAATGTGGCCGTGCCCGAATTTACTTTCCTTACCTAACATTCATTGCTGAATAGGTGGTTGAAATACTGTATATTCCGCGAATAGGCCGAGTTTAAAACTCGAAAAAAAAGTTGCCAAACTAAGGGACCGTCTTATTCTAGCATAACTCAGATTGCACCAAAAAATCGGCTCATTCGCGCATCAGAATTCGAATACGCAACAAGATGATATTATGCTGACTTGCCGGTAATTCCAAAAGCTTCAAACCATACCAAGTTCTCACGATAAGAAGCGTGCACGCACACACACACTCGCTTGTGAAAGTGGATTGTCTTATCATACAGCTGATGGCTTGTACAGTCTGTGATTGGTTGTTTAACAGGTGACGCTTGTACAGGCTGTGATTGTTTGTTTTCGCTTGCGATTCTTTTACATAACAGCAACAGTGTCGATTTACGGCCAGTTGTTTCGTGGTGGAAAATTTCGTGGCAATAAACGGTGCGTGAGTTTTAATCACCTTTACGATATGTTATCCGTTCAGGGGCAGTGATAAGGACTCTTATCGAAATTAACAGCAACCGCGTTGTGGACGATCAAAGGAAATTGTTTTATGCTGACTCGGGGACTCTCTTAAACTCCCGACATCAATCCCTTCATTAATACAAATCACGACACATGAAAAGCAATATAGACTTTATTAACACGAGTTTACAAGTAAGAGTTACGAGTAAGAATCTACGGCCTTTGCTAACAAACAGAAATGATAAACATTAGAAATATTTGTGTTACAGCAATTTTGTATTCTTTCTGCGCCTTTCTTAAGGCGTCTGGCGTGTTAAGATTCGTAGCGATTTATAAGAATGTGTTAATACAGCGTCAGCGTTATTTCTTTCCTTGAAACAGACAAGGAACGAAATTAATCGTCGATGTGGCGATTAAAGGAAATTGTTTTATGCTGATTCAGGAATTCTATTTTAGTAATCTCCCGACACAATCACAACGCATTGAAAAGCAATATAGACTTTATTAACATAAATTAACAAGTAAGAGTTACGGGTAATAATCCACCTACGGCCCTCGCTAACATGCAGAAACGATAACGTGAGAAATGTTTGCGTTACAGTAATTTTGTTCTCTTTCTACGTTTTTCTTGAGGCGTCCGGCGTGTCACGATTCGTAGGACCGGCTTATGTGCGATTTTTTTATAAAATCGCCGTTTTAAGGCCGTTTTTAGGGAGTCTGCCTATTCTCAATAGCCTATAGGCGTAATTTCGAGTAAATACAGTACTATGTAATTTGTAGTAGGCTACATATATTTTTATAGGGTGGTATTCCTCATGCCATCTTTTATTGTTATCACAGATTTTGCTTGATGGAGACATCATGTGATCAAAAGGATATTATTCCTCCCAATTTATGCGTGCAAGTAAATCGACAAATCGCAACACTACCTCCGTACATACCTCCATCCAAAGCAGGCGTCGAACCAAAGCGAGCTTGTCGACCGATTGATATTACATTGTTATGCAAATTATCTGATACTTCGTACAATAACATTGAGATTACTTGGACGGCAGAGCATGGAAAGGTGGGACTTCTATTGGAACGAGAAATTTTTTTGATTACTGATTTTTTTTTATAGTTTTTTGAGCTTTGTTGTTGCACTTTTTCTCTATAAATAAGGCTTCAGACAAGCGGATTTTTGAATGCACAAATATATTTATGTCCGAGAAATTTTTTTACTTACAGCATTTCTGGAGTTTTATGAGTTTGATTGTTACGCTAAACATACAGTCTAAAAAAGTCCATTTCATTGCTTTAATCTGGAATCATAAGATGGAGATGAATTTGTTCGAATTAAATAAAGTGTAAAATAACATTGTTTATTTTTAGCACAGATTTGAGGTTTTCACAGTCGAAATTGTCCTTGGAATAAATAAGAATAACAATATTCGGAAAATTTCATGATTGTGGCCTATGGAAATTGCCTTTGTCCCTTATTTCACCCTAAAAAATTCAACCCAAAGTCTAACTTCCACTTGGAAACTTTTTGGGAGGAATCTTGAGGTGCATTTTTCAAGGATGGAATTTTCTGGACACTGCATGAAATATTACCCAGTTATCAAATTTTCACTTATTTCATTAAAATACTTCAAACTTAAAGATATGTTTCATTTTCCATTACAAGCTATTCTAACTAAACTTCTTTTTCTGTCAATTTGCAGAACTTTGCGACCTGTATTAACGTCGTGCGACCTTTATCTTCTGAGGAATTATTACAAAGGCTCCGAAAGAAGGGAATTCGAAATGCAGGACATTCAACTGCTCTTATCAGAGAAAAACTTGCTCCAAATCCTGACTCAGAAATTGCCACAACCAGCCTCAAAGTTTCGTTGTTATGCCCACTAGGAAAAATGCGAATGACAATACCAGCACGACCTGTAACTTGCACACATATGCAATGTTTTGACGCTATGCTGTTTTTGCAAATGAATGAAAAGTGAGTAGACTTGTTTACAAGTATTTTTATTACTAAAATTATTTTGTCTGAATGTACAAATGCGCCAGTTTGGCAGATTGGTGTAATAATGGTGTATTGCCTATTTTAGTCGGTCAACAGGGTCCTGGGGCCCCCATGTCGTTGAGTTTATCATTTAACTTCTACAATTGAAAGATCATTTTGTTTTGCCATTATCAGATTTGCTTTATATTTATATATATTTTATAGTTATACAATTCAGGGAATAAAAGACTGTTAAACTATTGCAAGAATATCAACTTCTGCCATAAAAATATGATTCATTTTTCTAAGAGAAATTAAAGCAAACCTTTCTAGATATGACTGAAGTCACCTTTTAGAACAATATTTCTTGCACATGCCATTTCTCATGACTATGTCCTGTTCGGAAAATTCTAGAAGGCACTGTACAATGAAATTAGAATTTCCCATGGTACTCATGTTCTTTCCTATCTAGTTCGCATTTAATTTGAATACAATATAAAAATATAATGTCATTTTAAAGATATTTTAAGCTTTTTTTTATTAAAATTTAGTAATTGGGGGTTCAGTACTGGGGTCGAAGCAAAACTTCTTGCCAATCTGAGTCTTAAGTTGAATTTTTGCCGAACATGTTGTCTGAAGTCGCAGGTGGAGCTACCGGTACTTTTAAAATGGCTCGGATTTTAGAGTTTGAGTCGGCTTCAATTTTTTCCAATTCCACGGCACTGGTTCTGTTGCTTTTAATTTTTTTTATAGCATCTTATTACTTATCGATTTCGATCGGTAAGTATGTTGATAGGTATTTGTCTGTTTGTCTGTTAGACACTTTCGTATGTTACGCGATATCTCACGAAAGCGAGGTTGAATCTGCTAGTTATTAATTAATTAGTTGATGGGACACGCGCTATCGAGTCAGAGCAAAGGAATCGAAGCCACAGTTTCTGTTTTGGGGGATCCCCCAACCTTCGCGCTGCAAACGATCGATAAGTCGGCGGTCTCAGATCGCTATCTAGTTTCTATACCATCTAATTTCAAAATATTTTACTATTCTAGAAAGCCCACATGGATCTGTCCAGTGTGTGATAAACCAGCAGATTTCATAAACCTTTTTATTGATGGTTTGTTCATGGATATTTTGAAAGAAACTTCAGCTGCAGAAATAGTTTTTCTCGATGATGGAAGATGGGAACCTTTCAAAGCTAAAAAAGAGTCATACAGCCTATGTACACCATCGAAGAACAGCAATACTATCGGTAATTAGGGATTTACTTTTGCTTTTATTAATCATAGTTTTACTGGATGCAAATGATCATTGACTTACAACCTTTTGAGTTTATATGTCTATCGGTCTTCCCAGGAAGGCGACACCCTAATCCTAGGACGTTGATCTTAGCGTCAGTGGTTCATTTGGTATAGTGTAATATATTTTTATTTTAAATGGACATATTTCTCAGTAGCTGAATGGTAAAATTAGTTGCTGTACAGTCCAGCTTTCAAAATTTAGCAGAATAATAAGAATATTAATTTTAAATAAAATAAAGTCATGTGCAATATATATATATATATATAATGCCTATACTGAAAGGTTCCCAACCGCTTAAATCCAAATTATTTCTGAAATTAGGAAATAAAAATATTGAAAGATTTGTTTTGGACATCCTTGATTGATATATATTTATAGTCAATCTCAAAGCCTAGACCTAGACCAAAATTTTGCCCACCTAGACTGGCAGCCCATGTATGTGTGACGTAAAGACAAAGAGTTACATTTTATGAACAATATTTACAGTGTCATAAAAGCAAAAGTGGAAAACAGTAAGCCTCTTACCAAAACTAAATTCAAACGCAATCTCAACAAATTCTTTGAGCTTTTTTTGCTGAAACATCAAAATTTGGTTTTATTTTGGTTGTGGAAGCATCAGGCCATATTGAATTACCCAATGGGCTGAATTTGGCCCGCAGGTCATAGTTCGTCTATGTCAGGCCTAGACATATGCCATTCAGCTACAGAAAGTACTATGTATTTACTCATTGCAAAACAGATAAGTTTTTGACCAAAGCATCAAAGCCAAAGCAAGAAATAACAGTGAAGCGGAAAACTGATTCAGTCAAGAATAAATTAGACAAGAAAAGTTGTTGGGAAAGCAGTGTGGTTATTGTTGAGGAAATATCAAAGAAAGGTTTGTTTCAGAATTACATCAAGACAGTATGAAGATGAAAGCGTAGTGTTTTATTTAAAATATGGTATATAGCCAAGTTGGCAAACCCGTCCATTTTTTTGAGTGTAATTAAGTGAGTTTTTCATACTGCACAAGGCCAACGGCATCTACGACTAGCGCTGGGCATTTTAAAATACTAGATAATTCCCGGATTGAATCAAATATTTTTTGAACCGAATTTCCAATAGTGTAACATTGTAAGATATGTAATTGTATGTGATTTTTTTTATTGTTATGGGACCTCCAGACACATAAAATACTGAAAACACAGAATCTATCACTCAGACTGTTTGCTGAGTGTCTACGCACAATTGGGAAAACAACTCACTAGGAAGATAAAGAGTCGTATTTGTCAGAGCCGCATTTTCAAAATTGTCTTCGATGAAAAAATTTTTGGGCGATTCACCTCGGCCCATGGCAGACAAAAGAAAACAAGATGGCGGCGATTCGAAATTTTTGACCGAAATGTGTTGAATAATTTACTGTATCTTTCAACTCAACTATTCAATTTGAAATGCACAGACCCATCTACGACTCGCATATGACGTATTTAAAATATGTCTATCCAGAAAAACAAAACGACCTATTATCTAGTTGTATCTTTCTAATATTTTTTTTCCATATTTACAGCATTGGATTTATCAAACAGTCCACAATCCCCAACTAGTGTAGAAGCAAAACGCAAAGAACCTGAAATTATTGACCTCACAGGTAAGATTTTCCAAGATTTCTTCGAAACAATAAGCAAATATCACATACTTTGCTTTTAAAATGCATCACAATTTGAAACATGTAAATAGAAATTTTAATAAATTTAATTCAAAATTTCCTATATTATAATAATACCAGAGTAATATTTTGTGTTATCATAGATTTACTATATATATCACTAACAGATCAATTTTGTATGTTTGAACTTGAGAATTGCAAGCATGAATTTTCAAAATTAATTAAATTTATTTTTATTTTTTTAAAGAATAATTTTGGATGGTTTTATGTGAAGAATTGTGATTTTAAGACAAAAGACTTAAAATATTATCAAACAACTTTCAATTATTTTCTGAAAATTAAGATAGATAGAAAACCTATCAAAGTTATTGAAAATATATATTGCATTTGACACAAATCCAGAACGTATTCAATTAGTATTAGTAGTAGGTTATTAGTCTTTGAATATCTCCAATCCCAAGTATTATGATTTTTTTTCATTTTTTTCGTTCAGTCATCTTGGATCTTAACTTGTAAGTTCCATTACATCCTTACACAACGAAATAATGAATTTTTGGAAAATAATTAATTGTGCTAAAAATCTTTAAAAATATATCTTGGTTTTGTGTCCGTGTGAATCATGAGCAGAAAAATTATTCAATTTTAATTGTTTTATATCTCTTGTGTTTCCAGGAGATTCATCTGACGATGAAAGAGCCCCTTCACCTCCAAAACGTCAAGATTTTACTAAAGATCAAGATGAAGTTCATAGTTTGTCATCAACTTCACCGTAAGTGTATTTTGTTAGATTCTAATTTTACATATTGTTAAGCGGAAATTATTCATAGATTTATGCTCTATAGCAAGGGAGTGCAAACTGCGGTCTGCAGGGAGAAATGACTATTTTGAATGGTGTGCTCGCGAAATGAGTTTTTAGTTTAGTTAATCTGGTACGTACCAGCAATTTCAATCCTTATGCGCCGCAAAGCCTATATCACCACCTGAGTGCCACTGTCATTTTAGCAATACTAGCTAGCAAAATTCTGTTGCAAAATACACAATGTTATAAAACACATGTGCTTGCAACTACTAGAAAGGCTATCTTAAATAAAGGTGTGGCCTGTAGCTCACCACAGTTACTTGTATTTGGCGCTCCAGTGAAAGAGGTTGCACACCTCTGCTCTATGGTATATATGGTATTTACAAACTGAATTGTCAATAGTTTTGAGAAATCTTACAGTGATCAGTGAGGCCGAAAAAGTATTGATAGAATTAATGGAAATTATTCGATCAAATTATTCGCCATAATTTAATTAGATTACCAGATTTAAAGATTGCTGAAACACATGAAACCTAGGCACATGATGGGGATCATATATTATATTCTTCTGTAATATTGAAATATTTTCGATTCATGTAATGACGTTTCTCGAATAGACTAATAGTTTCTGAATCTTTTTACCTCGAGACGATCGACAAAAATATATTCCCTTTGTTGGTATGATTATTATATATTTGATAATTTAGAGATATTATGAACCTTTTCTATTTTGGGCTCGGATATCTATATTTAGAATATATAATTAATAAAATTGTTTTAAAATAGTATGTCTCCAAATGTTCATAATATATAACCCCCTTTTAGTTCCTTATTCAACAATAACACTCGAGGTTCCAAGCTGTACAATGTGGGTAACCTACAGGCTGGCGTCCAGAGAGTTCACATTTATCTTCCATAGCGAACAGGTCAAAATACTTGTTGTTCGTGTGAAGTTATTCACTTCATATTCAGTGATCACAGTGTTGTTTACCAGAAGACAAGCCCACGGATGTTTCCCTGACCTCTGACCCCAAATTATTTTTTTTCATATTTTTTACCATTCAGAATTTTTATGCAGATTTGGAGTGTTTTCACTAGTTGGTGCTTTTAATCTGGATACTTGTTTCATAACCAACCTTTTGACTTCAAATGTTTTGCAATCTGCCATTTTCAAGTATTTTTAGTCTAGGCTTTTTCATGACTAATTTTGATTATTGCAATTAATTAAAACTTCTCGGAAAACTAATTAAGCGAGGTATTTGATTCAAACCTGAACTTCTTGTATACAACTGAAAATTGGTAAATTGCTAATAAACCCACAATAATGAAAATGCCTGAAAATCTAGTGAAAAGGTGTCTTGAGCAGCTGGTGATATTTCAATTGTTACATCTTGACATCTTCGCTAGCAAATATATTGAAAATGAACAAGTAAGGGTGTGCTCAGGGAAACATCCATTTTTTGAACTTTTTTAACTTTACACTATCACATTCATTTTATTTCTTTTGCACATTTCTAATTGCACATTTTGTGTTTTTTTTCCACATGTTTGCTGTATGTTGCCACTTTACCTGCAATGCTCACAAAACTATCGAACAGATACCGATCTGATAGCAGTGTAATGCACGTCGACAGCAAAAGGACCCCTACTCCTACATGGGAACCATCACGAGAATCGACGCACTCCGCAGGACTCCCAACAAACATTTTCAGCTCCAATTCAAGTCCAAGGCCTAGCAGTTATGGACATATTGATATTACGGGAAGGACTTCTCACCCTAGCTTAAGTTATTCAGTGCCTGGAAGCAGGGACAGTACACCTCCCGGTCTGCACCATTCTTTAAGTTCACTTTTAAACCCCGGCTTTGCCACCTTCCATAATCCGTTAGATTATACTCAATCTGCGTTGGATTTCAATTTATCGTATCTACAATCTTTCGGTGGTGGGTATCAGCTTTTTTATGCTTTGGTGTTTGATTTTGCTTCTCATGTTTTGTTTTGTAGTAATAACCTCTGGGTTTTGTTTTTTGTCTCGAATACTTAGTTTTGACTGTTGAGGATAGCTAGCAGCCAAATTATAATAGCCAAGTTGGGGTCATATATTTTGGTACAGATAATTTATTTATGGCAACAGCAAAAGAGACTAATTATTTTGTCATTATGCAGCACTGCACTAGATTCCAAAAAGTGGTTGCCAGCAGCTTTGTTCATAATAAAACATGCACAATTGTAAGACATAGCTGGCCAACATTCAAATGTCTGTATAGCTGGTATCCCAGTGGATACACAATAATACAAAATAATTCACAGATTAGATCGGATTCTATATATGGCAACTCTAGGGTACTCCCGAAGTGTGTGAACCAAGATGGCGGACACCGGAACATAGTATGTGTACCAGGTTAGGGTTAGGCCATAATTTCAGTTACAAATACTACGGGAGTCGCTTGGCTAGTCCCCGAAATCGTTTTAGAGATAAAATAAGAAAAATTGGAATAAAATTATGGCCTAACCCTAACCTGGTACACATACTACGTTCTGGTGTCTGGCATCTTGGTTCACATACAGGAGTACCAACTGTTTATTTTCTATTCATAGTTGTGAAAAAGATCGTCTGCAATTAAACAATGTTCAATTGAATAACTTATTTATGTAATCGAATGATTGACTTTTTCAGCGGATCCATTGCGTCGGATACCAGGCGAACATTCTGCACGTTCGAGTCCTTTTCTGATGAATCCGTCGCCAAATCATCTTTACCAGCCTCCAGTATCTACGCGTTCTTCATCTAGCACAAACGACCATATTTCACGGAGTTATTTAACGTCATACACCCCACACTACCATCCTTATTCGCCAATCAGTTATCTACAAACTTCAGCAGAAAATTCTGATGTAATACCAATAGACTGATTTTTATTTTTTCAATCCATTGTCCCAAAACTGCCAAGCACATTTGAATATTTTTTACGAATTTACTTTACTAGTCCTTATTAGGCTGATTGATGATACATGTGCTTTTTTCTTCTTTTTGCAAAATCTTGTTTAGATAATTTAAGTTTTCACTTTGATTTTTTTCTATCCGTTTCAAAATGGGTTGAGCATTGTACTTTTACTGGAGGCCACATTTTTGTACCATTTTGGCTGTGGAATTTCAAATTGCTTATGCTATCGTATGGTCTTCGTTTGAATATGAGCTAAACTGCTACCCAAGTGGGTTATTTTGTTAGGAGCTTGTAAGTTTCGTTGAAAAAGCAGTTCTTGTTCTAAAGTTCTTCTTAATGCTATTTATGTGAGATTCGATTTTTTTGAGTAGGATTCCAGAACTGCTTCGCTGTGGTATGTTAAGGTTTTTCTGATTGTGCATCTTTATGAAAATTTCAGTGGTGTTTATATCAGTCTGATCTTATATATTACTAATGTATTGGCTGTTGTCCGCATAATTTTTCTTACGATAAAAGTGGCCCGAATGGGCAGTCATTTAAAAATTAAAAATGGGAATTGTGGGTTCCACAGCTTTGTGTAATACAGATATACTTTTTCCGGTTTTTGAGTTTAACGATTCCTCGGCTAGAGTTCAGGTTCGGACTAATAAATAATTTGTGGTTTGAAAAGTAATATCTGGCGATATTTGTGTTTTTTTTTTGTTCTGCATCAAAAGTATTTATTTTTGTCATTTCTTTATTTATGTTTATTTTCACTTGATTTCATTTCTACTGCTGTATTCAACAGCTTGAAAACTCTTAAAAAACTTATGGGTGGCATACTTTGGCGGTTATCAGTCTCTAAAACGCGACGTTTTCTTTCAAATTGTTACATCAGGCCGTCCTGTTCCTCTGTTTATTTATTGTGTGTGATCTCCTATTATTGTGCTAAACAATCCCTGAGTAAAATGAATTGTGACAATTTGTCTTTTGTTTTGGGGCGTTTATGCTATTTGTTGGTAAGTGGAAGTCTATGTTTGGTAACATGATGATGCGGATAGCGGTTTATGGGCCTGTTGAAAGTCGGCGATTCCCAAAGTGACTATAGTCACTCCGGCGATTCCTAATAGTTTACAATACATCCTCCTCGTTTGAATAGTTAGAAATCGCAGTAATACTAAATAATTGAAAGGATAGTAGTAATACTACAGGACGGTTCAGAGTACAATTTTTTCTAGAGTCATTGAACTTTTCTTTAGGAAGAACCTGTCGGCAAACACTGGAACGCAGTCTTTCATTCCGTAAGCCACACATACAGGTCTGCCATCCATATGAACCCAAAAATAAGGAGCCAGGGAAACATAATAATAAGATAACAAAGAACGAAATGTAGCAGACAAAATGCATTCATTGCCATTTCGACCCGTGTCTAATCATACTTTGCACTCGAAAGGATTTGCACCAACAGTTCTTTGTTCTTAAAAACTGTCTGTTCCATTCAGGGGCGGATCATGCCCATTTGGTGTTCTAAGCACTGAAGACTTTGGTGCCCCCTTATGTGTAATTTAAAATATAAAAACAACAAACCACAGTATTATCCATTATAAATAATCAAAACCAACAGTAAAAAAAAACTTTTACGAACATTTTTAAGATTTCTTACAATTTTTCAACTAATATATATATCGGCCGTTTAGTGCCAACATGACATATCGGCAAACTTGCCATATCGGGCCGATATATCGGACCCGCCACATGATGCGTCATTTTTAATTTTGATGATGTCGCCACGCGAAACTTCCGCGTGAAAACGAATCAAGCGCAAAAAATTTTTTGGAAAAAATAAAAGAGATAAGGAAAGAATTTTTTTTTTTAAAACAGAAATGCAACAAGGATAATACGAATAAGAGAAGAACAACAATTGACACAACGACTCATATAGGTCCATTTCGTGTCCAATAAGTAAGTTTAAGTGTTCAATATTATTAAAGAAAGTTAATATGATACTTGAAGAGGAAAAATAAGTAAACATTTTGAAGTCTGAGTCGTCTGATCTACTCGTAATATTTCAATAAACATCGATGCACCAAATAGAATAAAGAATTTATGTGGTGCTCTCTTTAGCTTGGTGCCCTGGGCACTTGCTTATATTGCCTAATGGTTAATCCAGTGCTGGTTCCATCTCACCTCACATAGGTTCACTTTCACTCACGCCATGAATGCGCGCAGCAACCAATGAGGTTATAATATCATTTCTAGAAAATCAATCATTCGAATTGACCAATCTAAGTGCCTGGTATATCAACATCTACCTCTAAAATAAGGACAAAAATAAGTACACATGTCAAAATAAGGACATTTCTAGAAAATAGGGACAAAAATATTTTCTAAGTGAAGGACCTTCAAAATAAGTAAGGACAAATCTTAGAAATAAGGACGTTATGGCAGCCTTGCATACATACCTGAACCAGATGTGATAGTTTCGCTTTATGTTGATAAACAACAATTATAACCACTTCAGATGAAATATATATATATATATATATGTACTTTGTCATAAAATATGTATTTTATAATTGCCCGTCTGAGCTGGTCGAAGCGTGGTATATTTTATTCTTAAAGTCTCTTCGACGGATTTAAAAGTTTCTGGGAATCACTTTTTATTAAAAGTTGAGGTTCTGGGTATTTCCAGTATATTTTAGTACCTGTTCATTAATCTCATTTCGACATTTGGACATATAGTTGACAAGAGCCGTAAGCGTTAGTATAATTATGCATTGGATGAATTTATACATTATACCGTGTACCGAAAGGTACTTGCCTTGGCATCAGTAAAATCCTATTTATATGTGACAGACAGTTTACCCAAAACGTTATTGCCGTTGTGTGATATGTCGAAAAACATTTTGCTTCCTTCACGATTAGGCACAGCTCTACTTCAGCAGTGGAACGTGGCGTCTGCCTATACACTCAATTGATGGTCCGGCAAAATCGTGGCCGAAGCTCGTTTTGAGACATAAAGTTTTTATTATTGTTTAGATATAATGTCGATGACATAAATAATGATACCCAAGTGGGTGTGGGGTCTAATATAATGTTGAGCAATTTTAAGGCGCTCCGCAAGTATTCGTACCAAGATGACGCACATCCTAAACCCTAACCTGGTACACATACAATGTCCAGCGGCATCTTGGTACGAATACTTCGGGAGCACCTTTTTGTTACAAACAATTATTTCATAACTACCTGGATTAGTTTTGAATACATAGTAACATTCAATCTCCTTACAATGACAGAAATTCAATTTTAGTACAATAACTGGTACTTTATTTAACTAATATAAGCCAAGATCCATCGACAGCATCTAGCCACTTTCTTTTGCATTCTTCAAACTACATTTGTGTTGCCGTGGGCATTTCGTTTTCTTGTTTTAAAGCTTCGGGACTGAGGAAATATTTCATTAGTTGAAATAGATTGGAATATTCAACCTCGTCTTTCGCTCCAAATAAAGACATGTAAAACCATCCACTGGTATCTAACGATGTGTAACGTGTTTTCTTTTGGAAAAACCAGAGCCTTTCAGCTTCAGCATTGACTTTGGCCAAATTAATATATCCTTGTGGAGATAGAGAGCAGTGGTGGGATTCAAATTTTTTGTCAGTCGATTCCATCACACAAATGTCATATTTTCAGCCGGTTCTGTTACAAAAATCATGTTTTTTTCAGTAATGCTAATCGATTCACTGAATCTCATAAAATTCCGTGAGACGGTCCTGTAGAAACGGTGCAAAACGGCTGAATCCTACTACTGGATAGAGGGTATGCGTATGCAAAACGGAGATGTGCACCCGCTTTGCCAACATAGTTGAGTCAATCATTTTGATCACTAGTACATCACATACATTTTCTCGAGTGCTTCGGTTGTAAGTAACGCGCACATTTTTGACCACATGCATTAAAATCCACTTGTTTATTAACCTATAGGTTTGTGACGAGCTTTTGTGTATGATTTCATCTCATAGTATTTGTATGCTGTTCCGAGGAATACTAGTTTCAGCTTTTTCATTCATTCAAACCGCGTGTTGGAAGTAAGTTTTGTAATATTGCGTGTTGGTTTTCGACTGATTTATTGATATCCCCCAGTTGACATCCTGAAATCGTTGATGCAAGTAAATCTTTTATACAAAAAAATCAGTATCATCTAAATATATATATATTTTTATTAAATATATTTTCTGCAATAGGATAATTTGATTGCATACTACTGGAAGTTACGCCATATATGTTTTTTCCCATTGCACTATTCCTTTACTGATATTCGATAATATGACGCTCATTTGACATAGTTTTTCAAGTGAGTAGAAAGGTATAATATTTTCCACGCAGTTCAGATGGAAATGCGCGAATATATTTAAGAATCGCTAATATTGGTTTGCAATGCAATGAAATCTCATCTTGGCATTTCTGCTTCTTGCAATCGCTGCGTATATTTATCGGAGAAGTTCTGTGGCTTGGCTATCAAGCGGAGAAAACATAGAGTATTTTTTCCACTTCTCTACTACTCTCAAACCTTGACATTTTGAGAAATTTTTATTCCATTCAACCTTTTTTTGAAACATCCACAACAACCACAATTGATTCTGTCATTGAACTTCCGAAACAAACACATAAAATCATCAACAGATGCTTATCACCAAGTCCTAAGTAGATATTGCTGAATTGATCTTTATTTTACCATTTTACTTCTATTGCATTTTGGTAAAACTGTTATCTATCGTAAATACGGCACATTTGACTATGTTCTAGTGTAATTTTTTTTGCTTCACTTTTTTGATATTTGTAGTCAGATCTGTTGGGGCTCTGTCAAACAAAGTTACATACAAAATATTGGTTGTAAGTTGCAAAACATGATCATGTTGTTGGAATACCTTGGCATTTTACCGCCCGTATGTCATTCATTGTCGGGAATATTAATGAAATCATAAAATCTAAAACCCGTTTTTGTGAATTTTTTGTTGTAGCTGAATTCGAGGGACAGCATGACAACAGGCAAGATGAGGCACGGTCGCCCCTTTTAGTTTATGACAGGTTTTTTTAAAAGGGGTCTCCTTGGACGCCACGGATAGGTTATCTGGGAGCATGAACAAACAAATGAAAATGCATATTATATATATCTATGTATTTTAATAGAAGATAAGAAGCAAAAGTGTTGAGAGTCTTTGGTAGTTTGAAAAGCATTGGCATGGAACATAAACATGAGTTACATTCATTCCCAGGGATATACTATAAAATGTATCAATTTTATCATTCGTGTTCTCGTGATAGCATTATCTTTCATTGCATCGCCGTGACCATCCCGCTGCATAACAATTCCTGCTAACAAATAATTGACTGTTCTACACCGGTTGAATATTTGCGCACAAACTAAGCGCAATCCACTTGAACCACTGCCAACTGCATTAGCAGGCTTGTATTGTTAATTGCAACAATAGCGGGTATTTCGAAATAGTGTATAGCACTATATATTCCTTATTTTACGCGTATGTTTCAACAGTGTTTCCCTATCCATGGGTCCCGACCGAAAGCTGGGTCGCCTGAAAATATTTTCGGTACGATTGTTTTCAACAAATACCTAAAAGTTATTGATTTTATTTTCTAGTAAATTTGGTGCTTCCGTAGTATGTGCACCAAGATGGCGCATAACCTGAACATAGTATGTGTACCAGGTTAGGGTTCAGGTTGTGCGCCATTATGGTGCACAGATATGACGACGAAAAACACTAATACAAATATCAAGCCGTAAAAAAAATGCTTAAGGCTGCAAACTGCAATGACCCCAAGATAAATGATCCCAAATAAAAAAAAATTTATGTCAGAAAACAAGGTTGGGCCCAAAAAGGCCCCTTATCTGCCGGACTATAACTTAGTGCAGATCCTCGAAACTTTTCCAAACGGTAGCGCGTAAGGATTCTGATGAAATGATCATTGAGTTTCGTAGAAGCGATTCATTACTTTTTTCCATTAGAATTAGACGCTAGTCTTTGGGTGGATTAGGACGAATAGGCCTATACTGTACTCGGAATATTAAACGTACGTTGGCCTGATTTGGCGATTTTACGCTCGAATCCTAATCAGTATTTTGTTTCAATCTCATTTAGTGCAATGAATCACAAGTAGTTACTTCTGAAATACCCGAAAATTTGTTACTGTCAAACTATAGTGGAAATCAAGAAGGCGTTTCTAATAGCACACTGTCTCCCGAACGGGCTAGTTGAAAGGCTGACGGGTTTAATGAGTCTTCAGCTTAACTGTTCAAAGCAAACAGCGGAAGTCGACGCTAAGGGAATATACAAACAAGCGTCGTCTTCGGCGTGTTAGTTTCTGGGCTAATAAGGATTACGATACGCAGTTGATATACCTAATTAAAATCATATTTTCTGTATATAATTGTGATACAAAGTAGCAATGTATAAGAGCAACGGCAAGTTCTTGCGAGGAGTCGTGAATCGTGATAGTAGGTGCGCTTGCCGCGAAGCTTTGAGCAACCAATGGCATGAATGGGGTGTGATAGGTGCGTGTTAGACTTGTGGAGAATAGTGTTTCCCAAAATACATCGTGCGATGTGTTGTATGTCCTTTAAACTTGATTCGGCGCATTGCATGTGTTTTACGAGTCTAAAACACGTCGTGCTATATAATTTTGCAACTTGTAATGCATACATGTTATAAATCAAATCTTATCAAGGGTATCAACGATTAGCTATATTGGATAGGAACATTATTTGGCACGTGAGTTATTTCAGACGGCCATGAATGGCTTTGCAGCGCGTGACCTCACGTATGGAAGGGCGGCATTCACAGCTGATTTAAAACGCCGGTTGCGCAAGTGATATGAATTCATACATATTCGAAATTTCACTTAATCTTTGTACATTTTATTAAAAGCGGTGGGGGAGCAGGATAGGCAAATTTACAGAAAATGTAAAAAAAAGTTAGCTTACACTTTACGCCTTTTTTAACTCCCGAACTCAGACATTTTGTAGCGATTACATAATTAGGAATGCACATAGTGCTGTAGTGAAGGATAGGGTAGGGTTTACATATTTAGGCCGGGGGAGAAAAAGGAGGTTAAGATGGCTTAATCATTTTATATTTCACTATTACAATTTATGGTATTGTTCATACTTGCAACAGGACATTGGACGATTATATATAGTTGTATTAGTAGGAGTTAATGAGTTAAAAATACAAAGATATCTGGCTCAAGTTTGTTGAATTTTTCTACGTCGTCGTCTCGTACCTCACAGTTGGAAGACATCCTGATTTCATTAATCTCTGTCATTGCATTGTAACATTGGGTACGGTAATCTCCAATCTCTTGTGGTGGTTTATTATACTATTTAAATTATAAAACAGTGCCACCACACCATCATCATGGACAATGGTCTTCAATTATTTACTTTTGAAGTGGCAATGGAGGTTGCCAATAAAGGTGAGTTGAGTGTTTGTACATTTGGTAGGTATTTGCAGGCGTATATGAAGAATAAAACCATCAAAATATGTCACCAATTTTTAAAATATGATCTTCAGCATTATTGTGAATATATGTACATTTTTAAAGATCATAATAAGTGAATTATTTTTAATATCCTATTGTGATCTTTGTACTGAAAAAAAAAAACATACTGGAGTACAAAACAACACTCAGACATTGCTTACTTTAAATTAGGCACAACGGTTACAGAGTTAAGACAATCCCTCTGATACAGGACAGTCGTAATACCAAATGATGAGAATTGTACAACGCAAATATAATCATTGAATAATCGCTCTTTTCAGCTGCCATTTTGTAGCATATCCAACAAGACCTGTTGAATTTGAAGGCCACTGAATTATTTTTCTGATAGGGATATGTCAGTAGACCTATGTATATAAAAAAAATAACATTTTTAGAATTCTTGTACAATTTTTTTTTTAGTGGGAGGAATATATACAGTTCTGAGGACAAAGGCTGGAGTAACAGTTGATGAGCTCGGAGAGGATTACTGCATGGTTGGGATTGCCAATGAAAAGTTCGTAGCTATGGAAGTTGAGAAAATGGAATTCGCACAGCCTGCGTTGAGGGGAGCAGTCGAAGAAATGAGGAATCAAAATTTTGGGGTGAAAATAATTATATTTTTTTAATATATTTAGAAAGTGTGATTAAGCTGCTATTATTAATATGCTGAATGATGGAGGTGTCATTTTATATTTAACCAGCTCAGTGAAAGTAATGATAAATAATTTTTCATGTATCACTGTATTGAGTATGCCTTTCTCCTTTTTAATAAATGAGAATATTTAATATAAAGTAAACTTAACGAAATTTGTACGCTCATATGAATTAACTAAATTCAGTAGTAATGAGTAAAGTTGCATGCAAATAAATCTACTTGCATTATAAAATATTATTGAGATCCCATCAGAAATAGCATTAAATGAGACTTTGAAATCTCAAGCAATATTGTAAACAACTCAAATGAATTCTGTGCAGCAAAAGTTGTGGAAAAAGCCTTGGGTCCTTCCTTATCAAGTCATTGCTTATCTTGTCCAAGAGAAGTTGCAAACCCGAAATTATAGCCTCCGAGTTCTGTGTTATTGTCTTACCTAATGTGTTATACTTGATGTTATTTTCTATTCCATGTACCGTAAGTAGAATTGCTTCCATTTAACTTGTGGATATTATATTTGAAAACATCCGATGCTCTTATATTCAATTCACTTTTTGCCTCATGCTTTTTAGGTGATTTCAGGAAGATGGTTGATTGAAGGTTATCCTAAGGTATGTGTATATTCTTTAATAAGCTTTTGGCTACTAGTAATAGCATGTTAGACATAAAGTAATAAATGTGTGAAATAGTTTCAAGAAGATTTATAGTGGAAACATGAAATAATTTTAGGATGTTGAATGCAGTCTATTCTGATAATAAAAACTCCACACTAGTTGGGTTTATGCTAGACTAACCACCCATCCTTCTTGTACTCTAATGACCCATGACCCCCACCAAATGACATTCAACACTCCGTGGCCCCTGCCCTTCAAAAAAAATTTTTTTTTTTATCTTTTTCTTTTATTCACCATGTTTAATAATTTTATCAATGTAGTCACCACAAATCATACTTGGTAAAGTTTTTTGCTCAAGGCCGCCAGGGAATCGCTCTATGGCTCCCTATAGCCCCAACCCTGCTCTATGACAGTGCTGTAGGATGAATGAAGATGTCTGTTGCACACAAATTCATTTATGTTATATATCTGAAGAAGTCTGTAGAAGATATCTGTTTTGCAGAAATACATTTATGTTGGTGTTTAGCAGAACTATTGCCATATTTGTTCTTAGTACGGATCCTTGCATTGTACGCATATGGATTCATAGAGCAGTATCTAATAGTTCTCATTTATTGTAGACTAATTTTTCAATCAAAATAGTTGAATTTTGCTAAACTCAAACCCTCATGGCAAATTGCATTGATTACAATTATATTTTCCCATACAGGTTATACTGTTTGATCTTGATACTGCATACAGAGAGTTGACCAGTTGGAAATGGGATTTTTTCGACAAAACTAATATTGGAATACCAGATCATGATCATGAATCACACAGAGCAATATTGTTTGGATTTCTTACTGTCGCTTTGCTTGGACTTGTAAGTGATTAGGATTTTCATTGTCACTAGTGGAGAGCAAAGACTATGACACTCAATGATTTGGAAAGCCATGCCCTTTCGTACCATTGCTTCTAAGATTAAGTCAGAAAGTTTATAGCAACAGAAAATTAACAATGATCTTACTTGCTACGCGAGTTTGAGTTAATAGAGGTCCATACACTCACTCAGAAGTAGATGACCACTGAATGAGTTTTTTTATGGGTTACTGAAATGTTATAGATTTATGGAAATCTTACGCAAGAACTTGTAGGTTCTCCGAATAGTGGACAAAGTATGGCAGGCCAGTGTACACTTTGACTTGACCGTTTGCATGCCATTTACAGTTCTGCCAAATATGGCCATGGACATTATGTTGCTCTTTTATTTGCATGGTTGGCACAATGGCTTGGCATTCAAAGCATTAGATTTAACACTACTTGAGCCACTTCCCTGTCTCTGAGTCCATTCTGCATGGGCTGTTCTTAAATGATAATTAGCAACCAATAGGCCCTATGACTTCAATCCATGGCTCTTTCGAAGCATATGCTTGTGTTATATTCAGCAAAATTGCACTAGGGAGCCATTTTAAATCAATTTTACTTGTATGTGACCAAAGGCCAATAATTGAAAAAAAAAAATTTGCACTCGAGTGTGAGTGACTTTGTGTTTAATTATAGATAATATTTTGATAAAATGATTGTTTCAGTTCAGAGAGAGGTGCGGTCCAAATCCCGTTGTTATTTCACATTTCCACGAATGGTTGGCTGGTGTAGGACTTGTAATGACGAGGGCAAGGCAGATTGATGTTTCAACTATATTCACAACACATGCTACTCTCCTTGGAAGATATCTTTGTGCAGCAAATATAGATTTTTATAACAATTTAGACAAGGTTAGATACTGTTATTTTTAATATTAGTTATATTATTTGAATTGCTACATTCACAAAGGTTAAAATATTGTTTTTTAACATTTTTTCATATTATTCGTATGTCAAACGGTGGCTGAATTTTTTTACCAGTAATTCAAGTGCTAAATTTCGATCAAATTATTGTATAAATGTGTCATATTGGGTATTTTAAAATCAGGTACCGGTATGTTATTAAAATACCACGCTACACTAATAAAAACTGATAAAAATGCAAAAAAAATATAGTCAGAAAACGGTAGCTTGTATGAATGATTAACTATTCTGTATTCGTTAGGAGGGAGTATTTTCGAGATTATTTCAAGTATTCATGTAATATTGAGTACTAAATTGGATCATGTTTAACAGAAAAATGCATAAATCATTGTATAGTCATAACATTGAGAATGGAATAAACATCGTTTTGAATATTTATTCTATTTACATGTTTAATAATGAAGCTTATAGTCAAACTAATGATAAGATGTAACTAGCTATGAATCATTCAATTTGAAATTGTTCAAAAACTCAAAACTTTTTCTATGTCGAATATAACTATTTTCCAATGTATACGAATATTCAATTTATTTGTCGTATTTATTCGTAATATACAGTACATTTTTAATTTTCAAGCAAGTTTTTAAGCAACATTTTTACATACTTTTTAGTTTCATGTTGATAAAGAAGCAGGAGATCGACAAATTTATCACAGATATTGTATGGAAAGAGCGGCCGCCAATGCTGCTCATGTCTTTACCACTGTATCTGCTATCACTGCATTTGAAGCTCATCATCTGTTAAAAAGAAGGCCAGGTTATATATTTAACAAAAACCTTTATATTTATTGGTCAAAAGTTGACATATGTATCGTTTTATTAAATAATTTGTTATTGTTGTTCATATTATTATTGTGGAATGAGAAGTTAAATTTTTCATCAACTATTGAATCAATTGCTTTCAGTCTCAGTTAGTTGAGTACGAGTTATTTCATTCTCCTCCTTGATAAATGGTGATTCAAGCCTCCCCTAACTGGCTGGACATGTCTTTTCAAAGGCTATTAACTCTAAATCTTTTTAAATATTCTCCGATGTTCTGCAGATGTTTTACCTTCATTTTTGCTAGTTTAGAGTAAAATTGTGTGGGTATTTCTTTGATCCACTGAGTCTGTGTTCATCGAACAGTGTCTAACACGTTTTACAAAATTTTTTTTTAATAATATTTTCGTAATATATTTCCTAGAAAGTTTGTTTTAGAAACAAGTGCTCTGACTTTTTTTTCAAAAATACCATGATTTTCTTTAGATTTGATCCTTCCAAATGGTTTGAACATTAAAGATACACAATGCATTCATGAGTTCCAGAATCTCCATGCAGTTTCAAAAGAAAAAATTCATAATTTTGTACGCGGCCATTTCTATGGGTATTTTATTCAGTATTTTACAGTGTTACTTAGCATCATTGAATACTGGTATACTGATACAGCTAATCTGTTATTTTTCGTTATTTTCAGCCATTTTGATTTGGATCTGGACAAAACGTTATATCTATTCATTGCTGGTAGATATGAATACACAAACAAAGGTGCCGATGTTTTTATTGAAGCTTTAGCAAGACTCAATCATAGGATGAAGGTAACAAATTGACTTTCTTCTATGGAAATTTGCTTGAATTAAGGTAGTGGTCACTCACTCAGAAATTGTAGAACCGGGTCTCGGAGTGAGTTACGAGTAATCACTGAAGTGGCAAGAGCTCCCGATACTGTAAAGAATTAAAGCGTAGAATTGCGCAATTCTAAATACCGATCGGCGCATTTAGCTAGGCTAGGACATACAGGTATCTGATTTGCACGTTCTGTCAAAATATTTCATTATGCTTGACTGCTGTCATTATTTATCACCAGGAATTAGAATTATTTGAGAACATCTGTCGATATGCCTTCAGAATACAGATACGTAAACATAGGCTATTGTGGAAATATGATTTGACCTTTTAGTCGATTAATGGGAGTAGATGTTTCGGATATTTTTGGGAATGGTGTATGTTCAGGGAAATTTTCCTTCAATAATGGTGAAATTTTGTTCTACTCACAACTGTCATTGAACAAAAAAATATATATTTTTTCTTTGATACCCACTTGATTATGCTATTGTCCAAATATTTGCATTCGTTCAATTGTAATATCAACATAGCTTTTTGAAAAAAAATTCTTTTATTTCAGCAAGCTGGATCTGATGTTACATTTGTTGCTTTCCTCATCTTTCCTGGTGCTACAAACAATTTCAATATTGAAAGTTTGAAAGGTCAAGCAGTCGTTAGACAACTCAGAGAGAGTGTTAATGTTATCAAGGAAACCATAGCTGAAAAAGTTTTTGATAAATGTTTGAGGTAAAGTTAGTTTGGACATTGAATTCTTTATTCATTTTTATAACAATTACCGTACCTATCAGCTATGATTTCATAGTGACTTAACAATTGAAATTTGTGTAGGACGAAGACTCATTTTTTTGTACATTGTATTTATATGCTCTATACAAGGGTCTGCATGAGCTACTACTGCTAGGTAAGTGGGTGCTATAATTTGGAAGGATCGGAATATTTTCCTGTGTGAGGGGTTAGGCACGGAACTTGAAACCGAGATTTGACCCTGAGATGCCATCGTAGTTAAGTTAACGCTCTGCTTTACCTACTAGGCTATCACCCCACGCCAAACCTTTGTCCCTGCCCCCTATCCCCCCTGAAAAAAAGAAATTTGATATGTATTGAATATCCTGATGTTAATTTGTCTTCGTTAAGTTTTGGTCTGGTCGTAGTAAACAAAAATTAGTCTGAAAAAGTTTGATAGACTACGTAATGGTTATTTTAAATTGAAATGATGGTTATGAACATGTTAAACAGTAAATGACAAATGAGAAAATACTCTTTAACATATGCATAAAAATTTGCAATGTTGAAGGGTAGGAAGAATTTTTCTGGAATCAAAGGGCTGAGGAAAATATTGTCAATGATTAACTGATGGCTCACACTATTGTTGAACTTCCTGTCCTTGTCCTGTCCTTCCAGTTTCATACTTTTGACCTGTGTCGTACGTGATTGAGTGAATTGATATTCCATATAAATATTATTTTGTGAATTTTGAAAACAGAGGTAATCTACCAACGAATGATGAATTGTTGTCGAGAGATGAAATTATTACTTTGAAAAGATGTATGTACGCTAATCAATGCAGAACTCTTCCTCCTATTGTCACTCACAATATACTCAATGATGGGGAGGATCCGAGTGAGTAACCCCGTTATGGTTGGGCATGATTAGGTTCAGGGACTTAGGGGGAAAAAAATTGAATAATTGACTATATTCACAATTGTTTATTTCGATATAGTTAATTCTTTATTATTATATTATAACATGTTTTTTTTAAATAAATAATTTTTCTAATTTAAAAAAAAAAAAGCATTTGTTACCTAACAAGATTTACTAAAATTAACCTAATATTTTATTTTTGCTTATTCCTTTAGTTCTGAATCAACTTCGTTCCGTTCAACTGTTCAACAAGAAAGAAGACAGAGTAAAAGTTATATTTCATCCTGAGTTTTTAAACCAAACTAGTCCTCTTCTACCCATGGATTATGATGATTTTGTTAGGGGTTGTCATATGGGCGTATTCCCATCTTATTATGAACCCTGGGGTTATACTCCGGGTAGGTTTTATGTTTTTTGTTTTTCACTTTTATTTTGGGCTCCCACTTTCAACCCCTGGCCAGGGTGCAATAAAATGGGTGAACAAATACAGGAACGGAAAGGTTCCAGTTCTCTTAAAAATAATATCTTTTTTGTCTCACTGGCTGATTTTATAAGCAAATGCCATGGAATAGCATCAAAAAAAATATCCAGTTTCTTGCTAAATACATATGTGAATGTTAAAAAAAACCTTAATCCTCATGTGCGTCTGAAAAACCTTATATTGAAGTCCTCCTATCCAACCAATCTGTCAAATCTATTTATAATTTTCCACGTTTTATCATTATAGCTGAATGTGCTGTAAAAGGAATTCCAAGCATTACAACAAATTTGAGCGGGTTTGGTTGTTTTATGGAATCTCATCTAAATGATCCACAGGCATATGGAATTTATATCATGGACAGAAGATTTATGTCTCCTGATTCATCATGCAATCAACTAGTTGATGTAAGTTTTTTCCTAAAAAATTTTTTTGTTTGTTTTTTCATAATTTTCGTTTGCATTTGGTGAGCAGCCATGGTATGTTTGGAGGAACTTCTTCATTTGAGCAATTTTCGATGGGCACTATGGGATTCGTTTTATGCGTGCAGCGTGCGATGACATAAATTGCACACTTTGCGGTCGCTTCGATTTCGTGTTTGTCATGAAGATTGTAATACTGGTAGCCTACTGTGACAGATTGTATACCAGTACTAATTCGTTTTGGCCTTGTATTCATACATTTGAGCATCGCTTCCTTGTTGAACGGTCAAGAAGCAGCAGAGATGCAAGGTTTGGTAAATGTTATCTCACTTGATGGCACGCTCGGGTGTTGAGTATCGAATTTTTTTTGTTCTACCGAATACTGAATTCTTAAGTATCGAGTCGTTCGGCTACCGAGGTATCACTGCATTTGAATATTTTTCCAGTTACAGTGTATAGAATAAATACTCTTATTGTGATGTTCTTTACATCCTAATACTTTCCCCCTTTTTCAGTTTCTATTCAGTTTTTCACAAATGACGAGACGGGAAAGAATTATTCAGAGGAATAGAACAGAGCGACTCAGCGAATTGCTTGATTGGGGAAGATTGGGAATGGTGAGAATTTTATTTTTATTTTTTCACAGTATTACATTAATCATATGCAATCGTTTTTTAACACTAGGTGGATTTATTTGAACGTTTTAACTAAATTCTTGCTGTTGAGGTTGTTGTAGAAAAATTACTTTTTTTGCAACTGTTGGAATGAATGGTTGCAAGCTTTCAGTATTTATTTGAGAATGAAAGAAGTTCCTAGGAGAATATTACTTTTGTCGGAAACAAATTGGATCGGTTTTTGATTTGGTATTTTTCTTGTTGTTGTGAGAAAATCTTTTTCTCTTTAACCACAGGACCAATTGCTTTGAAATTTCCAGTGGTTAAAGATAGTTGCTGTCGCTGGATGGCTATTATTTATTTCTGTGGGACTATTTCTTAGTCATCAAACCTTCATGTACATATATTTGATCATTGCTGTCTTTTTGTTTTAGTATTATACAAACGCTAGAAGACTTGCAATTGAACGCACGCATCCTGAGTTTTTGGAAAGAGGTCCTGGATTTGTATCTTCTCATTCACCAGTAAGAACATTCGCTATTTTTGTAATGTTAATGAGATTAATAAAATCTTATATAAATCAGAGTATTATCTTAACCATCACAGAAAAAAATGTGTTTTTTATTTTTTGTTGTATGCTAATTACGGAATATGGAAAAGTCTATAAAATCTGATTAATGGTATGCAAACATACAAACTAATTTGATTGTTTTGCGCCAACTAGGAAACGATGATATTCAAAAAATTTAGCACGGATTGGGTTATTTTATGTATAATACATTCTTCATTTTTCTACAAAGTATTATAATTACGCAATAAGTATATTTGTTATTTATTCTTCTCAGGCTGGATCAGTCAGATTGCCTCGTCCTTATTCTGCTCCTGGTTCACCGTTTGGTTCTCGGCCAACTTCTCCTCATCCATCCGAAGATGATGATGATGAAAGAAAATTTGTGGTAAGTTACAAGTCACAGTTTAATATGATGTATATTGTTTTACTTTTCTTTGTGCACAATAAATGTGTTGTTGGTTTTTTGACAATATTTACATCAGTATCACCACTGCTTATTACGAGTTACTTCTGCAAGAAGCTATTGAATATTTCATTACTTCAACAACATAATTCGGTGTGATATATCATACATTACCAGATGAATTTTCTCGATTTCAAAGACTCTTCTTTTTTTCAAGCACAAGTCAAGTTTTTTCTAGTGACTAGCCGAGTGAAAATATTTCACTCAGACGACTCCAGTCATTGAAAAGACTCTAGTTGAGTCAATGCCTCAGTCTCTTCAACACTACAAATTTAGAGTCTTGCCTTGAGCGCCATCCTCTGCCATTCTCGTTTAACTTTTCAGTTTTCAATTTTCAGCCCTATGATGAAGCAGACAGTGGTTTAACATTGAGAAGTAACATTCATTCAATCGATACAGAAAGTACAGGAAATTCAGAAGTCAATTCAAATGATTTAGAATCACTTTCAAAACTATCTGTCTCTTAGCTACAAAGGTAAAATTATGATTTTCTTCAATTTTATGTTGTTAAAAACTAAAACAGCCATGAAGATGAGTTGAAATTGTTTGTTACTTTAAATCAGTGTTTCCCGACCTATGGGTCACGACCCAAAAATCTTGGTCGTCTAGAGAAAAATTTTTTTTTAACAGAAACCTGGAAGTTATTGATTTTCTTTCTTATTTGGTATTGAAGTGTTGTTCAATAGTAATTGCATGTATGGGAAGTATCACAGATTCACGTGTATTTTTCAGCAGGAACTCGACAGAGCGAACAGAGACAGAATTTTGATATGCATGACAGAGCACACATATATGTAGACCTCAATTGCTTGATTATTAATTCCTTCCATCACCTATATTTCATTTGAAATAATAACGTTGGTGCAGCATTTTGTGCCGTCACAACACATGATCAAGTTGAATTTTTGATATAGTTGTGGCAGTTTTTGTGATTGCTACAAGTACTTTTCTCATTTGTGATTTTACTTGCAAATGGATTCTATATATTGTATTTGAAAAACAGTATCATGGGAAAGCATGAGTCATTATTTTCAAATACTCATAAGACGTATGAAACTGACTATGCTTGATGAATTTTGACTAAAATTTCAGACTAACAAAATTTTTACTCTCAAAAGTTTTTGGTATTCCTATTTAGGTAGTTTCAGCTGAAAGGTTTACCACAAAATCCTGGTTTTTCCCAAATACTTGGGAATATGCCCAACTCTGATTCCAAATCCTGAATTGCTTAATAGTCATGGTAGAAATCTCAATACAGGGTGGCCATAAAGTCACACACCGAGGTAGGAATCAGAAATCCAGAGTTCACCATCCACTTTATCATTGCTATCAATCATTGTCAAGCAATTTTCAGTTCATTAATGCTTTTCTCAAATGGTTACAATACTGTTTCGCTGTATATTTATTTGAAATTTTGTTATTTTGCTAAATTTTAAAAAGACTATACATTTACGAACAAAGAAGAAATCTCAGCACTAAATAGGCTTGTTTAAAACTGTGTAGGGTACCTACACTCAATATTATTTAATTCTGTAAATTTTCGTCTTCTATAAATAAATGTGTGATCTAATTGTAATATCACTTATGTTTTGGCAAGGAGATTGTTATATTGAATTATAAAAAATATTTTTCTAGATATGGATTTTTGTAACTAAAATCTTTATAGACTACCCATGAACTAGATCATTTATGTTGCAGCTTTTTACCTTTTCATATCAATGTGTTATTTACCCAGAATCAGACAGTGTCGTTATTAATTTATCATTATTGCATTTGTTGATCAATGTTGCTTCAAAGTTCACAGTCTTTATTAATTGATATATATTACGATGTTTAGTATATATTTAAATTTAAAACAGTGGATCTCGAACTTTTTAAGCCGCACCCCCTTTTTAGAATACGTCAAGTCTCGCACCCCACCTCATAAATAGATAGCTAACCATAAGCTACAATAACAGATAGTATGGCGAAAATAAAAGACATATTGAAAATATGTGGATGGAATTGAAATCTTCAAACAATAAAGAAATGTAAATATCCAAAATAAGGCGGACATGATTAAATCTAACAAATAAGAGGTGATAAACGCCGCTGTTCCGAAGTGGAAAAACTGTCCTGTAGAGTCTCGTACAATGTGCACATTATCGTCATGGATCTACATTCTACAGGGTTACTTGAGTGGCACATAGAGATGCCTTTCAGTTACTGTACCAGAAAATATTGAGGGCTCCCGCTGTCCCTGGCCATTTCTCCTGTTTATGTCTTAGTTTGTATCCACATTATAATTTGAGTGTGATTGCTTTCATATTTTTTGCTAATTTTTTTTTCTCACTACGCCATAATTATTAATACGAATCGATTTTTTTTTTCATTTTCAAAAGATAAAAATTCAGTACTTTATAGTATTAAGAAATTAGTCAATTTAATAAATATAATGTTCTAGGAAAATCTATAGAGTTTGTGTGATATATCATAAGTAAGAGTTAAAAAAAAAAGTAAATAAGAAGATCAAGAATCTTTCTGGTATGGCATTGGCATGGTATTCAACAATTACAATTTGGGTAAGGTGGTGGGCATGTGCGAGCAGAGATTTTCAACTTGCAACACCAGCAAGTGACAAGGAATGTGAAGGGAACTGGCATTTTTGAGCTTAATTGAATGCTCGTATTCAGATAACTAATATACAGACTTAATTTTGAATTGGATTGTGCGAGACTAACTCACTATCTTTCATCTATGCCTTTATGCTAGTGGATACGCATACGTATGGTCGGACGAAACGTTACAGAAATCCATTTGTGTTAGTGTGCAGCTGGACTCTTTAATTGGATGTAATATACAGACTGTTTGTCAAATTTAACACCTATCAAGAAAAAATAAGAAATGTATTTAAAAAAAATATAGATTCAAGTAAAAGTTGAATATAGATTCAGAAGGAATTTTAAATGTGAAAATTTTATAACTTTAATTTGAATTTAAGTCCGGGCGCAGCTTTATAGTGGAAATTTCCAACCCATGTTTGCTCTTCTGTATCCATGAAAGCCCCTTCACCGAGAAGTTTATTATTACTAAATGATCCTTTGTACACGCATCCATTGGGCCATGTATAAGTACCCACGCCATGGAATTGATTATTAAGAAATTCTCCTTCGTACACTGCACCGCTCGGAAGGTCTAATACCCCATTTCCGTTCATTTTATCTTGTGACCATTGTCCTGTGTATCTCATTCCATTAGATGTTGTGTGAGTACCAACTCCGTCTCTTTCGATAGTTCCACTCTCGTTGAGTTTGTATTCACCCTTGTAACGATCGTTATTTGGAAATACAAATTCACCTGTAAAGTAGAAATAAGCTGTCAGAAATGATAAACTGGATTCTGTAATAAAGATGGATACAAACAGGAAATCATGCAGAACAAGCTGGGACAAAGAATTTCAAGAAAGTTTGTTTGAGATGTTTTGAGTTGGTGGGAAAACGAATGGTTCTGCAGTTAGGCTTTCTGTGCGGGAGGGGTAGAATGATCATGTTCTCATTAACAGATAGAACTCATGTCCACAGACATCTACATTATTGCTTAAGAACTATCTCTACCCATACATATAACTTTAAATTAATTAGTGCAAATGCAAACAGTCTCACTGCAAAAACGATCTGCATATGGAAACCGAAAATACATCGTTCGTGGTCTGCTACAAAAGATGTGCCATGTAGGATATTAATTCAATTACCTTGAGGTGGTGCTTCAACCTTAGCAGAAGTCACCCTTTCTTTCTTTTCCTTACTTTTTGGCCTCATTTCTAAGGCTTCAACCAAGTTGTGAAACAGTAAACGAAATGAAACTAAACTGGACAAAACCCCGCGCACAATAACAATGTTTCTAATCCTTGGCTCAGTGTATAAACGAACCATTAAAGTTGCAATACCGAGATATTCCTTTCATACATTTCACTAATATTATTATGAGTTAATTTGTTTTACACATATATAATTATTTTTATTATTATTTTTCTAGCTTCATATACATAAATGATAAATAATAAAATTGTTCTGTAAATAAATGCTTTGAAAATAATCTGTCATTTTGCCCTTCCTTTAAGTTGTTAAACGTTTCCAGGGCGACGAGTATTGGTGCGTGACGCTACTCGCTGTTTCACCAAACGCGCACTCTGACGATTTTCTTAGCTTTAAGTTTCGTGTAAATTCGCTTCTTTATCGTAATAAATAATGTGATGGTAAGAGATATGGATTCATAGTCTTGAAAATTATTATATAGACGAAATTTTAGTATTCAACTGGTATTGATTGGGAGGGAAAAGGCGAGATGACTACCACCACAGCAACAAGTGTTCACGTCCGAACAGACTTTGGCACCACCGAAATCACCACGCGAACAACAATACCCCTGGTTTCCCACATTATTACGGATGAAGACGTTGGGGCTTTATCGGTAAGAGTAGTAAAACGTTTTGCCTTAATGTCTCCATTTATATGTCAATGTCTTCAGGTCTTGTTGACAATGATTCATAAGAGTTAAGAGCAGCAATAATGCCATCACATAGACGTAAATGTGATGCATTAGTCACTATTACTGTATTATCTAAAACACTACTATAAAGTCAATCAAGTTCACCTCTCATTCACTAGCCGATTAAGTTTAACGCTATTCTCACAATCTCTCTGAACAAGACTTTACACAAGTGCTCGGATGTAGGCAGAGCTTGAGGAGGTCATTGACTCCACTCGAGCCACAATGCTCAAAGACTCAAACTTTGACTTGAGTTACCTAAAAATGAAATGAGTCGGACTCCTAATCAACCCTACTTTGCCAGTGAGACTTAAATGCAGGAATTGATGACCTGTGTTCATTGAATTGGGTTCAATGATTCAGATAGGATTGTGATCCCGGGGGTGAATTTGGAGAAACATAGATCATTCTGATTTATTTTATTCTAAATCCTTGCACTGTGATGTGATAAAATTAGGTTGATTATTTGGGTAGTCAAACTTGATTGTTGATCAAAGTGATATTACCAGGTCAGGTACTCCTGAAGTATGCGTACCAAGATGGCAGACACCGGAACGTAGTATGTGTATTGGGGTTAGGGATCAGGTCATAATTTTATTCCAATTTTCCTTATTTTAGTTTCATCTAGAGTTCGGGGACTAGCTAAGTGACTCCCGTAGTATTTGTACCTATAATTATGGCCTAACTCTAACCTGGTACACATACTACGTTCCAGTTTCTGACATCTTGGTACGCATATTTCAGGAGTACCTCAGGTCATTGTACCAATTTTTATATAATAATATAAAGCTAAAAGTTTTGTCATAGTTTCATCAATCGTAAGCCTTTTCAGGTGCCCAACATAGTTGCTGTTTTTGTGTTTCATTTTTTTTTTCACCTTGTAATATAGAATTTTCTTTTATCTGTTATGACAGATTTTAAAATTCATTTCAGGGAGTGAAAATTAAACCAATTGATTTGAACAGAGCAGTGAAGTTACTGACTGATCCACATTGTTGTCAATTATATGAAAGACATGTCAACGCATTAAAAAGAATAGCTTCAAGGTATATATATATTCATGAATGTATATACTTCACTGTTGATACTGTTCACTGTTGATAGTTTTCAACTTTTTGCTTAATGATTAGTTTATTTGTATTGCCTATATTTGTTAATCCGAATACGTTATATAGCATCAAATCAAAAATGAAAATTCACACTTGACTTAAAAATCTATCTTGACAGACAAAAATTCTCATTATATTTTTATGGCTCTCGACTCCATGTTAACTGAAATTTTTTACTCTAACCTTCAGCTCCTAACTTTATAAAAAACCTATTTTGACTACAATAACTTGGGCTTATGTAAACCTCATTTAATTTTTTGTTGGGAATGCTTAGACAACTTTGCTTCAACTAATGCTTTTTAGTTTCCATTGAGCTTGTTAATTAATTAAATAATTTGCATTTTTCTACTGCTCAGTCAGTATACATGAAATTTGTTGGAGGAATACAATATATATGGAAATTAATTGTTTATTTCACAAAATTATCAAAAAACATTTTTGATAAAATAAATCATATTTTTACTCTAGGTATCACCGAGGATTTCTTATGAGAGATTGTGTTCAAGTTTTCAGAATTTTAAATATTTGTGCCGACAGAATCTCTGAACAAAAATGTTATATCGATGCAATGTGTGATATTATAAGAATATGCGGGTGAATATGATTATGTGTTGTCATTACGCTTTCTTGATTCTCATGCTTACAATGAATAGGTATTGTTAGGCTGAGTTTGACTATGACCTGTTTAATTAGTTATAAAAGCTTTAATTAGAAATTTAGAAAGAATAGGACTAAGGTACATGTTTACACATTTAGGGTGATTTTGAAAATTTTTGTTTTCTAACACTCAAACGCACATAATACACACACTCAGTATTTAGAAAGATAAATAAACTGAAGAGAAAAGTTAGAGGGGGTACTAGGGTATATATATAAACTAATAAAGAAAAAGGGTTGCCTAAATGATATATAAGTTATCATTATTATGGATGTCAAGAAAACTTTTTGTTTTTATTGTGATGTTCCAAATTCCTTCTTGTCATGTTTTACTTCATTTTATGAAAATAAATTCGGTTTTTATGAATCTGAGATTACGGTAACTTAAATAGTACTTAAGCATTATTTCGATTTTTTTCACACATTTTAGGCTTCCACAACTGAAAGAAAAACTGTCAGATGAAATAACATACGAACAAATTGTTATTGAATCGATGTCACAGCTTGGGTATTTAATGAGAGTTCCTCACGCAAAAGTTCGACTTGCTATTGCAGATGCTTTAATTAGCTTTTATAAAGAAAGGCCTCCGAATTTGGAACAAGTCAAGGTTTGATTCTAAATTTTTTTAGTGTGTTTTAGTGCTTTGTGGGCTTTTCTTTGTTATGCTTTGACTGTATAATAATTTTACGGTACTCCTGTAGCATGTATACCAGGTTAGGCCATAATTTTATTCTGAATTTCCTTGCTCATAAGTTTCAGTCCCTTTACACAACCTGGTGTAAAGTAGACGAACAAAATTAGTTACCTCCATAGTGGAACAAATACTTTTGCCATAATTTTTGTAAATTTTTGTCAAAATTTTTTTTGCCATATAAATTTTACCTCTTTGCTAAAAAGTTTCAGAGCATTTGTATAGATATTGGATTTTCAAATTTTCTGAATTTTCTATTTTGAATTATTTAAATCCATTACAGGGTTGCAAATACACCAGTCAAGAATTTAACAAGAAAATAATCGAGGGAAGTGACGTTGCTGAAACACTTGTGAAATCACTCGGTCTACTTGAGGAGGATATTCCTGTCAAATTGAAAATATTAAAAGTTCTCTTGACTCTCTCATGTGATTCAGGTATTAGACTGGTTAATTTAGTTATTTTACTTATTTTTGGCCTTGTCATCAAGTATGGCCATATAATCTGTGTTATGAATTTATACTTTAAATATATACTTTATTATAATAGTATGGCTACATTTTTGCACTGACTGTGGTCCCATCACATTTGATCTCATTTAAAAATAAACAAAAAAGGTTTGCAAAAATTTTTCCCTTCAATTTGTGAGTATAGTATGGGATAGAATTTTCATATTTAGCCCAAGTGAGATGAAATAATGAAAGTTGATAAGACGGTTGAATTATATGAGAAACGGCAATGTCCGGTTACCAGTTTTGTGTATGGGAATAGCTAACCACTTATTCAGTTCCTATGCATAGACTTGATGGTAGAGGGAGTCGTAATTGTTCGCCGGTTACCTGAACTGGTGGTTCAGCAATTCACTCACACCTGATTATCTCCCATAACATTCGAACCTGCAAACTTGCAGCATTTAGAGGTGCGATGGCAAGCTTATTCCAAACGCGTAGCATAATGCATCAACTGTCGAGTCTATAATTTAGTCTCCATTTTCAGAAATCAACTGCCAACAAATGTTGAAATCAGAAGCAGCTTATCAAATTTGTTGTGACATGAATCAACAAGAGTCATCAGGTTTTCTGCTTTTCGTTTCTGTCGAGATTCTATGGAATCTACTCGAACATGCAGGAGATATAGCTGGACCACAGTTGTGTAACTTGGATTGTATCAAGTAAGTGTTTGTCATGGGATTAAATTGCTGTGGTATAATTTCTCTCTCCCGAGAAAAATCTATATATTTTTTGGATTACCAGTGAGTCATACTGCAAGGCTGCATGACCTATTTATAGTGGCTTTGAATCTATTAGAACTAATGGATATCCATTTATTAAGTTTCTAAGTTTCCTCAAATATATTTCAATGTCAATATCATCAATCTATATTTTATGTTTAATTTTACAAGTGCGATCAAAGAAGCTTTTCATACACTTGTTGTAAGTGGTTGTTCTGATTATGAAAGACAATTGAGGAACGATCTTCTTGTCATAACAACTCTCATTGCTCAACATCCCTCAGCACCAATTGTAGAAACCGGTAAGTAATTATGGGAACGGATAAACCATAGGTTGGGATTTACATATTTATCTTGAGGAGAGGAAAACCGATAAGACGGCCTAATCATATTGCGAACCATCCGTCCGGTTACCAGTCCATGTCGGGTATGAGATAAGTTAACCAGTTATTTGTGGAAGCATGGACTTTATGGTGGAGGAAGCCGTAACTGACCAGCAGTTATGTGAACCACCCTACGGGGGCGATTAGTCCAGCAATTCTTTTGCATATTCGAACCTGCGAACCCACGCAGGGTAATCAGATGTGCCAGTGGCGAGCATATTCCCAACGCTTAATACGATGGGCCACACCGCCAAGCCAACAATATAGCAATCGATTAGGTGAAGTAATGATTTTTTAGGTATATGACAATGACCTGGTGGGTAAATCCCTGGACTTTACTAGGATGGCATCGCAGAGTAAAATCTTGAGTTCAAATCTTATGCCCACCATCTCACCCAGATAGGCAATGCTGAACCGTATATGCATGGTTATTGCAGGACGTGAATCAATTGCTGAATACTTATATGTAATATTTAGATCAGAATTTATTTTTTAATTTAGAAAATCAAAATTAATGCAATTTCACGAAAAGTATCCATCTACCCAGTATCAAAATCACTGTTTCGGATTACCAGTAAAAAAATACTTTTTTCAGGATTTGCAAAACAACTTGTATTATTTGGAACATTCTCTGAAGTGAAAAGCCACAATCCCCTTGTCAGAAAACTCAAATTAACGCAGAGTCCAGAAGATATGGAGTTCAAAAAACTACTTATCAATTTAATGATTGTTTTGAGCAAAGATGGTGCAGCTGTCAGGGTGAGTATTTGATTTGTTCAAACTTTAAAAACTTTCACTGCTTTTTCACTAATTAAAAAAATCTAGTAAGAAACGATTTTTAATATTCAACCTCTGGAGAGGATTGTTTTAATCATATGGTTGTCTTTCATTTGGTTACCACTTTAGGTAGAATTTGGGGTACTGTCGAAGTATGTGAACCAAGATGGCCGACACCGGAACATAGTATGCGTATCAGGTTAGGGTTAGGCCATAGTTTCAGGTACAAATACTACATTGTAAGTGATTTAGAGGTTAGCTTGTCGTGCTGAGGGCCATGAACACACTTGCCATCACACCTCTAATTACCAAATGTTGTTTTGCAAATTTGAATCTTGTGCAGGTTCACATAAACGCTGGCCTGTTACGACTTCCTTCACCAAGAAGTCCATTTATCTGAAACTAATAACTGGTAACTATCCTCATACCTATTAAATTATGTTGGAAGTCGGTGTCGAAAATCTTCCCAACCCAGAGTCGGAGTCGAAAGTTTTGACGATCGGGAGTCAGGAGCAGGGTGAGAGTCGATTTTAAAGGACCTAGGTTTTAAATCAAAGTTCGATGAAGACTTTTTTCAATTCTGCAACCCTTATTACCATTTATATTGTTTTGTATTTCCAGTTGATGTCAGAAGGGAAACTTTTACTTTCTTTATTCCACTATGTTCGTCCAAACGAAGACAAATCACCACCCAGAGAATGGTCGCCTGCACAATTTGAAGAATTACAACTTCATGCCATGTCTGCCCTCAGTACTCTATCATCCCTAATGATGGAAGACTACATGGTGTGTCAAGGAAACACAAGACTCTTACTTCTTCTTGAATGGTGTACATCACAGGTAACAGAAATACATGTGGTTTGGTTTCTGAAATATTGGTCCTAACTATGTTTGAGCTTCAATTGGTTTATTTCAAACTCAATGCTCGGTGGTGTGGCACATTGTGCTAAGCGTTAGGAATAGGCTCACCACCGCACCTCTGATTACCCTGTGTGGGTTCGCAGGTTTGTATCCCTTGCAGAGTTAATATTCTGCAAAAGGATTGCTGAAATCTTCGCCGCTGACCGCTGGTCGGTTACGACTTTCTTCACCATAAAGTATGTTCATTCTCATCTCACAGATCTATTTGGGAAATGATGAAGCTGGGTTGGTATTGTGTTGTGGGATGTCGACACAATAATTATTTTTATATGAAATTTAAAACTGTAGTTCATTTCTGTTAGAATAAATTTGATTCCTTTTTTCATCTTATATATATGTAATGGGTGTATTATGTATATGCAATTATTTTTAACATTCAGGAAATTGACGTTTTGACCAATTTTACCAATAAAATGACAATTTCAATTATTTAGTGAAGGGTTTATGCAGTTATCCCGGTAAGAGGATTTCTGCAAGTATACCTTAGTATGCCATTTTTAAACAGTAATTATTTGAACTACCGTACCCTTCGATGACGAGCAATACAGAAAATTTTGAGAAACATAATGCAAACTCCATACAGAATAATATGCATTTTACTGCAGTCCCCAGCTTAATGCTAATTACCAAACCTTTTTATTTCTCTTATTCCCAGGATAATAATTTTTCTGGACATGGAAATTCTTTTCATGGTGGTGGCGGTCGTGGTAATAAGAAAGCACAAATGAGAGGATGCCTACGTCTTCTACGTGCTGTTGTTTCTCATGGAAATGAATCGACCAATCAGGATTTATGTGATCAAGGGATTATAGGTCAACTTCTCAGTGAGTAAAATATTCAGTTATTGCAGTGCGAACTAGGTAATTTTTGATAAATAATAGGTCGGTAGAAGGTATATGTAGATATAGGGTAAACCACCTTAAATCATGATAAATCGTGCAAAAAACACCCAAAAATATGTAAAACTTGCACAGACCGTCAAAAATCACTACAAAACCGTCAAAAAACACCTGTGTAAACACGATAAAAACGTTTCAAACTTTTTCCGATGACTTTTAAAGTGAAAGCATTTATAATAAAAAATGATCCGATTCCACTCATGAGATGTCAATATTAATTCATTTTCTTCGGCCCATAGATATTCATATAAATTTTTTCCCTATTTTTTCTTTACATTTTAGGTATACTGGAGAACATGTCTAAATATACTTCTTCTGAAGGGATTATAGACATCGAAATGCAATGTGATATGCTCTACGTACTTTCAACCTTGTGTGAAAATGATCTGCATAGAAAAGAATTATTTGGCTCACAGGTATGTATTTTCTATTATAGTACACTTTTGTATTACAGTCGACACAATTTTTGGTTATTGTTATTTTTTTTAATTTTCCACGGTTTTATAACACAGCATGCCTCCTGTGTTCGAATACCTTTTTTTTATTTATTTTTCCATTTCATTATTATTGATATGTCTTTGAATACCTGGAATAAAAATGTGATGCAATATTCAATATTGCACTCTTGCAGTTATATAAGACGAAGAAATGATATTTTTCGTGAACTTGAATCCTTGGCTTACTCAGGATATTAGAAGTTGCAATATATTTAGTGTTTTAATTTGGTTTACCATTGCCATAAATTTGCATTTTGCGTGCAAAGATCTAATGTTTACTTTATGTTTGTTTATACATGGCCATCACATATTACAAGGTTCATAATTATGGTTAAATGATTAAATTTGCTGCTATGTCACTCAGGATAAAATGAATTTTGTAATCTCTTTTGAAATTGTCTTTTCTTATTCCTTATGTTTCATAAGAAAATCTTGATTCTTCTCTAAAAAGAACTTTGAATCCGAATGAACTTATAGGTTTTATTTTTTTAATGATTAGGGAGTGGAGATGCTCATCCATTATATGAGATCAAATCCAAAAAAAGTATCGAGTGGTTTAGGACACAATCGACTCATGCTAACTGTTGTTGACGCAATCTGGTGTTGTTGTGTAGGATGTTTTGTTACTGAGGATATCCTACTTGAAAAAGAAGGTGTTTTTCTACTCATTGACCTACTCGAGGTGAGGGTCTTTGCTCATTTTATAAATTAAGACTAGATTTCATTCTTAATGATAACTGGATAACAATAAAACGATGATTACCAACTCGGAAAAAATTAATTGTTACTATAATTCATCTCATTATGCGCTCGGAATAATGCACTCAAATACCATAGGGCTCATGAAGGGCCTAAAATTGTGTCAAAATGAATACCAACTCAGAAAAATTGAGTATTGCTTCAAATTTCATTATATACTCAATATAATTCCTCAAATACTATAGTACTCAATTGTTCTGTGAAAGGCACAAAATTGTGAATGAATTCATATCAAAGAAAATGTTAAGTGGCAATGTGAATGGGAAGGCATTACTACTGATCAAATAGGTAACTATGCCTTCCTAACTAATTGAGTTGCCAGTCTAAGCATGGAAATATATCAAACTAATTATATCGATACCACGCTAATAGCCTTGGAAAGTAGAGAGAATCATAATCGTAAAGTGGACTCTTTGACAATGATGGTCCAGAAATTCTTTTTCACATATCTACCCATCTTTGGATTCGAACCTATGCAGGCTAATCAAGACACTGAAAGAAAAGCTTAGTACAAACATTCAATCTTTTAACTAGTTTTTATTATTAAATCAATATTCTATCAATCAAGTTTTTGTATTTCAGACATGTCCTCGTACAATGCATAACCTTATTCTTGGTTGCCTCCTTGAATTATGTGAAAATCCAAAGACAATTCCTCACATTCACACATGGAGAGGAGAAGACGATATATCAGCTCCACATCTACTCATACACATGTGGAGACAAGAAGAACAAAGAATTAATGTGAAACGAGATATGAACGGATGCATTGCTGACGACTCAGCAGCATTAGCTGGTAAATATAAATTTTCAATCATTTTTCATTTTTAAATACTCTGTTGCAGAGAGATTTACATTCTTTGCAAACGATGGCCTTGAACAGTGGTTATTTGTTCATGACTTTCTATCTATCTAAGAGGGGAAAATATGGCTAAAATGAAAAGGGAGTTTAAATTTACCAGCGGCCCAGTGGTTACATATTACTATCAGTAGAAGTTGCGCGACACCAACTTTCAATCTTTCTCAATGCCTTTGCGCTAGTGGATCTGTATGCATATAATGCAGGAATAAACATACCATACTATGCAATTCAAGAGTCCTGCTGCACACTAACACAAATGTATTTCTTTAACATTTCGTCCGACCAAAATCAGATTTTCTCAGACAAGTAGTTTACAACATTGTGTCAGTGTGCAACAGGTCTCTTAAACTGTCTAGTATGGTTACATTTTTAGTTGCACTTTGCTTTTTTGTGTCATTCTGTACTGAAAATATCAATTCTCCAAATCCAGGACAAATGCAGCTTGAACATGAGGTAGTTCCACAGCCACACACTGCTTCATCACTCAGTATTGTTGACGTTTATGAGAATCTCAGAGCTAAAGTTTATGCCGTGTTTGCAAGACTTGGATTCAGTGATTTACCAGGGCTAACAACAGAAGATTATGTTACATTGGCAGTGATTGAAAAATACCTGGATTTTAAGGTGAAAATATCCTTTTTTAGGTAAAATCTGATTTATTTATATCGACATGTTTGAATGTAAGCACTTTGGGTTAAATACACTACTACTTTTTCACAAGTACTCATGAATTGTCGAATTAGGGTTTGAAATTCAAGAAAATTTTGCAGGCCATTGAAAACAACTGTGACTCCAAATATTGTTTGAATAATTGAATTTTTGACTCCAACTTCGGCTCCCTACTCCAAGTCGAAGTAAATTTTGACTCCGACTACAGCTCCCAACTCTGAGAAAACCAAATTTTCTTAGCAGGAACTTTGTCTTATGCCAACTCTTTTTAATTGTATATTGAAAATGCCTTCCCAACTAAATGCTTATTTAGTTTTTATAAAAAATTCCGATTTCGATTATTAACACTAATGAAAGTCTGAAATATGTCTGCTTTGTCTTTGAATCATGAAGAGTTTGAAACTTCCCCCCCCTCACCAACTTCTCAGCCCTATCGTACAATGATTTGAATTGACGGGAGGCTGTGGTTCGCCATATCATTGCTGACTTATTGGCTTTCCTCTACCCTGGGATAAATATGTAAAATGCTAAAAATAAACTGACTTTCATTTGATGAAAATATAATTTATGTGGACGAGTTTCACATATATTGCTCGTTATTTCAGACATACTCAACTGGGACTTGAGAGTCAATAGCCTGATTCAAACATTTCAAACATTAAACTAGTCATCTTCCTAACATAAAACTTGTTTTATTATTCTTTCATGTAGGTTGGAGAAGTTTGGAAAGAAATTTCAGATGAATTGAGAGTTGAAAACGTGAGGCCGATAACACCTGATTTGGAAGCAATGGAAACAATTGGTAGAGCTTCTGTAGAAAGATCGAAAGGAGTCGCACTTCTACAAGCCGAATTATTAGATGCAGAAAATCAACAAAATTCTCAAGATGAAAAGCAACTTTATGCAGAGGTAAATGAATACAATTTTTAACATAATGAAGACAAACAAGTTTTGTGGTATTTATTTACTCTTGACTGCATACATTTCTTTTGATGTTCGCCTCAAACAAGACTCTGCGCTCCAGAAGTATGTGTACCAATATGAAGGTAACTAATTTTGTTCACCTGCTCTACATCAAGATATATAAAGGAACAGATGCCTATGTGCAGGGGTTATATTCACTTGGCTAACACGGACAGTCTCCGAACTCGTAATAGAACTAAAACAAGAAAAATCTGAATAAAATTATGGTCACACTACGGGAGTACCCGAATCTTTGTAACAGCAAGCATCCATATGAGAAGGAAATAACTTCTTATAAAAGCGTTGCATTTCATAATCATAATTTAAATAAAAATTATTCAATAGGAGGTATGAGGTCAAATTGAGGTGCATCCATAAGTGCTTTTTGAATAATGTTTTGGAAACAAACTTCATTAAATGTCAAACAACCTTTCACTTTTAAACTATATAACGGACTATATTCTTTTTTATCATAGTTGAAAATTGCTCATCTGATTAAGTCTGAATTTTTGTCAGGTGAAAGTTTACAAAATTAACTCTGTGATTTTGTGAAACAGGCTTCGTAAATATAACACGAATTTCTCATATTTACTGGGGGGAGAGGGAAGTAGATAAGACAGCTTAATCATATGGCTAACCACGACTTCTCATCCCGTTACCAGTTCATGCCGGGTATTAGAGAGGTTAACCAGGTACTTGTTTTATATGCATGGACTTAATGGTAGAATAAGCCATGCGCCATACTGCCGAGCTTATTATATTATATATTAAATTGCAGTATTACTGTACTTAAATGTATGTATTACAGTACTTTCATGCCTCATGTATTAAACCTCATTTGAAGTTTATGTCATTTTGTTGAATTAACGTCTTATCTTATCTTCCTATCTATTTCGCAGATAAAAGAGAATTTCAAGCAAAAAGAAAGCTCGATTCAACGGTGGTCTGACTATATAAAACGTACTTCTGATCATGATTATCTTGTCATGTCGAAGAAAAAACTTGATAAATCAATCGAATCTTCTCGAGCTAAACCAAGATATCGTGACGATCTCACAACTAGTTCTGTGAAACATACAACACATATTACTGATCTCAACACAACTGTGAGTGTTATTTTTTCTTTCAAAACTCCTGGAAATATGTCTGGTTACTGCAATCTAAGTTTCAAACTTCCGAATGAGGAGCTAAAAAAGGCTTTCTAACAGAATATTTGTTCCCTTGAAGAAAGTTTTCAGACGTCAAACTCGCTTGGTTTCGAGCATGTTCACGAAAAAATTTTATGCTGAAAGTTTCTTCCACAATCATCAGTTATGTGAAATATACTACCTCGTAGTTGTTCTCCTAATTGTTTTGACATGAACCGCCTTGAATCTAACATTAATCTGTATTCACTAACACACTTTTCTACACCATATTGATTTAAAGTCCCAGTAGCTTTTGTTAGTTAAATGTTAATATAGGATAGGATTTACATATTTACCGGCTCAATTATATGGCGAACCACGGCTTCCCGTCCGGTTACCAGTCAAAGTCGGGTACCGTATTGAATTAGTTAGCCAGTTATTTGTTTTCTGAAGCACGGACTTGATAGTGGAGAAAGCAATAACCCACCAGTGGTAACGTGAACCACTCTACGGCGATGAGTCCAGTAATCCTCTCGCACATGACTAATCCCGCATGGGATTCGAAAATTTGGACCCACGCAGGGTAATCAGAGGTGCAATGTGCCAGCGTATTCCTAACGCTTAGCACAATGCACCACATCGCCACACCTCCTTTACCTCTGAGTAACTGCGAGTGACCTTGCTTTGAGAAAATTTCCTTATTGAAAGAGACTCTGGTACCGAGATTAAAATATTGCTGAATCGGAGTTTGCGGCCGAAGCATTTCGTCAGCCTGAACTTTCTCGAATCCAGTGCTCTATTTTCTGTTACCACGAAACAAGTGTTAACATATATTTGCGTCTTATGGAAGTTTTTCAAAATTTGGGATGAAAACTCTTTCAAAGCGATAAATTCATTGAAATTAAAACTTAACATTATATTTCAGACATTCCAAGGAAGAAATATTCACATTGATAGCACTCCTGCTGAAATGACAAAGCATCACTTGATGGATAGCCTACTTCCAGCAGGATCCTAGTCCAAAAAAAAAGAATTATGTTTTATTTCTTTTTCCCCATTTTTGTAAATAAAGGGACCAGATTTTAATACTTTTATATTTTTAATGTTGGTTAAAGGTAGTATGTACGTATTTGTAGGTGATTAACAGAGAAATTAAATGAGTATGTCCGTATATGGACTAAAAGTTTGAAGATATGTTGACGTCATCTTGACATCGGAACTATTTTCTCCTTCTTAATTTGTAAAAATTCGGGTTATAAGCAATGAGTACATAATTCATGTATAGCAGAAAAGTATTTCTTTGAATATAAAAATATACAGACCAGTTTTGATTCACCTTTTTTTCTCTGTCTATCTCCTACTTTATTGAGGGTTTATATGAATAAATAAAAGTGATCTCATATATTTGTAATTTTTTTGCTACTGTTAAAAAACAGTTGGGCTATTTCATTTGGCTGTGCTCTTGTGTTTTATTTATTTGCATTGACTGTGATGTGTGATATGAAACCAGTGCTTTACTGCCATACTTTTTCACACTTCTAGAAAGAAAATTGGCAGAATCATTTAAATTAAGTAAGTTTGAAGGTGGTGCCATGGGCGCCGTTTGGACAGGACGCAAAAAGGGCGAAAAGTCTTGATCGTAAAATGTTTCAATAAAATAGTTTCAAATTGGGAATGGTTGAAACTTTTTTTTTCTGCTCGAATAATAACGTACAAGTATCTAATTTCAACAACAGTCGTTAAAAATTGCCAGCCAGTGGATATGAGCGCAATTTCACGTAGATACGCAACTTGGCTTTTTCTTTTTTGAATACAGTATTCTGGTTCGAAATCCGACGCTGAGAGGGGTTGAAGTGTGTTTCCTCATTAATATACAGTGTAACCACCAATCGGCAAAAATGATTCACAAATTGCAATATTTACGATACAGTTTTGTTTTACTAATTGGATGCACGACAGATAGGCAAAGAACGCCAAGAGTTGGCATGTATATGAATAAAGCATCAAAATATTGCGTGATTGCCTCTTTCCTCTTTTCCATTATCTTTCACCCAAGTTCTATGAAGTATGAAGGGCATATCATTAAGATTGAGGACAACATTGGAGATTATGCTCAACACCTTTAATACGTTTAAGCGCTAAATTGCTGAGGTTCCGGTTTACTTCATGTCGCAAGCAATATCTACTTTCACACAATATGGCCTATATTGATGCATTTCCCATAGCTCGATCATGTACCACTTCCTGTGTTTTATTGCGTTGTGATGATGTCTGAGCATGGTTTTAGCGTTGATCTCCCATACTATCGGATTGAGTGTGTTAGTAATAGATGTGATATGAAAGTGATTAACTGAGCTTCGAGCAGTTACGGGCGACCAAAAGCTACTTTCGCGGTTTAAGTCACAGCTATGCGGTAGTGAATACTGGTATAACAGTATAAATGAAGTCTAGAAGTTCTTGCCTGCTCGTGGAAAGCTTTTGTGTAAATATTGCTTCCTTTTGAGGAATAAGGGTTACAGTCTACAGGTCTACCTGCATAATTTAGTGCCAAATCTATCTTATTAGATTAGTACTGTAGTAATATTCTGCATTTCTAATACAGTAAAACGTGACAGCAGTAGTACTACAATACCTGAATGCAGAACTGCAGGGTGCTAAAGTCTGAAAGTGCAAAAATCATAATGAAATGCAATTGTATTTCGTATTTGTAATCATTTATTAATAATTTTTACATTTGCAGATTTGATTAGGCAATTGTAGGTCTATGAGTGTGGGAGACTTTTTGTGGTGTTGTGGACTGGTGAAAGTCTCTTGAGGATACTGACAGCATGGGAGAAGAATCAAGACCCATCCTTCCAGGGAGGAATAAATCGGTAAAATATACAAAAATATAATCTAACAACTCAGCAAAGCTAGAAGAATTCATATCTGAATGTAGAAAAAACCATGCCTGAATGTTCTCAAATAAACTATTTGCATTTGTGTTGTTCGTTTTTTTTCAATAGAGTAGGCCCATTTGCTTCATTTTTTCAATAATGGCATGCTTGCTTATATACCAACTAATTTTGTTTCAATATGGTTTTATCCAGCAGCCATGAAAACTAGACTACTTAACTCAATTGAAGCCATGTATTCAACTTCTAGATACTTTTTATTAGAATGAATTCAAAAAAGTGTAAAAGAGTTTGACATATCCTCTGATCTAACTTTTGTGACATGAAATATAGATACTTTTACATATATACATATGTGGTGAAAATAATTCGGTATTTTCATACATTCAGGGATGGACATCCCAACTTGTGCTAGCAGCTACTGCAGCGGTGATTGGATCAAGTTTTCAATTTGGTTACAATACAGGAGTCATCAATGCTCCTGGCGATATTATTCAACAATTCATCAATGAAACTTATTATTACAGGTATATTTTTACCAAAATGTTTAAAAAATATTAACAAATAGGGCTCGTCTCTAGAAGGGTGCTGAAAAACAAAAATTAACCTCTACTCCAGCAGTATATTACTATTATTTCAAAATTCAGCTTCCGTGACTTAAAATGAAAACCAAAAATTTTTGTTCGACTTTTTTGAAAATTTTTCTGAAAGAAGTCAACACAGACACACACTGAATTGCTCGATATTTTGCTTGCAAGTCTAAATGTATTCTAAGTAACTATAATATGCTAAATTAAAGTAAATATAATTTGTTAAATTGGAATGCAATCGATGCAATTCCAATGGAATCAAATTGATATTTTAGGTGAAAATTGTGTCCTAATATTTCTAATTTCGATTTCCAGGCATGGCTCCTATGTGGAAGCTGTTCAACTGAAATTTCTCTGGGGATTGACAGTTTCAATCTTTGCAATTGGTGGTATGCTCGGTTCCGCAGTATCTGGTACCTTAGCTGGTAGATTTGGCCGAAAAAGAGCTATGCTTGGTAACAATATTTTGATCGTAATCGCCATCACTCTTATGGGATGTTGCAGATTGATAGGTAGCTATGAGATGCTTATCGTTGGAAGACTAGTTGTGGGTGTTGCATGTGGTATCGACACTGCTCTTGCGCCACTCTACCTGACGGAAATTTCACCTATTCAACTTCGTGGTGTCCTTGGAATCTCCAACCAACTTGGCATTGTCATTGCAATTATGATTTCCCAAATTCTTGGCCTTGAAGAAGTTCTTGGCACTGTAGAATATTGGCCTTACCTTATCGTACTTTGTGGAGCGTTTACTGTGTATCAATTTCTCACGTTACCTTTCTGCCCTGAGACACCGACATATCTACTCAGTCAAGGATTGGAGGACGAAGCCAGAGAAGCGTTGCAATTTTTGAGGGGCTCTTTGGATGTTGAAGATGAAATCGCGATTCTTGTATCAGAGCAAAACAAAGTTCAAAGTTCAGCTCGTGTTGGAATGATTGGGATATTTAGAAATCCTGATTTAAGAAAGCCAATGTTTATTGCAATTGTTTTACAACTAGCACAGCAGCTTTCAGGAATCAATGCAGTGCTGTATTATTCTACAAGTTTATTTGAATCAGCTAATATTTCTCCTGATGAATCTGATTTCTACACCGTTGGAATGGGGGCAGCAAATATCGTTATGACAGCTTTGTCTCTCTTACTCATTGAAAGGCTAGGTCGTCGTACGCTGCTTCTTGCTGGATTAGGTGGAATGTGCATTTGTGCGGCTATATTAGTTGTCTCACTCACTGTGGGTGATGGTACATCATGGGGAGGTATATTAGCTATTGTTGCTGTGTTATCATTTGTGATAACGTTTCAATCTGGTCCAGGATCCATTCCATGGTTCATCACAGCTGAGTTTTTCACTCAAGCGGCTCGTACCGCAGCTATGAGCATAGCTGGTGTTTTTAATTGGGGAGGAAATTTTGCGGTCGGGCTTGCTTACCCCCCACTTCAGAAAACCATTGACGGATACACATTCATCATATTTGCTACTTTGATCGCAATTTTCTGGCTTTTTACTTATTTTCGTGTGCCTGAAACAAAAGGAAGAAATATTGAAGAGATTTCAAATTCTTTCAAATCGCAATAATGAAATATTGTTCCCAAGTTGTTTCAAAAAAACTATTAATTGGTTTGAAAACATTATTCCTCTGACGTTTTCTGTATGAGAAATTATGGTACAATACTGTCAATACACAGGTTTTTACTCAAGACTGTTTATTACTCAGTTAAAAACATATTAACACTCTTTTTCTTTATGAATTCTACTGTTATTACACCAAAGTGCCTGTGCCATATCACTTTTTTTTTCAAACCTTTGGTGCTATAAGTCTTTGAAATTGGCCAAAGTAACTAAGCATAACTGACAAATTTAGTGTTAACACAGTCAAAAGATGAAAATGATGATTACTTTTCAAATTTTTAGTAATCCATACTATTCTACAATTTATTTCCCTCCTTTTTCAAGTTCAGTTGCCAAAGTCAAAGATGAAGCCATGCATTTTTTTTTTCATTGATCAAGTGAGACTTACCTTAACATATTAATTTATTGCCATATTTTTTGCAGGTGAAATTTTTTGGTCATATGCCAGATAAGTTCGTTTCGTTAACTTAACACATAAACTCTATCTTTGCCAAATGTGTGCTAACAGTTTGTTTCCACACTGATTCTCCAAACAAGGCACAACCAATCAGACATAGGTTATTTATTAAATGTTGTTCTGACAATATTTGGTGCCCAATTAGAGGGAATTGTGAACACAAAATTCTAACCTGTGGTGCCAATCACGTTGCAAAGCGCCTGCTTTATCCGTTTTTTGTATAAATTGCAATATTTCTCAGTATATACACTATTAATGATCAAGTTGCACCAGTATGTTGCATTTAATATTAGAGTATTATTGTTGTTTACTGTAATCATTTAATTAACTTCAGCAGTGGTTAAATTATGGCATGTTTCAAATAGATTCAGCCCAAAATTTTTATATTTAGCATGTTTCTTCAGTAGATTCTTTTGAGTGATTTGTGCCAATTAGCATAACTTTCGTTTTTAATAGTAAGTTGTATCAAGTATGATTAGTATTATTCGAATCTTGTACAAGCAAGTATCGTTACACCGCGGAAATTTTCTGGGAATAATAAGTGTAGAAGCTGCCCTAAAAATTTAAAAAACTGCCCTTTTTGAATGGACCACGTTGATGTAATTCCTAATATAATTTTGACAGATTTCTAAATATTTCCAGTTATAGTATTGTGCAATAGTTTTTGTTCTTTTGTGTCGGAGATAAAGATTTCGTTGATAACGTATTTCCAAATATAAAATAAACTTGCATTCCGATTTGATGTTACAGCGAAATTTCATATTCGGTATTTCTTCGAATATTTTGCCTTGTTTTTATCCCCTGCATCATGTGTAATATATTATATTATAAGCAAGAGTTGCTTTTATTCTTCAATTATATTATTGGTGAAATGTCAAATATATGAAAGCCATATGGTACGAAATATGATTGTTGTGATTTAGAAGGGTGAAAGTATTTGCAGTTGTAAGAACGCCGTCATTCGCGGAATCTGATGTATTATATTCCTCGACGTAGCCGAAAACAAATTGAAATAATTGGCTTTGCGATTCTTCATTTTGAAAGACAGGATGGAATGTGTGACAGAAGTTTGCCTAATGATTGATTATTAAGCAGTCTTATCGGCTCTCTCTTCCCCCGGCATATGAAAATCTTATCCCAAGTTACAGTCGTGAATAAACGTATGACTAATCCTGTCTCAAACGATCATCAGCTACACAGTTGCAACCCAACGCATTGTGGTCGACGAGCGGTTGCAAACGTGTCCCTAACGATTGGCATATTGTGGTAACCGCTGATTCAAGGCGATAGTTTACATTACATATGCGAAATTGACTTAGAGTAGGACTCTTCACGGCTATCCCGCCAGGACAGCGTCGATAAGACCTCTTTACCGTATCTTTCGGTTCGTTTTTGGTTGTTATGTGGGATATATTGTAACGCGGCCCATCGCTGTTTGCACTTGCGTGAGTATCATGTGCTTTCCCGGTAATTAGGAGGGCTTTGTCGACATATTCAAGACTTAGAGCAGTATGATTGCTGGCGTTAGCTTCATGGGTGTTTAATGACCAAATCGGAAGTTAATCACTTAGTGGTTATTCTGATTCCTATTTCGGCCCAGGCACCTTCACTTAATACTCTGGTGCTAATTGTTTTTTTACTCTTTGGAAGAAACGGATGACTAATGTGGGTGTTCATTTCAATATCAAACTTGCACAAATGTTATGTTAGTGCTGTTCTGGATAATTTTTTTCTTAATTCTAATTTATATCTTCAAATTTGTGTCGGTTTCTGTGCGTTTTAGTCTAATCTACATTCGGTGACGCAATTAGGATCCCGAATAGGGCAAATCAAAATAAACAAAGGAAACGCAACGCGACAGTACCCGTCACTTAATTTAATACGCTCTCAATCCATGAGAGGATGACGACATGAACATAATGGCTCTTTCCTTATCCCGACGACTGCAATAATATTATGTTATAAAAATTGTCGGAAATAGGTATATTATCGTCCCCTGTGCTTCTTATCCCGTCCGACCCTTTTATTCTTAACCAAAATGTACTTCGATAATAATAAATAATAACAGTGCTAAGTGTGATCCGACAAACCAATTAACAAACGCCAAATTTTCTTTGCAAACGGGTCCTTGTCGTGATCCGGCAGGTGGCGCAATAGATCAATTTCTTCCCAGTCTTATGTTTCTGTCACGTGTTTCGACCCTGTGGATGACTTTTCGGCGTATGTGGCAACCATGAATGAACCGTGGAATTATAAAATTGTATAAATTAATTTATATAGATGAATTATAAATGTCATATGCTACGGTTCGTTATATGAAAGATTGTGTGATTTTACCTGCATCGGGATAATTGGCCAGCTATGCGTCTTGTTCCACTAAGCTTGCAACTACGTAAAGTAAAACGCCGACTAAAAATTAAGAACAAAATGTAGTGAATTTTATTAGTCGCATGTTTTTTCATCGATGCTCTTTGTGAAGTTATTTAATTCACCGTACGTCAAGTAATATTGCAGATTATAATTTTATATATATATAGCAGTAAAAGTTTTTCCACGGACGTGGAAATTGTGAAATGCCATTTCCAACACATGGCAATAGCGACATTGAAAATGTGTCTTTGGATATTCCTTATCGTGTTGTTGTAGGCCTATGCAGTTTTCTTGCCCACCATGGAATAAGTTTCACAATGTGAATGCGCGGAACTGAAAATAATTCTCCACCCTTTCTACGTTTCGTGATATATATGATTTTTTTCAACTATCCACTAAATAAATTTTAGTCTTTATAAATTTAACGTTTCTGACTAATATCACATTGCTTTTTATTTAATTCACAAACTCACAAATTCGCTGGTCAGTTGATATATATATATATAATCGATGGAACGAACAACCGGACTGTACTTGGTTATGTAGGTGTGTGACAAAGCTATACACCACAAAACTAGATAACCAAAGATAGCCAGGCATCCTTTTTATATTTGGTACTGTTATCGTCTTCTTGAATAACTAAATATATATTCTAATATCCACTGGCACACACTTTCAAACATATTTAATAGCTAATATAAAACATTTCATCTTATTATCTATTCGGCAAAAAGTACTGGTTTTGACATTACATACTGGTATATCTCAAATGTATTATTGGTATCTTACTTACTCAATTATAAACTGTTGATTAAGTACTGCTGAGTACAGATCATCTATAACTCATAACTCGTGAAAAGTCAAATTGAAACTTCAGAAATAGGAAAGGAGTTTCCAACAATTATCAGAAATAATTCGGATAAAGTACGATTCAAACCACAGGAATTCTAACAAAGCATTCGTTTCGGCATACAATTAAAGACGACATTCTATAACTTTAGATTGCAAGGAGCTATATGTCTCGAAAACTCTAGATATTTGGTTTTCCAACGGCTTTACCATGTAAGTGAATATGTAGGCGTGGTTTGGTAAAATTTTTTCCATATTAAATACAATATGAGCCATATTATTTGTTATTATTTGTATGGTACAGTGGTATGATTTCCATTGAATGATCAGATCATCGCTATTACAACTGTTTCGATAAGGACCAAATCTTAAGTATTCGGAATACTGGCATATTGGTCTGCCAACCGGCAGCAAATGTATTACAAGATGTGCACTGCCAATCAACTCTTATACAATTAAGTTAATCGATCTGAAAATTTTTATTCGAAATAATTAATTTAGTCACAATGAGTTGAGTAAATTTCCTATTTTTAACACAAAACACTAATACATTTTTTCATTTGTACGAGAAAATTTATCCTGAACAAGTTAATTTCTATGTATATCTATGGTCTAAAAATGTAATGGAAACTGGTATAATTTGCTGGTACAATAAGTTTTCTTTCATTCATGTATCGGAATGGATTTAGTTGAATGAGATATCCGAATTCAGATATTTTCCAAGTTTATCGGGCATAAATACCTCTTTCCGTGAATCAGTGAATGGGTAATAATCATAAAAAATTAAACACAACAATCAATTTGCACGTAATTTTCACAAAAATTTTCCAAAATGGAATCTCCAATCAAATTTGAACTAATACCGGCAGAAGAGTCGGAGTTTTGATCGCGATAAAGCGTAAACAAGCTTTGTCTTACTCAATTGATCGATCGATCTAAAATAAAGTCGTGTAAAAATATGGCGGAAGGTTTCATTTCTTTAAACTACTTTCAATCAAATTGACGCATGTTTAGGGGTGTTTGCCACCCAAACGTTAACTTTGTGGTCTTGAGTCACTTTTGAATGTTTCCAGTGCCTAAAACAATGTCTAAATAATATGAGTTGTTGTCGCGATAATTTTGCTAATAAAGGTATTTTTGAAACTTATCCAAAATGGCAGCATAGCCACGGGATCGGATTAGAAAATTTAATTTTTAACTAATATATCAATAAAATGGAAATGACGTTCTTATAACACAAACTTTTTTTTTCGAATGTTACTGCAATCTGAATCCTAATATAGTTTTAATGTAGCTTTAAAACAGTGAAAAATAAATCGTTTTTTTTTTTTTTTTTTAACAAATTCGATTCCAAAATATGATAAAATGATTATCAATCCACGATTAAAACATTACATACAGACCATACTAAAGACGACTCAAAATTTGAATGTGATACTCATCTTCGAGTGGGATAATAGATATCATAATATACATTTCACAGCTAAACGCGCGCGACATAATGTACGCAGGCCGTTATCTTATCTCACAAAAATAAAATTAGACTTTACAGCCTTAATAGGTTAGTGCACTAATTCTAAAGCCTCAACTTGTCAATTGCTTTTCTGAAATTCTTTGCAATTTGCCAAACGTGACTAGAAGACGGATCTAGCGTGGTTATCTTATTCTATATACCCCACAAACGAACAGATTTTCATATAAACAATAAACAAAGACTTTTTGGTGGTTACGATTCAGCAATTGGACTGTGGTTAGAACCAAAACTTTAAAATGAATTCTGATCCACTGTCAGACTGTTTCTAAAATCTACGTTTCTTCCTGATCTCAGTCACATTCACATACATTCTGCAAATCAGGAAATGTGGTTCGTCGAAAATTCCGAATCATTCGAAAATTACAATGATTACTTTGGGAAATATTACAAAGAATTCTAAGTAAAAGATTTATAATTTAAATGTAGTTTGTCAAACCTATTTCAATCTTCATGTTTCTATTCTGCCATCATTCGTAATCCTGGGATACGCTGGAGCGAGAACGGTCGGCATGATACCAGCCGAACCCAAAAAACTCGTTCTGGCCACGTCTTGTTAACTTTTGAGCTGTAATTGTCGCGAAATTTACTACTGACTTGGCAACGAATCTTCAAAAAGTAATTTTTACAAAATAAAATGACTTTTCAGAAGATTTTACCACATTGTTATTCAAAAATGACTTTTCTTGAACCTCTCACATCAAAACTTAGATGCTATTTTATCGCCTATGCCCACCCTCCTGGTACAAACGCTGAGTACTTGCCGATAAAATTGCTCGTTTGCTCATCCCATCTTATTCCCATACTCACTAAAATTCCTCTTCGATTTCTCTTTTTTCCAACTAAAATTATAAAAAATGATAAAAAGGGCAATAAAATCACGCGCCAAACCTGAACTAGACTTGAGAATTTACACGAAATTATATTTATTGAATAAGGAATGATAGTAATACATGCGCGTCCCGTTGCCTTCCCGCGATGAATGAATCTGCGGGAGGCCTTTGTGTCGAAGTATTTGGCGAGATCGTCGCCGAATAAGCTTACATAGTTTATTTTACGAAAGATAGCAGCTCTGGCTCTTTACGGAATCAATTAAATTTGAAATCTCAACGATTTCGTTTTAGTACTTCGATGTTTTAAGTTATGTTGCCGAAAT